GAAGAACCCTTTTCAAACACGTCTGAAATTGTCAAATCATTAAGTACTCACCAACAACATCAGGTTTTGTTCCAGAAACAAGTCTAAAGACATAATCTTGATTTGTATTTTCTCCTTTGGAGAAAGACATCAGTGGCAAGTTAGATCCTGAAAGTGGTTTCTTCAGGCTGGGAAGGGCAAGGCCCTTGGAGCGTGGGTTAAACAATGGAGGGTCAAGTTCACCATGAGGGTGGAGACCATTCTCAAGACAGTTTAAGAATGACAACAGAGACCCAGTTGTAGGAAAACGGATTGGTGGACGCTGGACTCCATCTTGTCCTATGAGAATAACCACTCCATAGCCACCTGAAATGCAATCAATTTTCTTTGAGTATCAGAAAGTAAGAAAGGATTGCCTTGGTTTTCCTTTAATCCACTCTGTGATTGGTCTGAAAGACTTGTAGTAACCTCTCAACCAATCACCTACAAAACTAAAACTTGGTAACTTGCATTTTCCTGTACCTCAAGCAATTTGTTAATTTATACTTAAAGCTCTCCTCAATTCCTTGAGAAACATTTCTTTCCTTTGTTCTAATTGGACATTGAAATTATTAAGTATAATACTTGGTTTTTGTTTTGGTTTGTGAAAATCAATCAAATGCACTCTCTACAAAATGTCCAATACTTAACAATAACAGAACTTAGCTTCAAACTGATCACTGGATACTGACTCTTACATATTTGTATGTTAACCATTTACACCCTATGATCAGTATCTACATTCTCCAATCTCTTCTTGGTATATTTCCTTTAGTATTATAACAAGGAGAATTCCTTTAACAATCAAAGCTTCTTAAGTTGTTGATAATCTCCTTTATTCCCATGATCTTAATGAATGATTCAGAAGTACTACTGTAATGAGAAATTTGATGCTGATCACTCTTAAGGTTTAAAGGATGAAGTAAAATTGTTGTAAGCTAAACAAAGTGTATGTCCTGTACAGCCTTACCATGCTGGTGACAGTGAATATACACCACATCATTCAAGTTCACGGTCAGTGCATAATCCCAAAACTGACTCTTCTCTCGCTCACAGGAACCACTCATCAACTTATTAGGTGTCCATTTCAGCAGCAAACTCTCATTGCTTTTATGTAGTGACAGGTATCCAGCAATTGGGTGTTCTTCATGCTGTGAAAAAAAAACAGTAACACAAATGCTAGGTAATTTAGTATTTTTTGGTCAAAATACTGGAAATAATTCATAGCCATGAATACTTTATCAGTTAATTAACTCTATGTGCATGAAGTTGTACTTTTTCCTGATGAAAGACAATCAGAAATCAACTGTACCAATAAAGAGGTAAGACTGTAATAATTTCCCACACAATTAAAACTGTCCAGCAAGCAATGCAATTTTTCTTTTAAACTAAATTCCAAGCAAACAATTTATTAGCAGTAGAAGTATTTTAGACCATCACAAAAGATAATTTATTTCAGTCCCTTCATCCAGAGTAATAAACCATAACATGCACTCTATTCATGTATACAGATTGTACACAGTGTACAACTTGTATTAACACATCAATCAAGTCACATAAACCAGTTAAATCATTCTCCATTATCAAGATCAATGGCCAAATGAATGAATGCATAATGAAGAACTCCTAACCAACATAACATCTCAAAAAAAAAAAAATAACGAAACCATAGGTTAAAATCTACCAAAAATGTTTAAGTTTAAGGATATCGCACACATATCTCAAAGAAGTCATGATCCAAGCTTCAGGTCAAATGAAATTTATTTCATTACAACTTGATATCATATCTACTCACTGGTTCAAGGTAGACATTGTTTTTCCCATACAGGAGGGCAGCATGTGAGTTCTGGTGAAGAGACTCTATGTGTTCTCTTGCTAATAATGGGGCCACTGCTAAGTTTTCATCATAAGAGGCCTTTGTTACACCCAGCTGTGGTCGCTGGGATGTTGGTGTTGTAGGTGACTGCTGACATAACCCACTGTGTATTCTGTGCCTTTGAACAAGCTCATCTGCTGTTGGATCAGTCCAATAACTGTCTGGTGTTTTCATCTTTGAAAAGTCTAAAGCACTTGGACCATCTGTGTGTAAATTTAATAGGAAAAATACAATGTAAAACATGCTTTTTGGTTAAGCAAAGAAGATTAATATTAATAATAGGAAGCAGATGTATGCGGCATTATAAATGGAGAAATATCTCAGTCTGTGAAATTTGACCTAAAGATCTACCCTACATAGAATTGGTGCACATACATATGAATGATAAAAATAATTATGACATTAACTATTACATTCCCAAAGCTTGTAGTAAACCACCATGTAATGTGATAAGCAGCAGATCTCTGTGGCTTTAAAATTAATTCCCTCTTTGAAGTTTAAGGTACAAAAAGAAAAAACAGCCACCTTTTATCAAATAACTATGTATATATCATACATTCTAAAAAACATTTTCAACAATAACTACAATAACTATGTTCATAAAGTGGCTGGTTTGCAGATCATCTGTTTGTTGGAAGCACATAATAAAATTTTGTTACAGTACAATTTGATGAGCTTAACCACATGTGAAAAGCTTTTGTTTAGAGCAAATGTTGTACAATTAAATTTGTCGAAAATTTAAACCTTGAATATGCATGAGCAATTTAATCTGGAAATACACAATCAAAACAAAACAAATTAATATTTCAATGACATACTGTTCGCATACATATGACACATCTTCTATAGATATTTCTATATGCTTGGCAACAGCTTATTATCATTCATGTCTTGAATAAAAGATGTTGTTTTATCTTTGTCTTTTATCTAACGATACAAATTTAAAGATACACACTCTCAAAAGTCCTCTCAAAGTTCCACTGAAGGCAATCAAGATATTGATTATGGTACTCAAAAGTCACAGGTCAACATGAATTTAAACTATTTCATGTATTTTGGAACACAAATTGATTGATTCCTTTAAAATGTAAATACTAAGCTCACTTTTTTTTCTTTTTAACACTGCATTTTAAACATGAGTTGCCAAAATAACAATAATCCCAGAAAAAACTGCTAAAAATGGAAATGAAAAATATGTTAAACTAATAAACATACAAATAATTCAAGTTGCAGGTGACTATATGTAAATTTTCAACTTTAGTACATAAATTTGATTTTCTGATGAAGTTGAAGAAATTTGATTTCCACTGGTTTTACTTATTACATTAACTGTTCAAGTACCCTCAACCTGAACACTTTTTATTACAATGCAAGAGAAAAATTTTTTTCCTCAGATGTTTCTTTTTGAAAGCAAAATGTTTTTTTTATGGTTTTAAATTTCCTTTATAATGAGCCTAACAATGGTTGAACTCTTCTGAAGAAGCAAACTTGCCAGGGAAATACTGAAATTTTTTCCTAAAACCTGTTTTAAATTATCACTTATTTCAGGTTATCATCTCATCCTTCAGTAATTTGACTACACACCAAATAACTTGGATTTTTCACAATTCCTTGGTCAGCTCAAGTTATTTAGATTCAACTGTAAATCTGTTTGATTGTGAAACAAATTCTCCTTTCTGTCAACACTTAAAGAAATATATAGAGTACAGTATGGAGAATATGAACAGTGATGTTAAGGTGTAAAGGTCAACCAGACCACTATACAATCACTTTGATGAAAACAGTTACTAATTTTGTGGCAACTGACAAATGGGGATCAACAGCAAAGTTCTCCTTCTTAAAATGATGATGGCAAAGAACTATAAGGTAATCAATGTAAGTTGCAAGTGTGTGCAATGACTGATTCTGATGCCCCCACATAAATATGGAACTTGAATTATCTCTGTTTAATGAAAAGAAGCAATTTGGCTGGTTCCTATATGTCTCCCCATGTAATAAATTCTAACAATAACAATAGCCACTGAAAAAAACTCCAGAAACAAGTAGATAAATTTATAAAGGATCAAGATTGCTAAATGAGTTTTCTGCATCAATAACTGCATGTTTTTGGTATGCAAATAAAGAAGAAACTTAGGCAACTAATTAGCGATGTGCCTACAAAATTACAATATTTGCAAAAAATAATAAACTGAATTTATGTCTAAAATTAAATGAATAGGATCTTTCAGTGGAAATAATAAAGTATCAAATGTATTTTTTAAATATCTGTTCTAAAAGACAGCAAGAAACATTTATATAACAAAATCCAATCACTCAGACAGAAGGTCAAAGTACATGTAAAACAATGAAATGCTTAGCTGAACTTTCCATCCATTCGACAAATGATATTAAGTAACTAACAATGTTTTAGAAGTAAGTAAGTCACATAAATTTTAAGAAAAAACTGCAATCAGTCAGTCAGTCAGCAAAAAATTAACAAAACATTAATCTAAGGAAGTAAGGAAGTAAATCCTTGCAAGCTCATTGTAATTCGCTTACCTAAAAGTTCAATAAATATTCTTCCATCAGCTGGATCACTAAGTAGGGCTTCAGGCTCATAAAATTGACTGCAAAACATACAAATTACCTTTCATAAGTTCACTTCAGTGTCAGTATCTACCACCACTTGTGCTTTGTGGCAATTATAATAGCAATTATCACGCCCTCTACGTACAGTGTACATGAAGAACACAAACATATGCAGTAAATAATACATTAAAAAGCAATTAATGCATTGATGGCTTTTTTTTTCCTCAAAAGCTTTTGAATTTCCCACATTCATATCAATGCCTCTTAATTGTACTGTTGTGACCTGTCAAAACAGACCTGTGATATTACTGTCATACAGAAAAGCAAAGAATAACAATTCTTTACATAACATGCAAAATCATTAATTGTGCAAAGTTTGCAACATGCTACATGTATCATTTCAGGTTGTGGTTAGTTTCAAATTCCATCTTAGCTGATTTTGAGAATTTTGGGGAGGCCAAATTATTGATTCAAATACGTCTACCTGAATTTCATTAGACACTGGAAAAGTATTCCCACCCAATAATTTTTCATTCTTGGTAAGTACTGGACATGTCATTAGGGAAAAACATTCAAGTCAAAGGGCTCATTATAAGGATTTGTGTGGCAATTCACCCAGAGTTTTTCTTAAGCTGGGTGAATTTCAAACATTGGCTTTTAATTTCAAAAAAAATGTTATGTGTATCTTACATTTCCACTGACAGTAAGTAATATTAAATCACTGGCCACATGCAGGATCCTAAATTAGCCTTTAATGAGATTGAGAAAGTCATCCCTTTTTGCCACCCCTTAAGAAAAAAGACATCCACAGATAAAAATCAGTGGTGATCAAAAGAATAAAACAATTGGCAGGTTATTGTTAAAACCATGAAAATAGTAATAATGATTTCAGTTTTGAAAACTATGAAAATCAAAAATAAATGTGCCTCTCACACTTAGTTTTGAAAAGAAACTCATCACATGTGAAACTTGTTTCTTAGTTTTAATTCATAATTCTGTCACAATAATTGGGAATTTTTTTCACCATGTTCTCAGGTGTCTTTGTTTTGCTCTTGTCATTATTTTTTTAATCCAAATAAAATATTTAAAAATATTTACAATTTTAAGTTACTATATAACCCTGAATAACTACCACAGAGGAGACTGACAAGGTAAATAACTTAACCCTTTTCATCCCAGAAGTGATTAAGAAGTAACTTCTCCCTTCCCTATATTATCCATACATCAACCAGCATAATGGTAATGAGAATGCTCAAACTTATCAAGTGGAAGTTGTTATCTTGATCTGAAACCAAATTCCTGTAACTAATTTATATGGTAATGTATAGCAGCTTGAGGGGAGAAGTAACAATCAGGACTTGGGAGTTAAAGGTTTAATCTGCTAGATTATCAACTTGATAGTTGTCAAGAAGTTCTCAAACTTGTATGTAGTGTTATTTCAAGATACTCCTCTCCCCTTACCTTGCATTATTTTGAAGATCCTCCACAATTTTTCCCAGCAACTTTTCTAAAAGAGCTATTCTAATCCACAAAAATTTGCCACAATGGCCACTGATGTTATATCCATTTATCTTCTTGTTGCTTCCATTCAACGCAGAGAAGTTTAATTTCAACTTGAGTAATGGGCTTTCTGCAGAACCTGATGAGATAAAAAATTCTGTCAGTTGGAAAAATTTTTAACTGAGTATCAAAAGCAATGGGTGATTCCATGTTGCAGACATTACATTCAGATACTAAAATTAACATTTTAAGCCCCGATTTAAATGTCAAAATGCTCAACAAGGGTGTTCAAATATATCTAAAAAATACCTTTAGTATGCCCTTTGTACCTAATAGAAAGATGCTTTAGTGAGCTCTCGAGACCTTGAAGGTATGAGTTGAGGAAAGTGTTTTGCTGACATTACATTTTAAACAACCACTTTTTAAAGTAACTTTCTTTAAAGAGATTTTCCTGTGAATCTTTAACCTTGGGCAGAAAATAATTGTGCCTTCAAAACATGGAAATAATTAAATTTTTCATGTATAAAAAAAAAATTCCATGAAACCTTGTTCCAATGATTCTACAAACAAAAGTGTTGTGTTGCTGACTGTGGCTATGTTCATCTGTTTTGTAATTACTTATCTACAAATGAAGCTGTAAAATTAGACATTTACTTTATTTATGTTCTGTTATATTTACAGAATATTGTACAAGCTTTATTTTTCGCGCTGCATATTAAGTTGTGTGGTTAGTCTGGAGAAGTCATACCACACTTTCAACCAATCAGATTTAACTCAAACTAGTCTTGACTTGCATGGTCTGACCCTTTGGTCTTTAAGCTTGTACAACCCTTTAACTCCTAGGATTTGATTGTTAATTTCCCTCCTGGCTGCTGCACACATTTCCCTATAAATTAGTCATGCCAACTTCTACCTGATCAATATAAGTTTTCTCATTAGCTACTTGCTAAATAATTTAAAGACATTAAAGAGAGAAGTTACATGTTAATCACTTCTGGAGATGAGATGGTTAGAGGTCTCCCAACATATCAACTATTATTCCTTGAAATATACCTGCTGATGTGTTCTTAGTTCCATCCTTGCTTTTCTCCTCTTCCCCAGAGAGTTTCTTGACAAGTTCAGCAGCAGGTTCTGATAAACGAGCAAGCTTTTCCAAAACAGCCTGGGTGTCCTGGGCAGGAAGAAGACCAGCGGCTCTTTTCTTCAAGCCATGTGCAATGCCTGCCTCTACAGCACCTACAAAAATGTCACAGAAAACTAAACTGAAAACAAATCCTTAAAAAAATGGTAAGAAAATATATTCAAACCACAATAAAGCCCTGGGGAAACATGCTCAGTTCTTGGTCAATCAATTATTTCTTAACACTCTAACTATCAAGATCTGATTTTTAATTCTCTCCTCTAGCTGCTACATATTACCTTATAAATTACTGGTAAGAACTTTGTGTTAGATAAAGATAACTTCTACCTGATAAGTTTAAGTATCCTCATTACATGTTTGCTGGGTAATGCATGGATATTAGAGGGAGAAGTTAGGTGTTGATCACTTTGAGGAGTTAAAGGGTTAAAATTCATCTCTAGGAGAAGGTCTATTTCCCCAAGAATCTATGACTATTCATGATCAAGTGAAAAAAGTGGTAATGACATAGTGGATCAATTTGCCACAGACAAAAAAATAACACATAACACTCTGAGATATCCAGTATACCGAGTACAGTGAATTTTAGATTGATTCAATAGCTGCAAGCATAGAAAATTACAAGGTTTCAATGAATCCTTTGGCATGACACAAAGCCATAGTAGACTTAATAAAGTACACCCCCTCCCCTCCCCCTTTCTGACCCATGCATCAAAGTGACATTTCTAAAGAGGGCTATTACCTCAATGCAAGTGAAACAGTGAACTTGTCGTCCCTCAACAAAAGAGAATTTTAATTATTCACCGTGCTGAATAACACTCCCACCAACTTGCATTTTTTCTACTGTTGCCAATTTCATTTTTAAAAGGATTAGTATTCTTGGCTGTTTGAATTTTCAGTGAAATCTTTGCCTATCTTTGATAATTTATAACTTTCCTTGGCTATCAAAATATTTAAAAATTGTCACGCTCACACTCAAAAAATTTACATGAACCACTTCTCTGCAAACTGAAACAACAAAACTATAACAGTACATTTTTGATGTTAAGAAGATTGGATGTTGGTTCCAGTCTAGTAGGCACAAATATGTCTAGAGGATAAAATTTAAGACACATATAATTATAAAAATCGAGGAAATGAAGAGACGTGAACGGTATACCATTATTGTTAAAACAAGACAACTCTTGCAAAAAATACAAGAATTATACCTTGCGTGCCTAAGTGAACAACGATAAAATTAAGATCGTGCCCTGTGTAAACAGTGACTTGATATAAAATTCCATTTCACGAATTTTATAAAGGTTTTGATAGGTTTACATCATTTTTCAAACCATACCCACCGAAAGGAAAGTTTAAAGTAAGGTACTTTAAAAAATTCTCCTGTAATGAAACTAGTATTACGAAATGGCAACGGGGTGCAACATGTTTAAATTCTGCATATTAATATAAAATTTTCCGATATTGTCGGTCGCGAGACACTGCTAATTTTATTAGGAAATAGCAATTTATTTATCTGGATACAAAGTGTTTTATAATTTAAAAAGTTAAACCAAAAAACATCACGTTACATTAATAGTTAAAAATCCTCCTGTATTTTTTTTTCCGACAGTCGATAAAGTATTTTAATCGCATTTCGCACAAGTTCACAGCTGAAAGGCAAATCTTGGATTTTAATGAGCAATGAGAGGTTCTGATTAAAAACCTTCGAGCGCAGCCTGTCAATTCAGTTTAAATAAGGCTTGAATTACTCTTTATTTTTGATGTGGGCTGCGTTGTTTGAAACCCCCTTCAAAGCCGCAAGCAGAGTTTATTTGTTTTGAATTTTTGTGTTTGATGCCTGCAAAAGCGCGTATTTGGTCGATTTGCTACTTCCGTACGAGTGTTCGCATACAGGTGAAAACCATGTCTGATCCCTGAATCAAGAAATAAAATTATGTGACTCTGTGAAGCTTACTTCAACTAAAGGGCGGGATTGTCCGCTGAAGCTAGAGTTGCTTCCGCGTTTTAAATTCCCGTTTTAGCAAGTATACAACACTTCACAGATCGACCGCGAAGGAAATGTTTGCAAGTTATACCCAATCAAAACTAACACTTTACAGAAACACTACCAGAGTTTTTACTACCTTAAATATTTTTCTTCAGCCGGCAAAATAGTGTCGGAAACAAATGCAATATTTCTTACCACAAAGGGAGGTTATACTAGAGCTGTCTGCATGAATAAACTTCCTTGTGACAGCTTCTTCCATAAGTTGTTTGACCTGGGAATCGACAAAACAGGTCAACATTTTTAAAAAGACGAGCATTTCTATCTTTTTAACCAAACATTGCCAAGGAAACATGAACATACAACTTTTCCCAATGCATGACTGCAAAATGGAGTAAAATCAAGTTTTGTATCTTTGAGCGAAGCGAAATAGAGCTGTGGAATAAAAAAATCAAGTGATTGATCGCTCGACGTTTAAATTTCACAAGCGACAACTGCAATTCGCTTTACCTCTTTTTTGAGGTTTTCCAACAATTTCTTTCGCACCTCCGCATCTGAAAACAACGAAAATAAACCTCAACGTTAGCCTGTCTTTTTCGTTGCAGAAAAATCCCTGAAAGTGCCATAAAACACTTGTTCTTCGCGAATTTCACCTTTCGAGGGAGCCATCTTGCCCTTCCGGAGAACAGCATAATATGAATATTCAATAAAAAAAATTCTGGACCAATCACAGCACGCGGTTAACAAGATTCTTACAGAATACATTATCGGTTCCAGCGGGTTCGCAAATTTTTTTGATTTTTGAGAAATTTCTATTGGTCAGAACGTGAGTAATTTTCCCTGTGTTTTCATTACGTTTATTTGGTTTTACCTATTTGTGTTTTTGGTCCTTTTTCTCTTCGTGAACATCTGTCAGGAGCCGACAACGCTTGCCACCGATAACAACGAGCTGTGCATTCGGTTATCACAGAAATTAAACAAAAAAAAAAAACACCTTTGAAATGGAAATATGGAATTATGCAACTACTTAGATCGGTAGATGAGTCTGGTTTACGATTAGGAGATACCAGCATTTAGCGAAAAATTATTGCTGTTTTTGAACAAATCACCATGAAAAAAAAATTGATATCGCGAACTCAAGCGAAATATTTATTGTAATTCTTAAGTGCTTTCAAAATACTCCTTTGCGACAGAAATGAAAATATTATTTTGTGACATGTGAAGCTTGAAAACGAAATCTTATTTTGAAGAGTCGCGAACCTAAATAAAATCGTTTTCTGAAGAAAATTTAAATGAACAGGCCGGAGTAAATTACTTTCAAGGGTATGATTAACAACTCGATGTCACTGACGAACATAAAACACTTCTTTGTACTAAAAATGTAATTTCAATGTATTATTAAAATCCCTCCGGTTGTCTGATTCAAAATTTCAAAATAAGAATCGTCTGAAAACAAAATATCGCGTAGAATTTGTAGCGTAAGATTTGTTTTTAACTCTCTCAGTGGAACCAAGTTCGCTGACAGCCGACAGCCCGACAGATTTTTTGCTTTCAACGATCGATTTATTCAAACCAGCGGCTCCATATTCTATAGCAGCTTTTGATGGGAGATGTTCAACGTTTATTATTTTTTTAAGATGCGTAATTTCCAAAAAAATATCGATTAAATTTTGAAAACCCGACTTCAAAAAGACGCCAAGTTAAAAGGAAATATTCACGTTTGCCGTGGCACTCTGTTTACACCAAATCATTCTGGAAATGTCGCCCAGCTTAGCATAATATATTCTTAAACGTGGGCGAGGGGCAGATCATTTGAAGTTAAAAAGGTCTGGTTAGAAGGAATTTATTTGTATTCAAGTCACAATGCTTGCTTAAAGCTCAAAATTAGCATTAAAATGACACAGAGATTAATTGAGCAAGAAGATAACTAACAATGAGAATGCGAAGTGAAAGCCGGCTGACCGAACCAACAAAACCAAGAAGAAAGGCTTTTCCTTAATTGTTTTTTTTTTAACAGGAGAAAATTGAAGTAAACGGTGAAAATGAAACCAAACTTTAAGCAATTTTGCTCCTTCAAAAAACCTTTGCAAACCCAAAAGAAATTTCTTAACAAATGCGCTCACTTTCTGCTATTCCTCGTTTTGTTCTGAGCCGTATTTGGCAGTTTGCAGAGATTATTTGTCAAGTAATTATGAATTCAGATGAGTTTCCGGTTTAGTCTACCGCACATGATACCATTAATGATGAAGCGAAAGTTTATCAACAGACAAAAGTTATTATACCTCGTAAACATCAATAACGAATTCTTTAGAACATAAAGTAATCCTTTTGTCTTCGAAATAAAGTACCAGACGACGTCTTATTTTGGACTGAAACGTCCGCGGCAATAAGAACACTTCCAAATTCTTCTGGGACTATAAGTCTCTCGGCAATCGTATGTACCATTACAAAATTCTCTTGAAGGAAATATTTCGAAGATAGAAATGTTAGGGGTGGGGAATTTTGAACGCTTCCCGTCCCTACATCGTGAGTTTCTGTTCGTCAGTCGGTTCCAGTTCTCTCGTGAAAATTTTCACACGTTCAAAGCCTTGAGAGACCTTTGGAAACTTGCAATAAATAACACATTTTCATACCTGGATCTTCCTCTTCCATGTCACCTAAGAGTGTCTTGTCGCTTGGCGTCCTGTTTGGTTGTATAAACTGGAACAACAGAGCGTTCATTTTCAAACGCGTCTGTCTTTACGCACCCCTCGGTAACAGAGATTTTACACCAAAAGTGCTGACTGCTTATCCCCAGATTTGAAGCAAACAGTCCCTGAAGACGTACTGACCTTCCATACGATAAAATTTCTGTAAGACGTGTTCGAAATGATTCAGAGTTTAGGTGAAAATCCATTGCTACGAATACATTGATTCCATGTTGTCACGTTACGAGAAATTAGAAAGCAGAAATCAAGAAAGCTGACAAATTGCAATATATATTCCTGCTCACTGCTCTGTCGTCTCTTTACATTTGCTTTATCATTCGTTTTCCCGTTATTCTGCAGAAAAAAATGTGCCCGTAGAATTACAGGCTGAAAAACGCCACAAAAACTTCACTATGTAGCGCGTTTTGTTTGTATATCCGTACGCCGGGATATGAATAATGGATTTAGTTTTATAGGGCGAAGATTGGATGTTCAGACTAGTAAAAGACTGCTGGTACCTGTTGAATTAAATTGTTCTCGTTTGTAATACGATTAAACTTTACGAAATCTTCAGGCTAAGCCGGGATCACAAAACTCCTTAATCACCAATAAGAATCAGGATATTTCAAGCATTATCCAGTTGGTGTCTTCAAAGTATTTAATTGTGACTGGATCAGAGAAACAGATTTTCAAAATTCTGTGAAGCTGGAACTACACCGGATGAGATTTCTGCATACTGCGATATTCCGCTAACGACCGTTCACGAAGACAACGACAACGCATGCTCTTAGCTCTATGATATAACACAAAAACACTTAAATTGATTTAGATTATCAAACGGGTGCTGCAAAAAACATCAGGCATGAGGAAAATATTCATTGTTCACCAAGTAATGCTGATAATAATTGTTAAAAAATCTGGCACGAAAGAGAAGATTGTTATATTGATTATATATTGATTATTGTATTGCCCGGATGAACACAGAATCAAACACGCAGAACTAAATCTCGACGGATCAACAAAGTATTATGTTGGACTTTCATTCCTCGATCTAATATTTAGCCGCTGGGTAATTCTCAGCAAAAAGTGGTATTGTAAGATTTTTAAGCATTTCTACCGAGCCTTCTGTTGCAATGTAGCCCATTGATTTCATCACATCACGGCAATATCTCTCAATCACGTTCACTGAACAGGAATCTATTAAACGTCGCCACTTGTTCAGAATCTCCAAAGAATTTCTGATAACAGATACAGGATTTCGCTTCTCCGCCCTTAAATCCTTAGCGCTGGGCTGTGTTATGTTTACAATCCATTGTTTGATATTTCCTAACACTTCAAGTCCAGCATACTCGAACAAAGACTGCAAAACGGTTAAGGGTGCCACCGCCAAGTCTTCATATCGCACCAGTCTTACACGACTGCGAAGCGATACTGGAAGATTTCTCACCAAACGAAGATTTGCCTCCGTCATCTGACAACGAGAATGAACAAATTGTCTCATCGATGACTTTTCCCTTCTGTTCACTTCTTTGAAAAAGGCTACCCTCTGAGAAGACATTACCACTGGTCTTATATCACGTAATAAATATATGATTTTGCACTCTATTCCCGCCAATTCGCAAGTTTCAAAGAGCTTTTCGATTGATTGGCCAGGAATCCTTTCCAAGAGAAGCTTATAAACAATTGTATCATGTTGTTTTTTACACGAATGTTCAATATTTTCTTGTGTTACAGTTAAACAGTCTTTTCTTCGCCATCTAGGATCTCCCTGTCTAAAGTTACAGAATGGCGGAGAGCTCAGGGCTCGACTATAGAACCGAAAAAAACTGCCGATATCCCGCGTTGAATTTCCCGCACTAAAGTCACACTTGAAAATGTGATGAAGAAGATTCATTGCAATTTTATCATAATCCTCAGGTTTTGTTCTCTGAATTCCATGAAGTGGCTCAAACACGTAAAATACTCGTGGATGTTGGTTGAAAATGCTGGCCAGAAACGTAGAACCAGACCGGCCATGAGCAACAATTAACACAATCCTTTGCTTCCTCTCCAGAGCCTTGTCCGTCGGCTTAACAGGAGCCCTCGGTATCGTGGTCATTGGCTCTGTCAATGAAAATAACCTCTTCGAAGCACCAAGTAGATCCTGGCTCAGAACAATGTGTCGGTGCACTGACATTTCAAGAAAAGCAAAAAATAAACCCAATGAAACAGCAGAGAGGACCAACAAGGAACCAAAACCAAACTTAATTTTTGCCCATCTAGCCATTGTTGTTGATAACACCGATAACTGAACCTCTTTAAATGTTTCACCACAGCTACAAAAGAAATTAAGAAATACAGGACTGAACCTTGTTAGCCTTCATATAATTGGAATTAAATACCGCATCGTTAACGTTTCAAATTTGCATCGATCGACCTAAATTTTTAATGTCTTCTTGTTTTCAATAGTTTCATCCCCAAATAAAACAGCAGGTTATAAACGTATAACTATATATGTGTGTCATATGAAGTTTCACGGTGAATAGCACCAACTTCCGCTGTTACTGGGTTAGTTTGTGCATGTAAACAGTGAACATTTCCTTCAAAATATATTTTTAGGGAACTAAGTTCAAAATAAATGTAAATGAAGTTTCAACAACAATGTGCTCACATTAAAACGTTTCGTTAGATAAAAACTTGTTAAGGAGAGTTTGAAGGCTATTCTAAACTACACACAACAAAATTACGCAAATAACTGCATCGAAAAGAGTTACAAAGGCATACTGAGAGCGACGAAACGCGTTGTTTTTTTATTGCTCGAATCGTGATTGTTAAGTTGGATTGTTATTTCGATAGCTGTATTTGACATGTTAAGCAAATTGTAAACTATTTCACCAGAGATTAAGTATGTTTTCAATCTTTCTGTATTGCACAGAACCAGGAGCCCAAGTGATGGGCTCCTGACAGAACTAATCAAAAACATATCACAAAGATTTCAGATGAAACTGCAAACAAAGACCACAGAATTTCACCAATGCCACAATATATTTATTATTTGGTCTGTTTTACGTACCACTCTCCCACACTGCAGGTGGTAATTTTCAGTTCGCATCAATGAAGTAAAAAACACTTTAGTAAAATGCGTTACCATCTGCAATAACATTTGTCCTCATTTGCTATCGATCTGGCCCCTGTTGTTCGAGAGATGGATAACGCTATCTATTGGATAAATTTCTATCTGGTGGATGCGCAGTACGTTTTTTTTAACACTTATCAGCTGGATAGCGATTTATCCATTGGATAGTGTTATCTGCCCTTTCAACACCTGGGCCCTGATCACCAGCGTGGGCCTTTTGGCATTGAAGGTCACGTGATTACGGGGAACTCCAAATATGGTCAACTCACTCTGAAACTCCTGAATGATCACTTGGGTAATTCTCCTTTCTAACTGCAATACATTTTCTTAGAAATCAGTTGAGAGATTTTGTCGGTTACCTGAGTTTAATTTTTTTTAGTAATTATTATAAGGCTCCACAAGCTAGGTTTGTAACATCTTAGGATAAATTTAGCAAGTTTACACGTGTATTTCAAAATTATCGTAGCACAAACCGATTTGTGGAATTGACGTGACAAGTTTCGGCGAAACCAAGTGGTTAAACGAAACTGAAATCATGAAATTCATGGGTATAATTAAGATCAGGTTGACGAGGGAAGTCGAGTAAAATCCGAAAATACCCGAGGAAATGCCGAGTGCTCATGAAGAAAACCGAGCTAGTTTACTCCAAGATAAGTAAAATCGAGAAAATACCGAACATTCACGAAGACTTAGCCGAGCGTTCGCGAAGAACACCGAGATTGAGATTGCCAAGGTGTTAGGGATAAGAAAAGTATAATCGAGTTAGTACTGAACATTAGCGAAGACCTAGCTTGTGATTTATAAGGTGATTGGTTCAATAAAAGTATAATGAAAATTTCCGGATGTTCGTAAAAAAAAAATGAGCTTGAAATTTCCTTAGCAGCGAGGAAAATTGAGAAAAAGCCGAATGTTCACGAACCAAATATGTATGGATTGTCTAGGTGATAAACACACGGTTGGAGATGCTACTTCTCTCATCGCCGCAGGAAATTAGTAATTTCTTCTCGTTGACAAAACAGCTGATTGTTCTGTACGTGTTGACAGGCTTAGATTTCCATTGTTCACTCTTAGGGTTAATTTACTGAAAACGATCCAAGACCAGTCAGAATAGTGTCGTTATAACTTTTCTCAGGTTTTTCCATAGATGGAACATACAATCCGTGAACGATAGTCTTTATCACCCACTACATTTCATTGTTAACGCAGTGTTATTTCACATGACGTTTTAATGGCATAAATTTGTTTCAGAGATGCAATCGATACATCAGAGAAAAACATGATACAAATGAATAATACAAAAAGCTTTCCATTTACTGAGTAAATATCTCAATCAAATGTACAAGCTGTACTCCTTTGAAGAAAACATTCCAAAATCTGTTCATTTTTGACAAGGGAAAGTTTCACTCTAACTGACCAGCCGCATATATTTTTAACCCAACCACTGAGAACAGTCATGAAAAAGAGTAATTTGAAATGTATATTGCAACTGAGGAAATTGAGAGAAAAGCACCGCTATTTTGATAAAATGTGACAGCTATTTGGTAAGCAGCTACATAAATGTTGGCTTAGCTAAAATAGTGTTTTGGAAGCAGATGGTCGAACAAGCACATTGAATTAACAGTATGTAAAGCCTATTTTAAGTCACTTTTCAATAGACTAGGAATAAATTAAATTTTACTTTCACGTTTACTCACAGTGAATCTAGAACTTCAAAGTGTGGATATCCAGACCCAGTTTACAACAACAACGTGATGAAGTAATTCTTGTGTGTATTTTCTCTAACCTAAAGTTAGATATTTACTTGTCTATTATGAAGAAATCAAAGCTTGATAGCATTTAACGCTTTTCATTGGCTGGTTTGGTGTCAAATCAGTGTAGTTGCGTACAGAGAACCGTGCGTGCATGCAACTCTGAATCGACCAATCACATCACAGCACCCATCGTGAAATGGCTTCTTTCCCCGCCGTGAAGATAGTTCTTTCAACATGGCCATAAAAGAACTAAAGAATTAATTGGAGAAATGGCTTCTCTCTAGCTGAGCAAGAAATTGGATCGTTTGATCATTACTATGGGATACATTTTTTATTCCAAAGAATCCTTTTTAAAAACATCACGAAAGGGGCTGAAACATCAAATTTCGCTCGGTTTGGGCGCCCATAGCTCAATTATAAAAAACACTTAAGTCAATTTGGAAAGTGGGAAGGAAATTTCAGATGTGCAGAAAGAAGCACGGACGAAAAGCTGTGGAGACGAACAGTCTGACCTAAAATTTGATGAAAGGACAGGCCGACGGGGAGACATACTAATTATGTTCGCACTCAGCCGGCGGACTGCAATTGCTATATCCAATTTTGCGCTGTATAATTCTCGTTAAATAGTGGAATCGTTGAATTTTGGAGCATTTCCACCGAACCATCTGTTGCAACATATCCCATCAATTTCATCGCATCACGGCAATATCGCTCAATCACATCCACGAAACAAGAATCTGCCAAAAGTCGCCACTTGTTCAGAACTTCCAGTGAGTTCCTTATCATTGAAACTGGGCGTTTTTCCTCTTTTTTCAAATCCGCAAAACTCGGCTGTGTTATTTTCACGATCCATTGTTTGATATTTTCTAGCATTTCGAGTTCTGCGAATCGATACAAAGAATCGAAAACTTGCAGCGGTTCGGCCGCTAAGTCTTCATATCGCACAAGTCTCACACGACTTCGAAGAGATGGAGGAAACTTTTTCACCAGGTAAAGATTCCTCTCAATCATTTCGCAGCAAGAATAAACGAACTGTCTTAGGGATGGTCTTGTTTTCCGATCAACCTCTCGAAAAAAGGCTACTTTTTGAGAGGACATTACAACTGGTCGCATATCACGTATTAAATAAATAATTTTGCATTCAACATCTGCCATTTCGCACACGTGGAAAAGCCTCTCAAGTGATTGGCCAGGGATTCTATCCAAAAGAAGCTTATAAACGACTGTGTTGTGCTGCACTTTACACGTGTGTTCAAGCTTTTTTTGAGTAACAGGCGAACAGTACTTTCGGCTCCATTTTGGATCTCCTTGCTTGTATTTGCAAAACGGGGGTGAACTCAATGCTCGGCTGTAGAAACGAAAAAAACGACCTATCTCTTTGCTTGTATTACCCATACTGAAGTTGCATTGAAAAATTTGTTGAAGATAATTTGTCGCAAAAGTATCGTAATCCCCGACTTGCATTTTCCTAATCCCGTGCAGTGGTTCGAAGATATAAAAGACTCGTGGATGCTTGTCAAAAATATCAGCTAGAAATGTAGAACCAGATCTTCCGTGGGCAACAACCAACAAGACTTGACGACTTTTCACCTTGTGCTGCAACATCCTCTCTGTCAAATCGTTAACTGAGCTTGTTTTGATTTCCAAAGGAGCCTCATTTGTCGTTAGATTTGATGTTGTAATAAACGTACTCCCAGACTGAAATACGTTTCTGTTCTTGACAACGTCTCGGGATGTTTGGAGTAAAGCGAAAAATAAACCAACAGATATAAAAGTGAATATTAGCAGGAGGATGAGGTTTCGTCGAACTCTCCGGCGAAAGGCCATTACGGTGTGGTTTAGAAAGTCTTCACCTTGAAATATATAATAATTATGTCAGACTCATATTAACAAATTAAAAAAAGTTTTTGCCATGTATCAGCTAATTTAAACTCCGACCACGTTATATTTCTATTTGTTGTCAATCCAAAATTTAAAACTTTCCATTACCTAAAACAAATTAAATAATTGTATCGGAAAGATTACGATGAATTATAAAATGATGAGAAATTTTCGACAAAGAAGGTGGTTGTTCAGAAACAGATTCTTATTTTGCGTATAGATGATAAACTGCTGCCATATTAATTTTTTTCCCTTTTTTCTTTCACGATTTCCAAAGTGTCCGAAGCTCGATGACTTATGAAGTTTAAGAACGAAATTTTAACAAAAAAATTAATCGTTTTACCTCAACATAGAGAGTTCCGAACACTATGTATAATTTTTCTAGTACAGAAATGAGTCATTTTATTGTTAATCGTATGCCTTCGATCCAAACTTGTTCGAACGAGCGCCGAGTGAAACGGTTGAATATTTGCGCAAGACTATTCATTTGTTAATGCGACCAAAATTGATGGGGAATTTATCCCAACCCCTGCAGCCTATATGCTTATTTTTTTTCAGACATACAGAATAGCGATAAGAACTATGAAACTGGTAGCCTTCGGCATCATAAGAGTATGTCTCGCGGCCATGTAAATGAGAATCCCTTCATCCAAATCGTTGTAATTTTTTTCTTCGATTCTTAACCAGATTTTTTAGGCCAAATACTCAAGGTGAAGAAATTTATCGAAGCCTTTAATCTTAAAAGTGCGAAGATTCGCGAGGTTCTTCAACGAATATTTTTTCCAGTGGAAAATCAAAATACTGCACTAGAATTGATTGATCTTTACGTTACTTTGGCCTTAGCTACCGTCGCATGCTCTTTGACTGAATCTTATGGATAACTTCGACCACTGGAGACACAAAAATATACGAGGACGCGCTTAACGTGCAGAGCCACTCGAGAGCAGATAAAAGGGAAAAAGAACCCTCCTAATATAACAAATTGAAAAAAACATCAAAACTGTCAATTCTTCCTAATTCATAGCTTTGTAGGAAATTACAGTGGAGCTAGGAAACTGATCAAGCGATTGGCTGACATGGCAACCGCGCGTAATGTGGTTTACAATTTCATTAGGTACAAATTTCGTATAATACTTTTCGAGAGACTCAAATTTATTTTTGTCTTCCTCTTCAGTAATTGCCCAGTCAAAAAATATAACAACCTCTTCAATAACAATATCAAACAAGTGGATATCTTTTCAGTCAGCGATCTCTATAAAGGTCACTCATTAGTATTGCCTTGCACTTAGTTTCTGCTCTTAATTTTACACGAAACCGATCCTGAGCTGGCGAATTTTAAAACAGACCACACTGTGCATAAGTCTCGTCCATCGCGTCTTGTTATCTCTGTTTCATGCAACTGTGACAACCAATTAACGAATATTGTTCAACCATCTTGGTTGAACAATATGGTTGTACAAACAATATCACAGTTCTATTTAAAAATTCTCAGGAGTATAATATCAAGAAAGTGCAGAGAGTTAAAAAAAAAGAAAACTTGTAAAATCAGGCAGATGACAAAGTATTTTCGGATCACCTTTCTCTTCTGTTCATGCCACATTGGAGCCAATTTTCTTTGCTGTCATTTGTTAGTGATAAACGCAAGTAGATTTTGTACTGATTTTAGTGTCATGGGAGAACTGTTAATTCTTATAGTGAGTCAAATACAATCGAACACCTTAGCCGATCGATACATTTTGAGACTAATGAAGCCAAATTAAAAGAAGTACTAGTTCTAGCCTGTTTCAGTTTGGGCATTCAGTTGCTGGAGATGAGTGAAAAGGCGGGACGAGCAAGAGAAAAACGAGACTGAGGGGTCTGAAAGGAGAGGAAAGGCTGGACCCATCGATACTCAGTTCCAAAAAGCCTGGTGGTTTTCTTTAGCCTGTTCATTTGTCCATTGAACAAAAGCTTTCCTTGCTCAGGGCAACTCTATGATGTGTTACGTTACTTACCGAACGGTCGAGTAAGTTTCCTTGAAAATGCTTTCAATTTGCTTTAAAAAGGCTCATCTAGTTAAACGTTTTCAGTTAGTCTCGTTATTCCTTTCAGGAACATTATGTGAGATAAAATAACCAATCTTAGCTACAACATTAAGATTGAGACGTTGAACGTCAACAAATAGGAGCAATAAATAACAAGGAGTAACGTTAAAAATATTGATCTGATTGGAAAATATCAAGAACCAATTCGCTCAACATTATCAGAGCTAAAAACAACTCAACAACACCGTTTCCATTTCAAAACCATGGTTTTATTTAATATTGCAGTTCCATGATATCCATAGTACCTGTTCTCGTCCTCGACCAACAACGCACATTTGCTCTGACGAAAGAGTAATACTCGAAACGTCAGTTTTAAAAATTCTCCACGGCGGTCAATTTATAACATCGAACAACTCAGTTGATTAAACTAAATTAGCTCACAACGATTCACAAAGCCCCACAAAAGTTTGAAAGTCTAAATAGAGTTCTCTGGAGGGCCATGTAGTTTCACTGTTCAGAATTTCAAAAGCTCATTTTCCAGTTGTTTGAAATGCGTGATGGAGGAGATTAGCAAAGACGAATTTCCCTTGCGACTCCCATCGTGAGGAAGAATTTCTGACCGTTCAGAAACTATTTTTCATTGTACAAAGACCACAGACTAATTCTGGAATCTTTTCCACCGGCAGCCAAGAGCTGTCCGTGGTCACACAGATCTTCTGAGAAATCCACCGTGTTTATAGTTTGTGTATGATAACTAAGGTAAGCCAATGGTTTGAGTGTTTTCCAGCTGTATATTCTTATCCTGTAGATATATAAAATCACTATTTCAATAATCGTTGTCCCCACCACAAACATTAGGATTATAGATATCGTTACAATATTTATTGGTGGCATCAATATAAATTTCAATATCGTTACCGTTAAAAAAATCTAAAGAATTATCGTTATCAACCCTTTAACTCCCAAGATCGGACTATCAATACTCCCCTCTTGCTGCTACACATTCCCTTGTACATCAGTAAAGAGAATTTGGTGTAAGATCAAGGTAACAACTACCAGACAAATCTGAGTATTCTCATAACCCATTTGCTGGGTAATGTATAGATATTGTAGAAAGAAGTTACATGTTAATCACTTCTGGTTGTAAAAAGGAATAAATTTGAATATTAGTAGAACAAGATTGTGAAGTCAAAATTGCGAGGATGAAATTCAACTTATCTATGTAATTGTTCACGACAATATGCACTGCTATAACAACATCTAATTTCTCCTTACAGTATCAACCCTGAAACAAACATAAAGTTTATGAGAATTAATGTTAAATGGTTGATAAATGGCCCACAACTTTACCTGCCATCCCATCCACCAGTGGCCAGTATTTTACGATCTTTCCTGATTTTGACTGAAGCAATGCCTGGGTTTTTCAGTTCAATTTCTTTTTCCACTGTTATGCTGTGCTAGAGAGAATATATGGACGGTATCATGTCTGCAGCAGTAAGTGAAACAATTCTAACAAGACCCTGCACATACCTGAGGTGTTACTGATGACACACACAGCTTACTACCCGCCGAGCCAGACACTATTCTGAGGTCCTCTTTGTCTACATCCATGCAGAGAACTAAAAGTAAATACAAACATGTTGAAGGAAATAAATAAGTTTTTACCTATCCAGCAAGTAAAGGCTTCAAGTTATGGGTTTGAGTCAAGCCATTAGAAGAGAGACAAGTCAAACTGAACCCTTTTACTCCCAAGATCTCATTTAGTAATTTTCCTTACTGTCTGTCATACAATTCTTATGATGTTAGATCTGAGAATTTGTTAAAGGATCAACTCATAATCCCCTTATTGATTGTCTTTATTCTCTTTACTTGTCTGCTGGATATTGTATCGATATTGTATGGAGAAATTCTGTCTTGGTCACTCATGAGAGTTAAAGGGTTGATGGCTTTTACTGCCTTAACTTTATTATTCCAGAATCACGTAAGAAAGTGATGGGAATTAAGGAAATGATCAACAACTAAAGAAACTTTTGATTGTTAAACAAATTCTCCTTGTCAGCAGCTTAGGAAATCTATAAAAAAACAGTATTGAGAATATGCATACCCATGTTAGGGAGCAAAGGGTTCATATTTTCAAGGATTTGGACGCACAAACTTGAAACTCCACAATAGTTGCATGTTCGTAAATGTGCAAAACTACCAAAGATTGATGATTAACCTGACTCAGTGTGAGTTGGATTTCTACTCAAGATTTTTCCAGCCATAACATCCCAGAGCACAAGCTGACCACTTTCATAACCTGCGATCAAGAAGGGCTTGTCTGTTGCTGGATCAGAGATCAAGGAGATACACATGCACATCCCTGAGAGGAGAAAAAGAAAAGTTTTATAACAGTAAGCAAGTGGTTACCTATTAAATAGACACATTTACTGCCAGGGGATATTATAAGACAATTCTGCAGTTGATTAATGAAATGTAAATTTGCGCATTTTGAGCATTAGCCCTTTGTCATAGAGACAGACAAAGGGCTATAGCTGGAAATGTCAGCCTCAGAAGCTCTCCACAATGGCCAATTTACATTATCATCTCAGTTCATAAAAAAAATTAGTATTTACTACACAGGTGAATGGTGCTTTTCACCCTTTTTGGAAGTGAATAGCAAGTACTAGTCACCTCGGAGCAGCAGATAAGACAAAATTGTGAGTTGAGTTTTATTTCCTACCAGCATTTCTCTGTACATTTAAAGAAATCAACTGTTTTTTTTGTATCTGTGTGGTATATACTAAAACAATTATTCACCTAAGTGTCATTGGAAGTGGTGGATATTTACCTCTCTGCTTTGCGGCTCAGTAAATATCCACCATTATTCACCTCCACTTTGATGAATAATTGTTAATAATGAGAAAACTATAGACTAACTTGTTGCCTGGTTGCTTGATAGGAACATTTGACTGTATGTATTGATCACAAACTAACAAAATAATTCATGCAATGCACAACTTACCAAGTGATTTTCCATTGTCAGGTTTTAGAGCAAACAAGATTTCTTTTGACTCCAGATCATGAATATTAACCTATGATCAGCATTAAAGAAGAAATAAAAAACAAACTCAATTTGTTAGCATAGAGACTATCATTACCCTCACATCTTTCATTTCTCTTGTCAATACACCCAGTATAAACTTTTAAAACTCATTTATGAATTCTCACACTTACATCAAATAAGATTGGCGAGCAACAACCAAAACCATAAAAAATGATAATTAACCCTTGCCAAAAAAAACAAAACAAAACAAAAAAAAAAAACCCTTGCAACTAATTTCACCTTACAATATCACCCCCAAATCACATATTAAAGTCACAAAAATGAAGGAAGTGATCCCCAACTAAAGGAGCTCTTTATCATAAGAAGAATTCTCCTACTAAGATCTTAGCAAATATATAGAGAACAGCATAGAGAGTGTGGATATTAATGTAAGACTATGAAGGGCCAAGAATGAGAGCTTAACCATGATAACCAACCTACCAATAAAGAAGACAATAAGTGTGGTCTTTATTACCTGGGAATTACTGGCTGATGGCAGACCAATCCAATGGGACTTGTATCCTGTAAATGTAAATTTATGAAATAGCTTTGATCTTTTTAGTTCCTATCAATGTTACCTTATATGTTATGGATGGAGAACAGATGGTCACTGAAGATAGGGGCACACAGAGGGACACAGGTGGGTACCGCAGCAGTTGAAACAGCCAATCGGTGGCAGGGTTTGAAGGGGAAGATAACAATTATAAACACAAGTATAGCTAGCTTTTTACAACTTGCCAACAGTAGAGAAAGAAATTAAGGAGATGAGGAGGTATCAAGCTCATGGCAAAAAACCGACAGATGGGGAGGAAGCATGTTACTGCCCTACATGCCACTGAGGCATAAAAGGCATGAGTGAGAGTGATAACTAGCTTTTTACATCACCTCTTAACAAAACACAAAACTGACAAAATCCAAGAAAAGGAGCTGTGATACTGTTGACCACCTCTTTTCTTCCTTCAGAACACTGCCATATTCGTAAATACCCATCCCTGCCATGACTAAAACAATAAAAATAATTTGACAAAAAATAAGTTATCTTATGGAAATATTCACCAAATGGTTAAAGTGATTATTATAGTTATGATTTTAGAATCAACTTTGATAGAAATTTTTTGAGAATGAAATGTAACAACTATACTCACTACCCCTAATAATTAGATCAACAACTGTTACAGCCAAAGTATCTTAATTTTTTTTTAATTAACCTTTTAACCACTAAGAGTGACTAGCATCTAATTTCTCTAATATAATATCACCCTTAATTCAAACATTGAGGTCATGAGAATAGAGGAAATGATCACATACTAAGGAAGCTTTCAATTTTTAGGAAATTTTCCTCATCAGCACTTTATGAAATGTAAGGAGAACAGTATAGAGATTATACAAATTCATACTAAGGTGTGAAGAGTTAAAGGAAAGACAATTCAACAAGTTATAACCAAGGAGTGATTATTTTTCCCTTGAAAGTTGAATTATGAAGTTTATTTGCATGGATGTGGTAAGCATATGGTACCTTATCACATTCCCACAAGGGTGAAAATCGGCAGCAAGGATGGCATGTCCATCATGACCATCTAATATTATCTCTGATCTTTTTGTTTTAAGATTCCACAAACTAATAATTCCTTTAGCAGACCTGCAAAATCAAGGGTAAACTTAGATATCACAGTATTCCAGCTATGTAATCATATCTCTTGATGGTCATTTTTCCAAGGGGAGGGGTGAAGAGGGCTAAGGAAAAAGTGAGTTTGATTATTACACCTGCAAATGTAAGCAAAGCACAATCAGAAACGATGGAGGTTGTTCCGGTGATTCAGTTGCATCATGGAGGATGACTGTTTCAAACATAACTGTGATCAAAAAATCACACTAGTGTTGACTTCGTTCAATGTTCACAAACCGTACCCAGAAAGTAGAAGTCCTTCTTCCCTAACAGACTTTGGAGCAAACTTGACGACATTTAAGGCTGCTTCTGTACCGCGCAGAACATACAATGGGTCCGGAGGGCTTCTATTTTCCATGATGGTTGCATGCCTTCATGCTTCCACTTCGCGGTTTCTTTCTTTCTTGAATTGCTTCCTTTTTACAAGGCGTTACTTGACAATACGAAGGAGAATGGAACTAGTTGCCTACACCACTGGTCCATGGACTTTCGGCTCAATTAAAATGGCCGCAGACTTTTGAGATAGTAAACGAACAGATTAGACTACCATTTTTTCCCTTTCGGTTTTGCAAGAAGTAATGTTTAATGGGTCTTTTTATGGAATTAAGGTTTTAACGTCCAATTTTAATGCCTGGCTTTTGAATCGAAGGTCGCGTGACATGCAATGAACGGTATAAAGTCACACGAATCTAATTTCGAATTGATTTGCAACTTACGCGTCAGACGCAGTCATGTCAGTTGACAATGGGATGAATCAGCTGGCAGATGTTGTCAAAGCACCAACGGCGTTAACTGTCAGCGAAAATAGTAAATGGAGAACTGAAATTGAAGAAATGGAAAATAACTCGGAAAATGTCTCCTCCATAGCTGGTATGAATATAACGACTTATTCTGAGGAGGAATCGCTTAAAGAGATGCCGCATCAGACAGAGAGAGTACCGCTCAAGAGAAATTCTGATGAAGACTACGTGGATAATAAACGACGAAGAACAGAAGGAGATCAAGCTGCTATGACTCGGTCAAATGACAGGGAAAACGTTAACAGTACAACTGGAGATGAAAAACAAGAAGGAGAAAATCAAACAGATGAACAAGAACGAAAAGTTATTATCAGTAGGTGTTAACTATTCTTTTGTTTTTCAGATAAGTGTTAAGCTGTGAATACGTTAAACTTTTAATATTTTACAACAACACTTATGATGTAAGGAGCCTAAGAAACAGGAATGAATTTCCCTAAATGCTTATATATAGAGGCTACCATGAAAACTACAGCAAAATTATTTCTTAAAAATATTTTAAAAATTATAACAAGAAGATCCATGTGTAAAGAATACAGGTGAATGATACTTTATTAAAAGCTTTTACTCAGTTACATAGTTATTGTCAGCATTCACTTGTACAGGGGACTCTGCAGTGGTTTGCAATGAAGATCTTCAATAGACTGTTAAATAATACATCCCCAAGAGTTTGGTAAATTATCCAACAATAGTTATTTAGGAGCAGGTGTTGATCATGTAGATGGACAAGCTAAATAAAGACACTTCATCCTTTATAATCTTGATGAAAATTTTCATTTTCTATAGAGTTAACATATCATCTAAAATGTGGCTTGATTAGCCAGCCAAGGCTTAGAAACGGCACTAGATGACATGTTTCATGAGTTAAGGAGAGCTTTAATTGTGGGGAGGACACCCATACTGTTAACTTTTTCTGTTGAGACTGAGTGCACATATATTAACTAGATAATTATTGTTGTCCATATGAATGTGTGTCACTTTTCACACATCTTAAAACTTTTTTGATAAGAGTAAAAAAGGCTTAACAGTGCATTGAAGTGATATTAAAATGTTCTTGATAATAATTAGTCATTTGCATCTGTTGTTTATGTTTGTGATGAAAATTTTTAAATATGACTAATATAAATGAACAGAGCAGGTGTTTCCCATTCTTTCAACTCTAAATGAGTGACCAAGACAGAGTTTCTCCTTACAATATCAATACAATATCAAGCAGACAAGTAATGAGAATAAAGAAAAACATAAATAGGAGATTGTTGGTTGATCTAATACCAAATTCTGTAAACTAAAATCATAAGAATGATTTGGATTACAGTAAGGAGAATTAATAACTAGATCTAGAGAGTGAAAGGGCTAAGGAATGATTTCCTGAGTGAAAAGTCTCTTTTCGTTCTAATAAACTATAGCAAAAATAATTAAAATAAGCTTGATGAATCCTATATTCCCTAACTGTGTTCTTTAAACATACACAAAGACACTTAATAACTCCCTTATGTTTAATGGGTGTATTTTACTTAATGTTTGCTTTGTCTCTTTTAGTGAAGGGAAGTCTGCCAAAGCTGGCATTGCCAGAGGGTTGGATAGCACTTAATCATCGCAGTGGAGGAATTGTTTATCTCCATAAGCCATCAAGAGTGTGCACTTGGTCTCGTCCTTATCATATTGGCGGAGGAAGTGTTAGGGTAAAATTTTCTTTATGTTTCATACAACATATTTCATTTGAAAGCAAAGACAGGATGGCACTATTTACTTGCAGTTTTTTCAGAGGGCTTTGTTAAAAATCTATTACAAGTATTTTGATTCTTGATGTACCAAGTTGGGTTTGGAAGAGTCTTTAGTTTGTTTACAGAATTAGGTACCCATTTTTCTATGTTAGTATTAAATAGGGTTAAAGATTCTTCAAAATGTTCCAAGGAAAGTTTAAAGGCAAAGGGGTATTCTGTATAACCTAAATACAGATTAGGAAGTGAAACAGAACCTGATGTAGTCCAGACTTTGGTTAGAAAATTGTGGGAACAAATTATTATCATTATGTATGCTCAGAAGGCTTTCACCATTTCAATCCAGTGGGTGTCCAAAAAAGAATTTTGTTTTAAAAGAAATATAAAGTGAACACCTTTTCAGGCAGACAGTAAATCAGAAGAAAGAACAATATCAGCTGAGGGATTTTGTTTGATTTGACAACAAATTCTCAGAGCTAAAGATTTAGGAAACATAAAGCAGAAAGAATTGATATTTCCAGGTTATATCTTGGGAGTAAGTGGGCTAAAGCAGAAATGTTTAAACAACTGTTACAATAAGACTGATCTCTTATCTTTCACTTGCCTGCATCTTGCGCTTGCCTTAAAACTGCTACTGGTGGGTCTTTACTGCCCACGAGTTGCACTTTTAGTCACATGCAAGGAGCATATGTAGAGTGAAATGAGAATTATTGTAATGGAGACACTGCTTATCCTGAGCGTTCTTGTAACACATTGTTTAGAACTACCTGCCTCAGTCTGTGGGTATTGTGGATCTGACCTGGGTATACAAAACTCAATAGAGACTTTTTGGGGGTCTAGCATCTTAAATAAGTGTTTGCTCATGGAAAGAGTACCAGGATCATTTCTTTCAGGAAATGCTTGAAAGAGAAACATTTGTGAAGAGGGTAGCCTGAATTTTTTAAGAGGTGCCAAACATGAAAGCTGGAATTGGATCAGCCTATATTAAATTCACCTCTCTTCTCCTCTGTTCTTTTTGTATCCCTCTTATCATAATCATCAAAGGTTACTTTAATCTGAGAGACCCACTGAGCTATAAGGAAAGTATGAGAACTGTTTTGTTGCTGGGAGACTTCCAGGCAAACAAGGAGGGTTGGCATTTGTATGTGTGTTTAGTCTTTAAGTATTTATTTGCCTAGAAGCCAAGCCCCCAAACTTGAGATACTTTATTCTTTACTAGCAGTTATATTTTGTAATCAACAGCATAAAAACAAGAAGTACTGTAATCTGAACCCAATTCATTGTTCTTGACTGTCAGTTGAAAACTCTTCCAAAACTCAGTATGTAGAAGCTGCAAGAGTCAGTCAAAGTAAGATAAATTTTGAGTTTCTGCTGTTAAATAAATGTCTGTACTATAAACTGTAAACTTTCAGAAACATGATGTACCATTGGCTGCTATTCCATGCCTCCACCAGAAAAAGGGATTTTTAATAGAACAAAAGAATGCTGAAGAAACAAAGTCAGAGAACGGTATCTCCAAGTTAACAAACCCGGCAGGTTCAGTCTTAAATGCACTGAACACTCAGGATGTTGAAAAATGTTATGCGAATGACAAGGATAACATCACACAACACCCACAAATTACAGAGAATGCTCATGATTATAGTGAACAAGTTTCCTCAGTAAAAAATATCTCTGAAGAACAACAAGAGTCTACTGACAGCTGCAAGAAGACTCCAACAAGTTTGGAGTTATTAGAGGTTGGAGAACTAGGAAGATACTTGTCAAATTTATGGGAGTTTCATACCCTAACATCTGAACAAGAACGGTACGCTGTAATGCCCCTACCACACACTGTCGATGATCTTGAATTACCTTCAAGTCTGGAGTGTGTATCGTATCCAGTAAAAGGCTCAGAGAATGGGAAGAGCTCTGGTAAAGATTATCTGTTAAATGCTGGTGGTAAAACACCTGTGGCTTTATTACATGAGTACTGTCAGCGATTTTTGAAGTCCAAACCAGTTTATCTTGCCAGTGAATGTGCTAGTTCAGATAGTCCCTTTGTGGCAGAGGTACAAATAGATGGCATCAAACATGGCTCTGGGGCTGGTTCCAGCAAGAAAATAGCTCGCCAAATTGCTGCTGAATCTACTCTTGAAGTTCTGTTGCCAGGAACGTTTAAGAAAATTCGTGATTATCAGATCTCTGATGCCGAGCTAGAGGTAAGGTCCTGTTAGGACAAGCTGGAGTAGTTAGATTAACAGTCCTTTATTTACCCCATCAGTCTTAATTGGCTTTGAAGCTTGTCGTTTCTTGTCATTTCTTGTCATTTCTTCACTCCTAACCTTCTTCAATTTGATATGTCTATGAGCAAGCATACAGTTTGTTGTCGTATGATTCCCTTAATGAAATAAGAAATGCCAGACAGAGACCCTGAACATAATTACAGTAGAACCCCACTAACTCAAACCCGGGTTACTCGAACAAGATCCGATTTCCCTCAGATTTGACATCATTTTTCCAGTCATTTATTATCAGCTGACTCGAGCAACTCGAACTCTGTTAAATTAAACTAAATGTACTATCCTTTGACTCAAATTTGCCCTGATAACTCGATCTTTAGACAAAAACGTTGTTCGAAAGCTCCCATTCTTTAATCGCGATTGATACCATCGTGGTAACATTTATGAGAACGTAATTATTTATCCAAACTTTCCAAACTAAGTTCTTCTAAAACAGCTTTATGAACGGAAATGACTATTGATTGTCATTGACTTTGTCACTATCTGCTATATTATTATAATATTAATACTCTTTAGTAGATGTATTCATTTATTTTGTTCTTCTCTATTTTTACAGTTTTTTGACAAAGTAGACATCTTGAACCCTCGGCTTTACGAGTTTTGTTCGAAAACCTCTCTCCCCAGTCCCTCACAAGTCCTTGAGGAATGTGTAAGGAGGTGGGTAGATATTTTTAGAAATTTCCTTTTCTCTTTGGTGTCGTTGAAATGCAAAAGAAGAAACTGGCTCTGACACACTTAGTCTACCCTAAAGCAGCGAATAAATTAAAGTAATCAAAATGAATGATATTCTTGCCTATTGCAGTTGTTTTTGATAAGCTTGAAAGAGAGTTCTGTGCCTCTCCCATAGACATGTCATAATTGTTTATTACATCGACCCGAATGTAAATTTCTCTCTCTCTCCCTTTGATATAGAAATCAGGGTATTTGTTCTTCCATTGAGTTTTCAACCTTCTGCGAACAGGACAAAAGTCTCGTATTTATTATAACGTGTGGCAAGCATACAGCAAAGGTAAATTCAAAAATATCTTATCTTGTACCGATAGTTGGTAAAACGTAAAAGGCAATGTAATTATTTTTATGTTTTTGGTCGTTTGTGAAACTGAGTTCCGCGGTGTGAACCCCTTACCTTTTGACAGCACTTTAGCATATTCAATTTGAGCAAAGCCTATTAAAATCTGTGCCAAAAAAGTGGAAACATTCTATGCCTCGCCTGCGACCAGAGTTTTCCGCAGAAAGCTTTCGCAGAGCCAAGGGGAACATCTTTCAAATTATTTCCATTAGAAAATTCAACTCACACTTTTTTTTGCAGGTTCCTTGTAAAAACAAACGAATTGGCAAGCAGTTAGCGTCTCAGCATATCCTCAAAGTAAGTGTAGAAACAAATTAGCCCATATTTTGTGCATGCATTCTGCAGTGCATGTTAATGCTGTAAACAGAAGCGTAAATTTTGAGGCTCGTTGTTTTTAGCCACAGTTTTCATAAGTCTAGAAAATGCCTCTCAGAATTTTGCAATTCCTCTCTTTGATCTGCTGTGTCTATACCAGACTCAAAAGTCGACTAAGTTTCGAAAACACTAGATTTTTTCGGTAACCTTAGATTGGTGTTCGATGAAAAATGAAGATAAACTACGAAAGTTGTTTTGTAGGACGACCCGAAAATTAGTAAAATTATATGGCTTACCAGGATTCGACGTTTTCGAGTACTTCTTTTCAACACAAATATGTGAAGCTATTTTCACGTTTTTTGACATAAATTACGGGCGTTCTATGACCCATGTGATTTTATGTCATGTCTGTTTTAGAGCCTACATCCTCATCTCGAAAAATGGGGAGCACTTATGCGGATCTACTGCGACAGACCTACAGGGTCAATAAAAAAGGTATGCTCATGTAATACATTAATCGTGGTCTCCTGTTACGTTCATAACAATTCCAGTTTTGATACAAACTTACAGTAATTCAATTGAATCAGACCGATGCTCTTCACTTCTTTAGTACTTTTACAATGAAAAAAAAAAGGTAAGGCACAGATGAATTAAAAGGTTACGTTTCTAAAGAAACTATCATAATGGTGCTGCGTGGGAGGGGGGGGAGGGGGGAGAGGGGAAGGGTATATTACATGATAATTTGGTTTTTATCAACTGAGTTGATAATGTAAATTGGCTACCGTGAAGAGATTCGCTCTGACAAAGGGCCAACGCTTGCTAAGCAGAAACGTTAGCTATAGAATCTTTCAGCGGTAGCCAATTCACATTAATTCAGTTAATCAAATCAAGTTTTCAAAGTAAGGCACATACAAACTATTTCGTGGTTTAGGTTCTTGGTAAAATGTTGGGCGTTAAACCTTTTAAGTTTGATGTTTGTTATTTATGTTAATCGTAACTATTTCTTTAATTCCGGTCCCTGTCAGTGCGAGTTACTTTACCTTACCACGCCACACGAGAGTTTAAGTTTCGTTGCTAAGAAAAATTGACGAAATTTCTTGGCGAAATTTGCCAAAACGTATCTCGTTTGTTTGTTTGTTGTCAGTATCGAAGCAGCTGCGCATCCACCCCTCCCTTTGCCCTACAAAATTCAACTGATAACAAGTAAGGGTTAATGTTGGGTTAGGGGAGGGATGGGTGCGCAGTTGTTGAGATACTGATATTGATCCGTTTATTGCATACTGCTATTTTTAGTACAAAAAAGATGATAATGATACAGCCAATGAGAAGGCAGGAAGCGACTCTTCTGCAAATACTAATTTACTTGAGCGTCTCAAAAGCGAGATGAGAAAACTTAGTTCTGAGGTATGTCCACAAAATAATTCTTTCTCTACTCTACACTAGAGCACTCTTATTAAAGACCCATTTATAACAAACTACACAGCCAACCCAACCTGAAACACAGACAACCCACGCGAGTAGTGCATCACCCTCAACTTATATTTGAGCGTACAAGCGAACCCAACCCTTAAAACTAAGCTGCACTTTCTTCACTATGTAACCTTAACACAACATTGATACTTATTTACAACTGAATGTTTGTTCGTGCGCTTATTCATTACGACTTTTTTTTTTGTTGCAGAATGAAAAAGGAAAGACGGACTCTCTAAACAAACCAGCAGATCCAGTGTTTACTGTGACTCTCTAAAGATGGTTGAATTCAGTCAAAATAAGACTATTATTATGAAGTATCAATTAATTAAAACAATTTTTCCGCTGAACATGCATAGCATTTAAGATAACCAGTCAGATTTTTTATAAATGAGATTCTATTTCAACACAACTAATAATATCAAGTGTAAAACACATGAAATGATGTTGTTCTACCAATATTTTCTATGTGAAATAAAAAGAACAGCCGAAACTTATGACCTCCTGAAAAACTATTTTATAAACATAAATAGCAGCAGCCTTTCCTTGAATTTTACATGGTTATTGTCGTTTTTACTCGTTCAAAACAATAGTTTTTGTTTATTGCGCCTTTAACATGGGCCTTCTCCTCCCTTTAAATCCTGTGCGACAGTAGTGACAAATCTGCTGATGTGCTGTTGACTGGAATACGAGTAGTGCTTCCTTTTCGGCGAAGTCCGTCGCGCGAATTAAAAAAAAAAGTTAGTGAAAAAAAAGAAGAAATTGAGTCAGTGCGCCGCGTGGAACTCTAGGGTAAGGCGCCTAAAAAGTGAGACGTTTGTGCGCTTCACTCCCAGGGTTCCGCACAGCGCACTAACGATTTTTTTTATCACTGATTTTTCGTTCCGACTCGTGCAACGGACTACGCCGAAAACCAAGGACTGCTCATAGTCTAAGACTTTGAATCTTTCTCTTGCTTCATGGACACACACTGGCAGCTGATGTATATGTCATTTCACTTATCGCATCACCATTGTTTCGAGAAACAGATTTCTACAATCTCAAACTTCATTTTGTAAACACACATTGAGTCCTTGTAAGATTTGATACTTGCGAAGGCAGTCGTCTCAATTTTTTCACACAGAATGTGCTTGTTTTATTAAGTTGCTCGTTATTTGGTTCTGTGGTGGCAGAGAAGCCAACTTGGTCAGGTGTTGATACTTGCCAAGGCAGTCTTGATCTTCCACTCAAAATGTGCTTTTATTATTAACTTTCCCATTATTTGGTTCTGTGGTGACAGAAAAGCCAACTTGGTCAGGTGTATTGGCGGATCTTCTACCCGAGGTACCTATTACGTGAATTCTGTCTCCATGACAACGACAAAGCATGTTCTGTATACCCCTCCTAAACCCATCCATATACCAAGTGTACAAAAGCGGGTCAGCAGCCGCGTTTAGTAGAATTAACAGAACAGTTATAATGTAAGTTGTGGAGCCGTAGTAAAATCCTGGCGCGTGGAATATCAGTAAATACAAAACATAGTTCGGAGACCAACACATGGTGTGAACAACTGTTACAATGATGAGCATGACTGTCACGCGTTTGCGTGACTTGAGTCTTGCAAGTTGAACCGAGTTTGTAATCGCATCTTCGTTTCGCCACAGTTTGTAGATGATTCTTAAATACAACAGCGTCATCGCTACGATCGGAATCGCGCAATTGACGGTGAAAACAAATGCAACATGAGCTTGTGATGGATACCAATTTATCCATTTTTCCACGCAGAAATCTTCTTGTGGGTCGTACCCGATGGCAGATACACTTGGCCCTGTTAACACACATGCAAACCCCCATGACAACGCCATTATCCAAAGAACGCGTTTCTTGTCTAACCGGAACTTAGTCCTAAAAGGATGCACTATGGCGAAATAGCGCGCCGTCGCTATGGCGATAAGTAAGATCCCAGCCGCTGCAGCGCTCAGCCAGATGAACACACCACCAGTGATGAACTTGCATAAGTAGTTCCCGAATGTACCTATGATTGAGAAAAGAGAAACCTTACAATCAAATTAGTTATCTTGTAACGCTGCGCACTACGAGTCCCTCCGTTCGGAGAAGTCCGTCGCGTGAGTCAGCAACAGAAAAAAAGAAAAAAAAAATGATATTGGCGAGTCGCGCGGAACTTTAGGAGCGAGACTCTTGGACCTACTGTTCTGAAGTCCACAACAAGTGCGTAGATAATTGAAGCTGTCAGCCCTATATTTGCTCAGTTTGGTGTTCCATATTCGTTGAGGACAGACGATGGGCCTCAGTTTGTTTCCGGGAGGAGTTTCTCCGGGAGCAGGTAGGTGAAAGTAGCTTGCTGTATATAACATCCTCGATCTATCATCATTTGTATCTTACGCTTAAAATTTATTTTAAAAATTATCATCACTAACCCGTTGGGTGCTTAAAAGCATGATGGAACACATGCCTAGGTAACATAAATACACCAATCACAACATCTGCTGCAGCAAGATTCACCAAGAGGTAATTCATGGGTTTCCTCATTTGCTTGGATCGATAAACAACCAAGCAAACAAACACATTGCCAACAATGTCGATCACTATTAGCAGTGAGAACAACGCTGACAGAAGCACCTCGGCTATGGAAACCATTCTAAAAGACAAAATCACACCATAGCGTTACATTCGAATCACGGGACAAAAAGAAACGAGGGCTCCAGGGACGAACTGCAAGTAATTGTCACAAAGAAGTGTATGGGTTGTGTTGCCTCCAAAAGTGTGTGACGTTATTCATTCAGAATTTGTCACGGCTTTTTCTTTCAGTCGCATTTCCATTGAGTTCTTTTGTTTTCACGTTCATTACTTTCATCGATATTCTGTTACTTTTTTTTTTGCATAATATTTCTTTGTTTATGTCATTCGTACGGAAGTTCTTTATCGTAAATTTTATTCACTGGGCTTTATCATTTAACTGTGCTGGATCGTCTTCCTCGTTTAAAATTATCATTTAATATCGCCAGCCATTGTATAATATTGTCTGATTGTAGCCATTGTATGATACTGTATAATTGTAGTACCGTAGTTATTCGGTTATAAGGCGCACTCGGCTATAGGACGCACCCCCAATTCGGCAACTTCATTATTGCATGTTTTCAAACTGAAGATATCGCTAAAATACTTGGTTATAAGGCGCACCGTTGTTTGGGGAGTAAAGATCGGTCAAGTTTATTGTAAATTCTTTCATAAACTTACAAAAAAGCGAAAAAGTCGCGTATTGATTTTAGTTTACCGTTAATTAACAAAAGCAGAATTGTCGCACACGCGACCACGCGCACAAACAAAAAAATTACTGAGCACGTGCTCTCGAGCACGTATTATATCTATGCAAATTTGACTTCGCTCGTCTTTTCAGAACCACCATATTTATAAAAGTCAATGACCAACACTGTGTCCTTTTATTTGCTTGAAATCGTTCCAGTAACTGTGATAAAAAAAAATTGTTTCGGGAAAATATTCGCCTATAAGACGCACCCAAACTTTGGCGGTAATTTTTAGTAGAAATTAGGAATTTCTTGAAAAAAACGGTGCGCCCTATAACCGAATAACTACGGTAACATATTATTAGCGACCACTTCGATTGTCCTGTCCGCATCAATACTTCTGTTTGTCTCGTTTGTTGGAATCTATTGTTGGAGAATGTTAAAGAGCGTGTTTTTAGACATGTTAGAGTAATTTTAGCCCTCATAAGCTGTTAATACCATAGTGATTATTATTTAAATGCTTGAAAATGAATATTTAGTGAGAAAAAACGACAGAACATTAAAAAACATGTATTTCAGGAAAGAAAAGTAAATGTTCACAAGCGTGCGTCTTAAATTAAGCAAGTATTTGCATCATATATCGTTAGCACCTTAGTTTCAGGTCGAAAGCAAAAACAACAGCGTTCAACTTTGTACTTCCTTTCGAAAAGGCACCAAACACTTAAAAAGAACAGAATTATGGATAAAGCCCAAAACAAAATACAATCCAAATTAATCTCTATCTCTGTCCATCTCTCTCCTCAAATACTAAACGTGCGTAGTCATCGGGTAAAATACTCAAATTGAAAACAAACTTAGGTGAACATGGGGAAAAAATGTAGTTCATTAACTTAGTATTTTGCAGGTGTCGGCTGGGATTACTCGGCGCAAGATTTTAAGGGGCGCTCACTCAAACTACGTTGTAGAAGATTATTGGACGTGAAGAAGGTGCTATTCGGCACTCGCTCTCACCACGTAAATAGGTAAACCAACTTTTAATGAAGAACTGTACCATTCCGAGCTAGTACACTGAGCCTGGATTGACTAAGCATCGTACAGTGTCATTAACAGTAACACTGAGCCACTCGGTAAATGTTTTGGAATTGAGAGACAGACTAGAAAAAGCGATGTAAGATTTGTATTTACACAGAAGACAAGGTGTGACCCGCACTACAACAAATACACTGAGAAAAATAGAAGTTCTCGGTTTCCTAAAAAAAAATATAATGAAAAGGGTCCTGGTAAATTGTTTCGTAGAACCGTTGGATGGTGTTTTTCATAAATAGACGCAAATTCATTGAAAATCGATAAGATTCTTGATTGAAATTGGTTGACAACGATATGGCGAAATGCAAATGCAGCACATAGGACCAAGGAAAAATCAATACAAAGGAACTGCGGTCATGTACGTGTGAATCAAAATTATTTTTGAAATTCTTTTCGCTGCCATAGCCACAAAGGAACGCACATATACATATAATTCATAGACCCACCAGAAATTCAAAGTCTTCGCACGGCTATATATGGCACCGCTGTTGATTAGCCTAGCGCGAACTTGAAAACATGCTAAGCTCTTTTTTAAGATCCGTAAATCACCTAGATATAACACCTCACCTTCACGAATCACATTAGAAATGGATTTTCAAAGTGCTGTCTCTTGTCTTCCAAAAATGAATTTTTCAGTTATCTTCTTGTGATAGATTCAGTTTACTTACTGAAGTTTCCGCCAGCGATAGTAATTGCTTAAGGTTAACGCAGCAAATGGTTGAACAAACAACAAATTGTTTGCAAGGCAGAGGGTCCTCGAGTTTCCTAAAATCTGATTGGCTACCTAAATGTAATTGCAAAAGATACGTCCGCTGGCTTTGCAAAGTCGTTCGAAATTGTCAACGTATGACGTTAATCCAATTAAAAGCTGAAATTTAACTCAAAGTGGACTTTCTTTCGTAGTTCAATATGTCTTAACAAATAGAAATGCCAGACCAGTTGATAATCCATATGTTTCTCTCCTTTTACCATCTCTTATTATAGTAACTTTCATGTATATTCGAGTTTGTTCAAGGTACGCTGTAAGTTTAATCTCTTGTCAGCCCTTGAGTTTCCGATGGCTTTGTTTTTTTCCAATCTACGTAAAGAACGAAATATCGAGAATTTGTCATTCACGTCATCTTGTTTACATAAAGAAATAGTTTTTGGCTTGGAATTGTCACCTGTATTTCTGCTTCTTCCCAAGAGGGCAAGTCATGGAACGCGGTGCTTGATGGTTAGGTAGCAGAATGTGCGCAATCCGATGCGCAGCCAGAATACCCTGCGAACGGTGCCATGCAAATTTGCCTCGCAAAGGTAGCAAATTCCAGTTCTCTACACATGGACATGCAAAGACCAATCACCAAACTCATTTCGGTGGTAAAAAGCGAGACCCTGGTGACGACTTTTGATCATATACATTTACAAAACGGACCGTCCCTTCTTTCGAGCCATTTAAATTGAGTGTGTTCATCGAATAGTCTTCGATACGTAAACTAAAGCACTTTAAAAAAAAAAAGGGAGTTTACTGATCAGAATTTTAATTTTTGTTGTATCTTTTCGCTGGTTATCTACTACCATTGGTACGAGAAGGTATGTCATTTTTTTTCAATTGTCATAATTTTTTCGCTAGAAGGTCTTTTTTTACCTCGGATTTTAGTGCTTTTTTTTTACCGTTCAAAGCAAAATATTGTAGGTATGGTTCATAAGAAATCAATTCCAAGGAAATCTAGAATTTGTAATTCATTTATTAAGGAAAAATTCAAAATGAGACACTTCTTGTTATGATGAGCTGTAAACATTCATACGAAAAAATGGTCTTAAAAATGATTTTTCAAAATTTTTTTTCCATAGTTAATGGCCCAGAACAATATGTTATTTTTTTGCACCAGAGTAAATACATTATAAGAGTAGTCATGGCTAATCGATCGAAAAAAACTGCAATTGCAAACAAAGAAACACTTTGAAAATAAATCATATTATAAGAGAAACAATTTCTGAACATTACATTTTCTAAGGTTAGCAATCATCTTAAATTTTCCTCAAAAGGAAGAGGTCTACGCATTTTGTAAAGTTTGTTATTCTAATTTAAGTAGGTAGCAGCTTATGTTACCTTTTGTTTTTGTCAAGCAAATTGACAAAACTAAATAACATTCTTAGATCCAATTGGAGCGTGAATCCTATTGGCTCACGGACGTTTTACTGTTCAAACAGTCGTTACTGTCATCAGTATGTCACGGCAGGTGATGATATGATTGGACTACCTAAAACAAACTACTCGGTCTCATTATTTTCAAGAAATTATTTAGTTGGCACTTGTCCAGTTTGCGGTCAAGTTTATTTCGCAATTCTCCGTAACTTTTCAATAAAACTGGAAGAATTCAATAAATTGATTATTCAAATATGATATTTAAAAATATTTGTTATTTTGTTTTCTTTATCATTCTCATCAATTAGCTTACACGTATCAGGTAGTATATTATGCTACATGAAAAGGTTCGCTGAAGACTATGTCATGGATAGTTGTAAGTTTGGATCCATGTCAGTATCTGAGCAATTGCGCACTTACCCCTCCCCTAGCCAGGCAACAGTCAACTGATAACAAGTTAGGGTTAATGTTGGGTTAGGGGAGGGGTTGGTACGCAGGTGCTCAGATACTGACTTCGATCTGTAACTTTTTACCTAAAATAGGCTTTCCTGTTATTTTTAAACACTTACAAAGAAGTAAAAATATAATCATTTTTGAGCACTAAAACAAAAGCACGAAAAAAAGCTGTCCACAGAAAGGTCCTCTGACCACCGAGGTAATATCATAGTAAATACTTTAAAATTGATAAAAAAAATCTTAACATCAACACTCTTTGTTTTCTTTTTAAGAAACCCGTTATGAATGTCTCGGGAGCAACCAATACAGACAGCAACAGTAACATCCTTCGCCTGGCGGAATCATTACGATCTCGAAGTTCATTGCAAGTTGTTCTGGAATCTTTAATCTACGGTTCTGTAATTGTATCTGGCTTTGTTGGAAATCTTCTAGTCCTTTACATTGTCTACAAATCGGCAAGGCTCCGAAATGTACCAGGACTGTTTATTGCTTCACTTGCCCTTTCAGATATCGCCATCATTGCCCTTGCGACTCCACCATCTTTGTTATCACTTATCAAAGGGAACTGGGTCTCCACCTTTGCAGCCTGTCAATTTCAAGGTTTTATTGTCATAGTAACAGTAGCTGCCTCTTTGCAGACCATGGCTCTTATGTCCGTCGATCGATACTTCCGCGTCGTTCATCCGACAAAACATCGACTTTTCTTTACCATGCCACGCGCACGGCTCATGGCCGCGTCAGTCTGGATCTTGGCATTGGCGTACCCAGTCCCTTATCTTGTCACTGACAAAATGTTTGTTTTTCATCCTGGAAAATTTTTCTGTTTTTTCGTAGAAGAGGAGTCTTTAGCAGCTGACACTATTTACGTCTGCATTTTTTACTCCATTGCCGTTCTCACTTATTGCTACATTAACGTTTACAGACATCTGAGACTGAACGCAAAGCGTGTTCAAGGTTGGCGCACGAATGAAGTGAAGCCCTCAACCTTGAACGAAAAACGCGTCCAAGGACGGTTCACGCAAGAAATCAAGACCTCAACCGAAGATGTAAAATTGACACGAACGTTATTTGCCACCGTCCTTGGATATCTGATTTGCTGGACTCCTGTTCTCATAATCGATTTTGTGGAAAAGGGTGTTGGGGAATGGTTCCTTCCACGTTGGGTCTACGTCATGTACAATGATTTTGGACTTTCAAGTTCTTCTCTAAACCCCATTATATATGGGGCCCTAAACCGAACATTTCGACGAGAATACAAAAAGATTCTCTGCTTCAGGAAGTCCTCGCTTAATCAAGATCAAAGCAACACTGAACAAACACCGATGGAAAGAAAAAAAGTTCTTACAACAGAAATAACCATAAATTCAACTCAAATGTAAAAAGAAAATTTCGACCGAAATTCAAAAGGCTTAAAGGAAAATGACAGAAAAAAGTTGCTGTAAACAAGTTTCTTCCACCTAAGGTGTAAACGTGTGTGGCAAAGAAATGTCTTAAAATGAGTGTATCAGATTACTTTAAGTTTAGTCACAAACATCACTGTTTTATTGATAATGATAAAGAAGTAATAAAAGTAAATCTGCATACAAAACTTTTTTCAGAATTGATAGACACTTTTACGATTTTGAAAAAGTTTTAAACCCACAAAGGCTCCAAATTTTACCAACTTATCTATGCGGGTTGACGGCGAGGAAAATTTAAGAAAGAAACTTTAATCTTAGAAAATTTCAATTAAATTGATCCTAACAAAAAAAATTGTATAACTAACATAAGTCTCTACCACTCCCTGTTGACAAAATTATCGAGCACAACCAACCCGGATGATAAAATTTCTCTACCTGATATATGTGAGAGAGCCTGATAATGGTACTTTTTTTCCTGAAAAATCTTTGGAATATTCTGCAATACCATAAAGAACAGTCAAGCTACAAGGCAGCCGTACCCTCGGATCATCCATTGGTCACGTGACCAGTGAAGTTAATAACCAATTCTTATGATTTACGTCACAAGTTACATCCTCACGTGTCAATTGTTATTTTTTCAAGCAGCAATTTTCAAGGCAACTCACCATAAAACCAAATTACTTACAAGCGCTAAAGATTGAGTTCAACACATATTCTCTCAGATTTACTCTCTGTGGCAAATCAATGCCGTTTGTATAAGCTTCACTAAAAACCACTTCTTTGCAAAAGAAGGATTTTATAAAGGCCAGATCTTCAACAGGTAAGTGAAATAAGGGTTCGTAATGGATTCTCCTAAATCGTCTAACCATAGAAGAAAATAAGACAAGAAAATAAACTTAAGACGATATTTTCCTGTGAAGTAGATTAGTATTCTACTAAGATTAAGAATTGTTCAGTAATTGTTTAAATTTCTTTCAATGAATTTCTACCACAACCGCAGAAGCAATAGCGGCAAAAAGAGCTCGTAGGTTGTTTAATTTACAAGGTTCTCATCTTCATACTAGGTTTGGGTTTTGTGTTGCGCAAACTTCATCGAAATTACTTAAGGAAGCTATTTAAAAATACATAAGTTGTGGGCAAACGGACTGTAGTGAGAGTATGGAAACAGTAATGACAAAAAGAATCTCACTCGTTCATTGTTCTCAATTGCGAAAGATTTCAAGATACTGGCGTAGCATTGAAAGGGAAAATTATTTTCCAGCAATGCTGGGTTGAAAAAGACATTATATGCACTTTATTTTTGTTTTGAACATTAAATTCAAGTGCTTTTATGTTAGGGATTATTCAAAACTTGAAAGCCTAAAAAAATTGAAAAAACAATGTCCAGATATAACGCAAGGTTATACAATGAGATAAACTTTTTGAAATAAGATAAGTGAGCTTTTCCCAAGAATAGTTGAAAGATATTCGCTACATATTCTTTCCCTAATACTATTCTGAAAGCTATTGTGAAAGGATAAAAAGGTTTGACAATTTCATGGTATTATTTACACGGCATTGCAATTTAAAATCGAACATTTCTTGAAATAAATTAAACGATAGAGACAGTTTCCGAGCATTTTATTTCAAAGGAGAATCAAGAACGAAGCTGATCCACAGGGAATTAGTCCAAGCTTTGTTAGACTACTCATTTTAGTTTACGCAGGTGGTGATCTTAATTGTAGTAATTTTTTTTTTTTTCGGGTAAACTGATAAGAATAAGATAAGAAAGCTCAGTCAGGTAATTAAATTTCAGTCCCGCGGAAATCCTATTGGTTTATTGTTAATTTATTGTTTGAACAGGCTTAGATATAATAAGCGAGATGACAAACTGAAACCACAGAAACTTGGCATCCGCCGCATCATCAGTAAGCTATTAATTTCTACCAGTCTTCTTATTACACATAACAGACATTTAGCTGCAAAATGGCTTTAATTTTGCAAGTTCTGCCATGAAACTTTCGTTGCGTTTAACTAAGCCCCATTGTTGCTTTTATTTTTGTTGTCTCGATTCAAGCGGTGATATAATGGCTGAGCAAATGCAAATAAAGTGCAGACTGACATAATTATAATATTCCCGCGAAGCAAAGCCCTGTTTCGCAGAAGATTCCGAGACCTGAAAAAGAAAATGAACTTGAAAGTCACCTTCATCTATCGGTCAAAAGTATGCTAAACATTATTTATCTTTGTTACTGCAGCAAAAAAGAAAAAAAAAGGAATGAATGCCTCTGAGAAACCCTCCATAGAAAGACAAGCCCTTCATCTGGCAGATTCGTTTCGTCACCGGAGTTCATTTCAGGTTATTCTAGAATCTTTGATCTATGCCTCCATTGCTGCGGTGGCATTCATTGGAAACCTAGTTGTTCTCTACATTGTGTACAAAATACCAAGACTAAGAAACGTCCCAGGGCTGCTCGTGGCATCCCTGGCCATTTCAGACATTGCTATGGCAACTTTTGGGGCTCCGCCGTCTTTAGCATCACTTATTAGAGGGCGTTGGGTTTCGACTTTCGCAGTATGTCAATTTCAAGGATTCGTTGTCATAACAACGGTAGCTGCCTCTCTGCAGACCATGGCTCTTATGTCTGTCGATCGATACTTCCGCGTCGTTCATCCAATTAATCACCGGATATTCTTCACCATGTCTCGCGCACGGCTCATGTCCGCGTCAGTCTGGATCCTAGCTATAATGTACCCTGTCCCTTACCTTGCTTCTGGAAGGAAATACATTTTTCATCCGGGAAAGTTTTTCTGCTTCCACGAAGTAAAAATGTCTTTTGAATCATGTGTTATTTACATTTGTGTATGCATCTCCCTAGCTACTCTCTCTTTTTGTTATTATAACGTCTTCAAACATCTTCGTTTGAATAGAAACCGCGTTAGAAATTTGCGAAAGGAATTTTCCAGCAGGCACGAAAAAGAACGAAGAGTCTCCGCAGAAGACGTCAAAATGACCCAAACTTTATTCGTGACTGTTCTTGGATATTTAATTTGTTGGACACCTGTACTTATCATCGATTTTGTGGACATGGCTTCTGATGGCTGGTCCCTTCCTCGTAATGTCTACGTCATGTATACCGATATCGGACTAATAAGTTCTTCCCTGAATCCTATTATATATGGTGCTTTAAATCGAACATTTCGGCGAGAATACAAGAAGATTTTCTGTTTCAAAACTTTATCAAGAGTAAACGAAACTTCTATCTTTGAGCAAACCAATACAGTCAATTTAGCTTTAGCTAAATAATGATCTAACGTGTTGAAAGACTGAAATATTTAACAGAACATTAAAGTTAATTATTTGACTTCATAAAACTTCCGTCTGCACTATGATAGTACATACAAAAATTTTCCTTGCAAGAACCATCGTGCACGGGTGTACTCCTGACGCTCTCTCAAGATCTACTAATCAATTCTCCTCACTGTCTGTCACCTATTTCTTAAAAGTTTAGATCTGAGAAATTGCTGTTCAATTAAAGATTATTTCCTTGTTGATATTTTCCTTACTTCTCCTAACCTTCCCGCTCGAAAATGTATTGTTATTGTAAGGGAAATTCTCTTTTGATCTCTCCTGTGAGTGACTTAGGGATCACTCATTATCCATCGCTCGGGAAGGGGGGTGGGGCGGGGGAGTTTTGGGAGTAACATGGTTTTCAGGGAGGAACGGAGGGGAATCAGTCGTCGCCAACGGAGTCTAGGGGGGAAACTATAGAAAACTGACAGGCAATGAACTGCCAATGAGGGGGTCATAAAAATATTGCAGAGCCTTATAGGGGATTAGGTAAACTTTAACAGGACACAATCAAAATCCTCCGTGAATGGTGGATTACAGAATCAACGGCACGTGATCGTAAATTGCGCTAACCTTTTTAAACTTTTTTTTTTTCAACAAAACCATTGATTTATTTGTGCATGCTAATCGGAACTCCTTCAAAATTCGTAAAGTTAAACTGAGAGGAAGGGGGCAGATATTGAAAGCTTAATAGATTCTTTGTTACCACAGCAACACCGACGCTGAGACGCTTGCGCAGAGGCAGTAAGTAATTTCTATTTACTTTTGAATTGCGTCCCGCGACAGCGTTTGTTCAAATTATTTCTTTTCCTGTTCCAATGGGATTTTAGACAACTAAGACACCTGGACTAACAAATCACTTAATAGATCATTTTCAACGACATGCATTTGGTCCAAGCGCCTCCGTCTACCCTTTCAACGCCTCGAGATACGGTCATTGAATCCGTTCCTGTTATGGCTCCAACTGCTGAGGGAAATCTCAAAATTATGAACATTCTGTGAGAAAAATTCTTGTTGCTTAATACTCATATTTGTTAAACTTTTGATAATGATCGAAGCACTTCTATTTTTATTGCCGCATTGTCTCGTATTCTGAAAATATTATAATTTGCTTTTATTTGAAACAGGGAGGCAAATTCTGAGGTGATGTGTTGTCGATTCAATCTCGAAGGCGGTTTACTGGCGGTTGGTTTAGCTAATGGAGTAACCAAGGTAAGACTAGTATTTACTCTTTTTTAATTTTCGAATTTGTCACCAATTTTTACTTTTCCCGAAACTAATATCTGCTCATATGTAGGTTAAATTGTTAAAACTTCCACCTTTGCGAAAGGTACGTAACGAAAATGTTCAGTGTTTTATTTTTCGTACATTTTTCCACGTCCTAGGTGTATGCTCCTGACACAGGACATTGCGTCTATAGTCTCTCGGACCAAGACACTTTAAATAATCATTTACCAGTGACCTGTCTTCGTTGGAGACCAACACTGGAGGGTGATACTTATGGAAATATGTTACTCGCAACTTGTAAGTTGGTTAGGTGCAAACTTTATGTTTTAAGAAAGAGGGAACTTCTGCCGCATTTAACAGCTGTTGTAGTTTTAATTATACGATATTCATATGTTTAAGTTGACGTCTTAGAAAATTAGCGAAAGTTAAAACAATCAGGGTTTTAAGCTTGTGTTAATCCTACAAGTAATATGGTGCTACCATATTTATTGATAACCAGAGTGATAATTACACCGTATTTGTTTAGTCTGTCGATCTTTAATACTAAATTTTACCCGTATTCTTATGCAGATTTATGTATTATTTAAAAGTATTATCTTAAATGAAGATATGTTGTACTTTGACACCTCTAAGGCTCTGATTACAAGATTGTAAGATCTTGAAAGTTCCCAAAAGGGGGGCACTTTGAGAGAAAAAGCCTCATTTACCTCCTGCTGTAAAAATTAGGGCAATTACAGTAATTGTTAAAATAAAAAAAGACGGCCATAACACAAAGGCTTTCTACATGTCTAAGGTAAATATATAAACACCCTCTAGTTGTGAATTGTGGACATACCTGGGGCAGATGTTGATTTTTGCAGAATTGTATAAACAGTGTCAAAGGTGGCACCTCACCTCACTTACATTCTAGTAGACTGTGTTATGAAGGCTATTAGATGAAAAGTACCCACAGATTTAGGGTAGATTATGGGGAACAATCTGGCTGAGTGAAAGTGATTACATGTTTAAGCCTTCCGCCCATTTGCCCAAGTTAATGTTTGTAGCTTTGCAATTCCAGGTTCATTATTTGTGTGGCAATTTTCCCGATTCATTCACACCGGTCACAAGGTTATTTTTCTTTCTTTTCACTTTTAACTCTTGGCAAGACCTTGGTGAACAACCTCAAATAAGTTGGCTTGGTTCTTACAATACTGCAATGCTGGTCATCTCATGATGAATAGAAAAAACCCACAGAGTAATTAGTTACAATTTGACATGGAAAAACCTCCAACAAAGGCTTTGTAATGCATCCTTGGAACTTTCCCATCTTTTGATCAGACTGAGATTAGACTTCAGAGGAATACATAATAAATGCAGTATTTTACTAATAATAATGATTTTCTGATAGTAAATAGTTCCTCTCTATTGTAAGTATTTTTTTATTCATTTTTTTTTGCTGTTATAACTGCAGATGCAGATGGTAAAGTCAAAATCTGGCATACATCAACAAGCACCTGTATGGCAACAGTAACAGAAGTTTCTAGGCAGATTTTAGCATGTGCTTACAGTCCTTCAGGAGATAGATTTGTCACAGCCGGATCAGATACAAAACTAAATGTTTATGATGAAAGAACTAGACAAATCATTTGTACCATGCAGCCAAGGTATATCAATTATTGCGGACATCATATTCTCTTCAATTTACCTGTCTTTCATTATTATCACTAATTTTAGGACAGTTATTAATGTTATCATTACTTTTTATTACTACTAATTGTTATGTAACAAGTGAGACAACATTTCCACACCATGCAAAAAGGTTACTTCACCTGGTCTAATTCTGAAGAATTGTTAAGAAGATGCTAAGTTGTTAATTCAGGATTAGCTAAGGCTGCTATGTTATGTTCATGATAATAAGATACTTGGATTTTTTTTTTTTGACAGCTCATCCCACCTAGTAATGGATGGCCACATGAGCCGAGTGTTCAGTGTACAGTATACACCTGGTCAAGATCATGAATTTCTCTCAGGAGGCTGGGATGATACAGTTCAGGTAATAAACAGAAGTTAACCCCACCCCCCATCCCTCTCCAAAAACATATTAAACAATCATGCAGGTCCTCCTTAAGAGAGATATAGTTTTAAATTTTTAAGCTTTCAAGGTCATTTGATTGGAGTGTTGTGAATGACGAAAACTATTTTCCCAGGTTCATTGAACTTTGATATAACCTGTGTATTCAATTATTCTGGCTTAGGTTCCTCTGATATCAGTGGGACATGATTTATAGGCCTGCCACAAGTGAATTTTTGTAAAACCAAACTATTGCTGTGGTAGGTTAGAAACTGGCTAAATCCAAGCCTAAAAGTATCATACAGTTTAGATGCATTTGTGCTGTTTCTTCTTTTTTCAGACTGTGATAACTTAATCCTGCTAATTAATGTCCACTTACTAGTTCAAATTGCCCTCCAATTAATGAAACATTTTACTCTCAAATATCAATCAATTTTTTACTTATCATTTTTCTCTGCTTTCGTGGTTTTTAGTTTTGGGATACAAGAGTTGATAGCAAACATTCAGTGAGGTATAACTTAAAATTCATAACAATATAAATGCAACCCTGTGTTTTTAAGTTAATTCTATTTGTGATATCATGATGAATTATCAAATGTTAATAATATATGATCATGGTATTCAGGAAAATATTTGGACCTCATATTTGTGGTGATGCACTAGACATTCAGTCACTGAGCATGTCAAGCACCAATCGGCAAATTCTCACTGGGTCATGGAGAAAAGACAAAACTCTTCAAATATGGGATCATGGCTCTGGGAAACTGATAAAAGATGTACCATCTGATTACAATGGAAGTATGGTATGTTCTAGAGATTTTCAGCACGCTGTAAAAGTTATAACCTTAATCATATACCATCCAAAATTCATCAAGATTCCTTGGTCTACTGATGATATTTGTAAAAGGTGGTTAAAACCCAAACTTTCATCAACTCTTCTGAGCAACATTTGACCTCTTTCCACCTAAGAACCATTTGTGAATTAGCATTACTTAAAAAAAAGATTTATGAACAGTTTGCCTGCAAGTGAACTCACAGACTCAGTTGGGGTCTCTGGTGAATAATTTTTTGTTGTTGGTTATTATATAGCTCTATTGTGTCCAGTGGCAAGGTCCTGACAGTATCATAGCAGGAGGGAGTGATAACAATATGATGAGATGTGTGGATCAAGGAACTTATCATGTAGGACATAGATGTGCTGTTATACTGTACATTCAGCTTCAGATATGTACTGTACCGGTTATTTTAGGTTATTTTATAGCCTCCTAGTAACTTGATGATATTAACAATCAACTCACTTTCCTTGACTATCTTAGTTAGCTTTGTGGTTAGATATTTAGAGTTTTGTATGTGGATAAAAATAAATCTTTGTATACATGTACAATCTCTATTTATGTAATAGTGCAAGGAAACTACATATTACGATTATGAGTGAGGCATGAAAAAGTTTGGTGACAGAGTTTCAGTCGTAAAATAAGGTGTTGTCATGGGCAACCATTCCAAAAAAGCTGTGCATCACCAAACATCAAACATGAAAGCACATTGCCACTGGAAATGGGACAACAACACAATTTTAGCATCTAAACATGGTTGCCGAACTTCCGTCACACCTCACTCAATTAAAAAATATTTGTAATACTGTGAATCCAGTATTGTCAATTGTAGTCATAAGTACTGAGACTTTTCTATTGTTTGCTTATCCACAGACTACTGGCCGGCTTGTAGATCTTCCACGTGCAGTTTACACGGTAGATTTTGAGAGACATTCCCATCATCCAATCATTGCTGCTGGAACTTCCAACTTTGTATATCTTGCAAAGAGGACATAAGTTGGTTCATCATTCCTAATTAATTCTTAAGCTATACTGGGAATTTTGTTCCATATGATCTAGACTTGAATGTGCTTGCAGTTTCTCCAGTGTACTCCCTTACATTGGCAAGCACATGGGTACCAGCATATGCTACTAAATCCTGTGTTCCCAGTTTATTGGAAACTTGCTTTAGATTTCTGCAATCAGCTATTCCTTTTAGGTCTGAAATCTGGCGAGGGTTTGGAACCTCTTTTTTTATAACCAGAGTTTGCAATTGGGAATGTTTTGTCAGCACACACAACTCTAAACTGCTTAGTGGTCTTTTTACTCTGTAGTTCAAATCTGAAATGGTACTTAAGAACAATCGCCATTAGCTGAGGGTCTCAATGGGATGATGGCTTTTAAGGCTAATGGTTAAAATTTTGGCCAATGTATGGCTAATGGTAATGATATCTGTCATTAGAAATTTTTTTTTTTTTGCAGTTGACTTTTTTTACAACCAGTTATTAAAATATGTCAATTTTTATGCCAAACAGCTAATTGTTTTGGCCATTTCACTGCTAATGGTCGACTCCCTCTCAGCACATTTGTGATAATCCCTAATTGTGAGCTTCTACCATGAAGTTGTTGACTGTAAATAGTCCAAAGGTTTTTTTGTTAATCATAAATATTAGTATTATTTATGGCAGATGATATATTTTTGATTGACCTTAAGTATTTCATGGTGAAAATACTTAGCTAGTTATCAAAAATTTTACCCAACTTGATTAAAAATTGTTTAATTAGTAAAGGAAGTATTTTTCTTTCCATTCAAGGATGTTATTCAGAAGAGCTAATTTTAACATTGTCTACGTGTACTGTTTGTAATACTTGTTCAAGAAGAGAGTTTTTATCACAGAATGTAAATCTTGTGAAACTGAAGCCCTATTCAAACCCACTTGCAACTGAAGTGGGTCAGCTTGTTTAAACATTTCCCTGAATGAACAAAAAATAAATACATGTACATGCATAGAGGTGTGTACATAATTTATCAGATATTTTGTTTTGAGTTAGTACATATAATAATGATTGAATAAAACCAACAAGCATGATTCAAATTTCTCCTCTCTTACCAAAGATTAAACCAAAGAGGTCAGAAATTCAAAAATTTAAATCACTGATTTTTCACTTGCCAGTGAATGCAAACTCTTACTAGAGCTTCTATTTAGTGGGGAAAATGCTCAGGCATTGGTCTGTCATTGAAACAGAACTGTTTATTTTTGTTAAGTGGGATGATTACCACTTGGCACAGTACATAGCAATATAGGCTTATTCTGTTTCATGAAACAAAGAACCTCTTGAATGAACAATCAAATGAGTCAATGGTTGTTATCTTATCAACAAAACAAAGTCTTTATTTTTTCCTGAAATTAAGTTCTCCAACACAACTACATTGTAGATTAACTGACTCAAAGCAATCTGTGATCATGGAACACAAAATAAAAGAACAGTGTAATGAATACAACAGTAACACCCAAATTAAACTTTTTCAGGCATGGAAATGACTTGAAAAATTGGAATGCAAATTGTTGGTTTTGCCAGATTATCTTAATGCAAATGGAACAAATGTTAAAGGAAATTGAATTCATTATTGAGAACAGAGAACTACTCAGTACCCATGCAGGCTCCATGAAAAAAATTTGAAGATATCTCAGTTGATCAGGTGCCAGTTGGGCATTGCTGAAAAGTCTAAAATCCTCCTTACCTCCCATTTCAGATAAATTGATGGTTCTTTTTTCAAGGTGACAATTGTTATGATTGTAAACACTCATGCACTTGGCTGAATGTGACAAAGTGCATAATGACTGTAACCTGGAACCTCACTTAGGGAATCATCACATGATCCCACTTGGGATGTTAACATGTCAGCCCAATCTGTGCATTGTTTATCTCCATGCATGAAAATGAAAAACTATGAAATATAGTATTCACATTTGTTGTGGCTCAGTCTGCATTTGGCCAAATGTCCCACAGATGTCAACTTTCTTCAAGAAGCGTACAAGCTAATGGAAAAAGAAATCTGTGAAATCACGAGATCATGAGATCACTATTCCTTCATTCAAATTCATCATCAATATAGACAGTCTGCACTAAATCATGGCTCCATTGTATGTGTCTAGAATCTACAGACAAGGTCATTTCTGATATTTGTTGATTCCTTTTTTTATATCGCTCCTGTCGTGACCTTGACACATCATACTTCCTCCATCTTTCTAATTGAAGCTGGTGTTTTGCTCTTCTTGCCTGCTTCTGTGCTGGAGTAGAGGGAGATGGCATGTCATACAGAGGACTGTTGGGAGGGGAGGGTGAGTTGTGGTCATTGTTGATTGCTATACGAGTACCTTCATCAGGAACACTTGAAAATTGCACATTTGAAATAGAGCTCAACTGCCCTAGCGTTTCCCACTTGAATCTCGACGATGATCCCTTGAAATTTTTAAGCTTAGTCTCTTTTTCACTACCGTCAAATTTCCTCTTGGGGCTTGTCTCTTTCAGACTTGCCTTGCAGGCGGAAGTGTAACTCACACGAGTTTGGCTCGTATTATTATCTTGTTTTTCTTTGTCTGAGCAAGTAGACAACGTATTTGGACGACATTCATACCTATCACATTTCTCTGAAGTAATTTGATTTTCTGTCATATCTAGTGTCTCTCCTCGTTGCGTAAGCCAGCTATTCTCCTTTACATCTCCTGAGGAATTCGTACAACAGTTACCGCTATGAATTTGTACTCTAATTCCATGTGAACCGACTGGAACAGCTAAATCGTGCAACAAAACTCGTAAAGTTGGCCCATCACCGCGCAATTTGCTCCTTGTCGTCTCCACTTGTTCCTCTTCTAGACTGAGACAATGTAAAGACTCTCTTAGCTTCTCCAGCTTTAATCTGTTCCTAGTGACCATCTTGCCTCGGTTTCCTTTTCGTTTACTGACACCTCCGTTCATAGTGGCTCCTCTCATTTGTTAACGGATCTCTTGAAAAACCAGTGCCTTCCTCTTTCTTTACCTGGAAAAGAAGTATTTCGTCTTTTCCTCTTGTAAAACACACGTAGACAAGAGGTCTATTCAGAGTTGTCAAAGAAGCACTTTAAACCGCCATGTTCTTTTCAAAACAAACTCTTCCAAAGAGCCTGGAGCGAGACAATTCTTGTTTCGGTCTATCCGCCCGAAGCGTCCCGTTTTCCTTCTCTCGTATCTCGTATCCCGTTTCTCGTATCCCGTTTCTCGTATCCGTAACCTAGATACCTGGAGATTTTGGCTTTCACATGTTTGGGTCTGATGTACGAGGTTGGTAACTTACTGACAGTAAAAAAAATTCCTCAGACACAAAAATTGTTGCAAATATTAGTTATCTGCCAAATGTAAATCAAAGTAATTATGAGCTGCTCAACTTGGAAAAAAATTGTTAATGTGGACATTGCAGTGGATATTACTCGTGGGGGATTGAGACAAGAAGGCAAGTAAGACATCACACTACAATCTCCATGAATCAAACTTTGCCATGCAGGTAAAACTGTGTAATAATTTTATTTCCTCTTCTGTGATGAAAAAATAAAATACATGCTAATTAAACTATCCATAAATTTTCCAACCACATATTAAATACTTTATTTCCTTACATACTTCCCTATCTACTTATACAGAGATAAAGCAATATTTTTTTTGGTTAACAGACACGAACAGTTGGTTTGAAAACAATTGTATCTATTTTGTTAGAGACTTTTCTTAAATTCTATTCCCCTCACATTCCAAACTGCCCGCCATTCATCTGGGCCAAGATGTGTCCGTGAGGTTACCCAGCCAGCCTCTTCAAGACCCTTGAGGAATGCTGGGAATGCCTGCAGAGTAAAATTATGGGCTAGTGCTACTAAATCCCATGAGCAGTCGGACAAGTGGTTCCTTTCTGCAATAATAATAATATTAATAATAAAAAGATTAGGACAATCTTAAAAGTTCTGTCTAGTAAAAGATAAGACCAAGAAATTACAAATCCAAGTTGCAGCTAGTTTTGGATCAGATGCAGAGTTAAGTGAACTAAAGAATGATATACAACACTCTTTGGACTTTACCATCCCCTCCCTCTCCCTCTCTTTTCTCCCACAGTAAACATGAAAAGAAAACATTGTTCAAATATAGATCACATGGTAAGGATTAAAACATCACTCTTTAATGCAGATCAAATAAAAATAAAATGACACATGAGGATAGTCAAATTAATTTTCAGCTAAGTTATTGCTGTTATTGATTACCAACTTCAAGTAACAGAGTAACATGAGAAATTAAATGCATTTCACCCTCTAATGTTACAAGTAAATGTAACAATACAATAATGGCGTGAACATGTGTCATAGTTGAAAGTTATCACTATTATTTTCATGAATTGCAAAATAGTTTTTAGTGGATTTTCATGAGCCTACCTTGCCACCAAAAATTATGTAAGGCCTCCAGTGCTCTTTGACCTCCATCAGAATCACCAAAAACCTTTTAGAGCAAATATTTCAGGTAAAATAAGATTTGTTCCCCTTTGAATTGTACAATGATAACAGTACATAACAAAACACTACCATGTAGAGCTTGCTACTGTTCATAGAAGCAATCACATTAGCACATGTTTATTGCCTGATTTGAAAAGTTCTTGGCACCTAAATTTTCTCCTGTGACAGGATAGTCTTTTTACATTTTCGGTAATTTTGATGGCAGTGTCTTGGTCATTGTATAAAATGAGAACAATGGTTGAGTTTAGTCATCAAAAGAAAGATGTCATTGGCTTTGTCACAGGTATAAAGAAAAATTTGAGGGCACCTACATGGAGTTGAATCCCAGACATTTGGATGTATGCTCTGATGTTCTACTACTAAGCCACAGGGAGCTTGAAGGTAACCTGCATTACATACCAAGTCTTATGTGACTCAGCATCCTGCCTTATACTATACTACTGAGAGTTGTAATAAGAATCTGTGACCATGATCTTGCCTCAGAATGAGTACTAACTAACATAATGTAATGCCAAAATATAATTACCCTTTTGATATGTGGTTTTGTGCGTATAACATAATCAAGAGAACAGGCTTGGAAACAGCTCTGAAGATGATCTGTGGCATTGGAATCTTCATGTAATGCTACATGAACAGCACCTTGATTAGAATGGCAGTTAGAAAAGAAGATTTAGGATAAACAACAACATTACAATCTTGAATTTTTGGTTTGAAAATTAGTGGCCACACTGGCTATTTATGATACTCAAATCTTGCACAAGCAAAAGCTTGAATGTCAGGGAAAATCACCTGAATTTCTTCCTTGATTTAATGTCAGTTTCATAATATACATAGTGCTTTCAGAGTTTGGTAATGCAGCATCAAGATCGTTAACACTGAAAGATACAAAACAATGTTTTGTTTGTCTGAAGAGAAGACAAGTTAAACAAACCACACAATATAACATTCCCATTTTTAAGTCTGAAAAATAAGGAAGTAACTATACCTATTTATGACAGAAACAAATTCTGTCCCTAAATGAATTCTCAGACATTCCCCTGTGTTATGACCTGAGAAATATAGAAACATGCTTATTTCATCATCATGTTAAACTTCATAGAACAATCACAGAATCATTAGTAGACCTGGCATTCACATTTCTTTGCAGACATTTACCAAATATAACAGGTTCCCTGTTGCCCACTTCCTGCGGAGTCATTATGTGCCCTGTTGACAGGAACTCAGTGACCAGAAGGTGCAAGCGAGACAGACTAATTGTTTCCATGACAACAGATGACACAGCTCGGAAATTTGCATAAAGGTGAAGAAATGTGAAGATGAAGAACAAAGTCCAAGTTAAGCTGAAGTTAAAAGAAATACCAAAATTTATATAATCCATTGACAAGAAAGAATGAACTTAAGTTTCTAAATAATTATCAAAATCCTTTATTCCTTGGGAGTTACTAGGATCTAATTTTTGTAAAAAGTACAACAGCTGAATCAAATGTTAAGGTCATAAAAATAGGGAAAATGATTGCAAACTAAAGAAGCTTGTGATTGTCAAACAAATTCTCCTTGTCAGAACCATAGGAAATGCAAAGATAACAGTATGGAGAATATCAATATTAATATCATGGTGTAAAAGGGATAAACATTTCTCTCTGTTCCTCTCAGTCGCTAACATGACTTCTCAGAGAAATTAACCTTTGATATGATGACAGAAGCAAAGTCTGGCAATACTTATAAAAGTCGTTGGGTTTGGACATCCATACAACTTTCAGCAGCCACAACTGAACTTGTTAAGTATCAAAGATAGATGGTTACAAATTACAAAAGCTCTCAAACAAAATTTGTCATTCAGTTAGAGTGGTAGGAAAAAGTGAAGGAGTGAACTTGTTCCTCTAGAAATAAAATTGGGATTCAACTATATTATTTTTGTAAGGATGAGTTTTTAGACTTACAAAGGGTTTCCTGAGACCAAAGGTGTGATGATCAGACCAGCTATTAGTGCCATCAAATTTACTAAAGTTTCCTGAGTGAATAATGAGCATAAGATTAGTAAATTTGCTTTCAATTATATATAAATAAAAAAATTACCAATTCAGAGTACATTGTTCACTAAGTAACCAGTAAATAATTAAAATCATCTCAGGATTGCAAAGATACCTCTTCTACAGTTTGCTAATACGATTGCATAAAAACAATAGGGCTTTTACAAGTACAAAATGTATTACCTGGCTTCCATCTTTAGCAGCAACATCAGCCATATTGTCCCTTCTAGCCTGGTGCTGAGTCATAGCAGCTCTTGTGGCACCTCCTGCCACACCCACAATGGACTGGGTTCCAATTCCACACCCCATCACAAAGAAAAATGAGATTACCAAAAACTGCTTACATTGTTACTGACATTGCCATAACAGGAAGTGATAAGAGAAAAAATATTACGAAATGTGATCATTACCTTTGATATACTTGATAAACATGCCAGAAAAGTGAAATATGTTTTAAATAATGGTGCCAACATCTCTATCAGAATTGATGTGTCATTCAGAATATCAGCAAACAATCTGTAGATAATGTAAAATTTTATGACTTCCTCAAAATTATAAAAAATAACCATTAATTTAAAATATCATTATTAATTAGTAAAACTTATACCTAAGAGCAGCACTCAGAAATATCTAAAAGGTTTATATTCATTTATAAAATGCATATAAGTCATGGTTAAACATTTGAAGCAAAATAGCCCACATACTATAATTGCTCAAATAATTTCCTCCTGGCAAGCAATCATAAGTACATTTACTCCCTCTCCTTTGGATGAGACGCTAATATCCATCCAAAGTTATCCCTTAGCACTTAGCTGACAATTCAAACATATTCATTTATACTCCTTGGTGGAGAGAGGGACTGGGAGTGAGAGTAAAGTGTGACCTCCAACAACATAAAAGAGTGAGTCCATCAGGGCTAGAAACCAGACCTCTCAACCCAGAGTCCAGCACACTGATCATGCTGCATCTCCCAAAGACAAATCATACTGATTAAGCAAAAAAATATATATTAGAGAACAGCAACATCATTGGTCTGTCCTTTCATATGGCATACCTCCATTTCTTTGCATTACAATCCAAATTACTCCTAAATAGATATAACATAAACACAGTGTGAAAAATAGCTTGTTACAATTACAATAATGGTTCCCTTCCCACATACTTAGAAAACTTGAGTTTAAGAGGTGCCTGGAAAAAGCACCCAAATTTAAGGTTGATATACTGCTGGTGAATGTCAGGCTGTCTTAAGTTTCCTAGCAAGACAAAGGGAGAAGTTGACAAGAGTAACTCAGGTCCTTTTTCATTGCTCTCCCAAGGTAACGTGTACAAAGTCAAAGTCTTCATACCCTTGGAACCATGCAAATAGAATGCTTCCCACCATGCCTGTCCCACCTGAAAAAAAATCCATGCCAACATTAAAATATAAACAGTTAAAAATATATCAAATTCTCCTATTTAAAGTTTAGATACACAAATCTTTCTTCAATAGAACTCATAAAAACAACCATATGAATCTATAGGAAAGAAGTTTACTTTCAGTGCACAAAATATAAAAAAAAAAAAAAGGAAACATAACCCACAAAAAGCTGGGAGGGAAGGGAAAAAAGTGATCAACATGTAATTTCTCCTTATAATACCCATACATTATCCAGCAAACAGGCAATGAGAATACTCAAACATGTCAGGTAGAAACTGTTATCTTGATCAAACACCAAATTCTTGTAACTAGTTTACAAGGTGATGTGTAGGAGCTAGAATGAAGAATTAACAATCAGATCTCTGGAGACAAAGGATTAAGACAAGTTCACACATGAAACATAACAAAAGTCATCTCAGATGAAATAGGGCATGCGACTGGTGCATATATGTATCAAGTGTCCAGCTTACATGCTACTCTCATCAAACATCCTAACTGGAATATGACTTATTGTTAAATATCTCACTTCTTAAAATCCATGTCATGGTTGCTGCCATGGCTGTAGCTTTTTCATCCCCAACACCATAACCCTTCAACATGGCTTGTGTGGCGAGGGTACCAGTTATTGAAGAACAAAAAGCCTAACATACAGGTAAAACAAGTCAGCATCCATTTTTTTTTCTGCTTTACAGCTTTAAACATGAATTACAGTGTTTTATTGACCTTCCATAGCAGAAACAATCATCTTTTCTTGGCTAATGAAGCAACCATGGGTATTGATCCACCTTATTGCAAAGTTAACCCATAAACTCCCAGAAGTGACTAACATGTAACTTCTCCCTACAGTATTCATACCTCATCCAGCAAATAGGTAAATGAGAGTACAAAAACTCATCAGGTAGAGGTTGTCATCTAGTTGTAACATCAAATTCTTGTAATAATTTACAAGTAAATGTGTAATAGCTAAAAGGGAGCATATTTTGGGAGCTAAAAGGTTAAGAGATGGTTTGGGATACTAAGGGGAACTGTCTCCAGAGAGGGAAATTTACATTTTATTTTGTTATTTTGGAAGAAGGAAGGAATAATGAGCAAGAGAGATAGATGAACAAAAACAGATAGCCTGAATTACCTGCATAGTATCCCATATTTGGTATTCCAAGTAATCTTTGCTGACACTGTCTGGGTAGCCTTGTGGAAGAAAGGCAGACTACAAAAGATACAGCCAGTCTCTTATCCACATTATATACATTAATCAACGTTTAAATTATGTTGTGTGAAGCTTTTTTTCCCTGGAGATTTCAACCTGATACTAAGTATTTAGCTTTCATCATTTCTTTCAACAATTCTGCTCAAAGCATATTTGAGAATTTTTGAGATCTCCTGTCTAATATTTCATGTTGTGCATTCCTTCACCAACAACTGTCCTGACAAATTTCATACAGCCTGCAATGGGAGAGGGTTAAGTAATCACCTCCCTCTTCCCCACCTCCCTCTCCCCCACCCCCCTCTCCCCCACCTCCCTCTCCCCCACCCCCCTTCTGTCCCACCAGTTCATAGCACAATCTTTGTTGTCCTTGTAAGTTTTGCAACATGGAAATTGCTCCTTTTGTCATCCTCTGCTTACCTATTCTTACCAGTATTCGGAATAAAATGAGCTCAAAATACAGATGCCTGCCTTGTTTTCTTTCGACCAAGTTCTTGTTTCTCCGAGAAGCGTTGGGTAATTAACTTGTTGATCCCCTTGTAACCAGGCATGCAGTATTTCATTCTTTTTCTGGGAATCATGAGATCTTGGTGAGAGCTTCTAATGTCCTATTACTCTAAAATCTGCCTCAAATTGGCTCTCAATCTTAAATCAATGGGGACTAACGGCTTGAGAGTACTTTGGCCTCCTTTGTAGTTGCGAGGCCAACACAGCTGACATACCTTGAAAAACTGCTGCACTGAGGTAGCTGCAGAATCTCTCTTCCTTCCTATTCTTTCTATATTTCCACTTTCGGTAGAAAATCTATATTTTCTCTCTATGCTGCCCGATCCATACTTTTCCGTAGCAACTACAAATTCATCCGCCATCTTGCCACGGTGCAATGGCATCTACCGCTGACAAAATTTAGCTCGATCCAGTATCTTATCATTTGCTCTTCTTCAATATGGTGGTTTCAAACCTCATCGTCTAGTGAGATTAAGCGATCAAGAACACATGATCTTTCTAATCACAAGGTCTTCTATATTCTCTCGAAGAATTTTGAGTAGTATAAGTCTGTCGAGATCTCGTTATTACAGTTCGATGGATCTCAAAGACGTCGTGAAAAAGCTGCACGAGTTTGCGCCACTACAGCTAGCTGAAGAATGGGACAACGTGGGCTTACTCGTCGAACCATCCCAACCTCATTTTGTAAAATCACTTCTTCTTACTAACGATTTAACTGAAAAAGTAGTACAAGAAGCTATTGAAAAAGGAGTAAATATGGTTATATCCTATCACCCGCCGATATTTAAGCCACTTAAACGTCTCACTTCGAAAACGTTCAAGGAAAGAATTATTGTGAAAATGATAGAGAATAAAATAGCTGTGTACTCTCCGCATACAGCTTTTGATGCGGTTAAAAATGGCGTGAACGACTGGCTCGCTTCAGGTCTGGGAAGTGCAAAGGTGGAACCCCTTCAATGTTCAAAAGGATCTGGTTCTTGTCAGTACAAAGTATTGACAAGTATGTTGACCAATCAGGAGGGAGAAAGTTTACTAAAGCTTCAAGACACCCTCAAAGGACTCGATGGAGTAGAAAGGATTGAGGTGGAGGCTGTAACAAAGTATGTTTTGACCATCTGAATAATTAGATGGGGGAGGAGGAGAGGGGTTGTTTGTTTAACATGTGTTTAGGAGGGTAAAGAATTTCCTATTCCCCTTTAAGTTCAGCCCACCTTTCCAAGAGATTCCCCTCTAATACTTAATGAGTGTGGCCCTAACTATGAGCTTATTCAGGCATACATGTTACACACAGCTGTTTGGAGAAAGGTTGTCAGGAAAAAGGACAAAATTTCATGTGACATCCTTAAAAGGTAATCTGGGTATCTGGTAATCAATGAATTTTTATAGTACAAATGAATAAAGTCATCAAACCTTTGATGCCTTCTTCGTGCAATGAATTTTTCTCAGATTTCCCTGAAATCCTGGGGCAAGAAAGATTACCTTTTGGGGTTGTGTGCCTTTTTCTGAAAGCCTTGCTCGAAACAGCCGTTTATTAGTAGTGAACCGCTAAGGGCAGTTTCAAGAGTCATTTTGTTTTGAAATGTGAAATATTTAAAACATTTTTGGAATGTTCTCCTCCACAATTTTTCTCATTAATAAATGCTTAGGCTTATTGTATTTTTTTGTTCTTAACAGACCAGAGACAATTTCCTTACATTGCACTGAGACTGGCCTGGTCAATGCTTTTCAGATGTTGACTTCTCAGTTTCCTGACACTGTTGGTAAAACAGAAGTGATGCCTTTAGCTAAGGTGGGGCTAAACATTGCTCAGAACAACTGACAAAGCTTGAATCTGTAGATCTGTTTCCATATACAGCTTCCATATGTGTTTTCTAATCTTCATGGTCTTCCACAGTGACTTGCAGGGCTCAGAAAATTGACAAAGCTTAAATCCATATATCTATTTCCATGCACAGCTTCTAAATATGTTTTCTAATCTTCATGATCTTCCACAGTGACTTGCAGTACTCAGAACAAATGACAGAGCTAAAATCTACATTTCTCTTTCAATGATTGTCCACCAGGGCACCCCTATGTTCAGCTTCCATATGCATTTCGTAATCTTCATGACCTTCTGCAATGACTTTAAGCTCTTGAATAGTTTTCATACCAGTATCTTCAAGCAAGAACTCCCCATAGGAAGTCTTCCCTTTTTTCTGTACTTGTTCTTCCTTCCTTCAGTTGTTTGCCGGAGTACTAAAAACCTTCCTTTAGTTCAAAATATGTTTAATACCTGTCAAAACCTTAGCAGCTGATAACCATCACTATTTTGAGGCTTCATGCTTATAGAAATGTTACATAATTTTTTCTTTTTGTTTTAATTGAAATATCATGACATGGAACAAATTTGATCAATAGATTTTTCTTTTCGAAATTTCTTTAATCAATGTCAGTATCTGAGAAACTGCACACCTACCCCTTCCCTAACCCAACACCAGTCAACTGATGGCAATTTAGGGTTAATTTTGACTTTGGGGAGGGGTAGGTACACAGTTGCTCAGATACTGACATTGATCTGTTACTTTTCACAGATTCCTCTTTTGGGAACTGGTCAAGGAAGACTCTGTACACTACAGACACCAGTTACTCTGTCAGAATTGATAAACCGTATCAAAAACCACCTGAACCTTAAACATGTTCGTCTTGCTACGGCACATTTAGGTATGCCTGAACTAGCTGACCCCCAGCAAAGCCATGTTCAGACTATTGCAATCTGTGCTGGGTCAGGAGCTGGTTTACTGCAAGGAACAAAGGCTGATGTTTATTTGACAGGAGAAATGTCACATCACGAAGTGCTAGAAGCAGTGTCAAATGGAGTACATGTGGTCTTGTGTGAACACAGTAACACAGAACGTGGTTTCTTACTGGAATTTAAGACAAAATTGAATGGGTTGTTAGAAGAGAAAGTTAATGTGTTGGTTTCTTCATATGATGCAGATCCACTTCAAGTGGTATAGGAAGCAAATTTCTCTTGGAGACAAAGAACAATTCTTTTGATGTTCATTAACCCTGTAGCTCACAAGATCTCATTAGTAATTCTTCTTACAGTCTGTCATACAATTCTTAGGATTTTAGTTTGGAGAACTTGGTATTGAATCAACTAAACAATCTCCTAATTGATATTTTACTTTATTCTTATCACTTGTCTACTTGACATTTTAAGGAGAAATTCTGTCTTGGTCAGTCATGGGAGTTAAATCCTCAAATTGATTGAAAACCAAACAGATGCAATGAGTGTACTCATTGACCTCTTGGCTTTGAGGTTGACAACTGAATTTAGTCCTTGATGAGTACAATTTAATACTGAACTTTCTAAGATGACATTGGGCCAGTCTTGAACATGTTCACTAAGCTTGAGATGTAAGCAGTTAACCTGCAAATGAAAAATGCTCAAGCCTTTATTTCTCTTGAATTCTCTTGGAAATTAAGTTTGGCTCAATACTGTCGGCTTACTGTTGTTTTGGAAAACATTCCAGCCTCTTTTAAAGGGCAGTGCAGGTGAAATTGACAAGTAGACTAGGGCAAACAAATAGAAAACAATGAAAAAGCGGGAAACGGCAAATACAGTTGTTCAAAGGGGATTGTGTTAACATGCTTAAATATGTGTCAGATCCACTTAAGTTATCAACGATCAGTGAGAAGAAAGCTATAAAAAATAAGACAAAACCAAGTGAAACTTTGAATAGCTTTATTAAGTATCAGAGCTAGTGAACTACTTTTTCACTTCAGCAGACAGTGTGCAAACTTTTAACGTTAGGAAAGCCCTAACAAAGAAAGTGAAGAAGCAAAACTATTTTAGATACTTTTAACAATATAATGAGCAAATCTGAATGACAAAATATGTAGCACAGGTGAAAAAAGTCTTAAAAGATATAAAAGTAACAGAAAGCATCTTTAAAGGTATGTACTGTAAAAAGTACTATCTGAAAATTGGCTTTTGGCTTTGACTGTGGGCGAACCCGAGTTTTCGTTATCTGTGAATCATGTCGAGGCATTTAGCGACAACCACAAGCACTTGCAGTCAAGTCAAAAATAGTCTTTCTCACCAAGTTGCCATTGGCTTCTCTTTTTAAAACACCAAGTCCTTGATATTTGGTCGGAACGCATTTACTCTGCACGAGATTCGCACGAACTCCTGGGGACGAAAACACACGTCTCCGTTTGGCGAGCTCCAAGACGAACGCATGTGGTGTGATGTGTTTCGCAGAGGAGCTCATGCTGTCAGCTACATCACATCGGCCATAACATAAAGAGAAGTTGATAAGGCCTTTAGGTCGAACATACACGTTGGACAGGCCCAATCGTGCAAAGGAGGTTCTGAAGCTATGAAGTCGACATTCTGTCGGGTACCGACCACTGCGGAGTTTGCCATAGCGTCTCTTTGGCTTATTACCAGCGAAGATAGATCTTGTAAACGTTGTTGAAATACTCTTGAAATAGGCCACGAGGAAAACGGGTCCATTTTCCCACCACTCTTCAAAATTTTTTAATTCTTTCCGCGAGGTGTTTGTGATGATGAACTCAACTTTCACTTTACGAAGGCGTCTTTGTTCCTTCCACTGATCCAAAAGCCTTGATACGTCATAAAGTTCTATCGTCTTTGTTGTGTTTACAAGCAAATCTTGTGTGTTGTAAGCCAGTCTAACTCCGTCCTCGTCAAGGACGTCAAAAGCGAAGATAACGTTATCTTTTGTGGGAAGTCTAAGAAAGGCCAGGTGAAGTTTTAACGTGTTCTCGATGTCAATGGCTGAGGTATCAAAATGGGTTGTGAACTTTATTTTGTACTGATCGTCAGTGTTGGTGTTTCGACGAAGAAATCCTGAAAAAGATGGGATTTTTAACCCCAGGCTCTTGATGATCAAGTGAAAAAAAAAACACATTATACAAGCAAATAATTCCTCACGATTGTTTCAAACAAGAACGGGAGTGTCTCGCACACCAAGCAAACATGTACATTTTTCGGTACAAAATTACTTCATTCATCAAATACTATCGTATGTGCCACAGTTTGGAATTAAAATATATAAAAAAAAAATTTCCAACTTTAAAGATGCAAATCGAAGGCAGAGAAAACAGTTTTAAGCGCAATTCAAACAAACCTTTGTCAAATACAAAGAGGAGGTTTTCATCTTTTGAAATCCTCAGATCCTCTGACAGTTCCTCGATGTAGTCAGTAAACGTTGTGCTGCGCTGGTCAACAGATATCTTTGCCGAGCTGAAAACAATCATGAAAGCAAGAACAGAGAACAAAGATTGTGCATTCCTGAACTGGTTCATCCTTAAAGTCTCAAGATTCCAGAGCCAAACCTAAGAGAAGGTGGATCTAAATATGAGAGTTTCCTCTTGAAGACATTTATTTTTACTGAGGTGGCCAAAAAGACGCCAAAATGTTTTCGAGGCGACAAGAAGGCGTATACGTGCGCTGTAAAATATACAGCACTCCCAAACTTTTAAACATGATAGTTGATAGCTGATTAAAGGAAGCTTTTAAGACCTTATCTCATTTTCATAGTTTCATTAGTAATTAAAACCTCAGCATGTGCCTCTCCTTCAAGTGGTTTGCCTCATAAGTCACTTGAAGACCTAGGAAAAATCGTGGTAACTTAAAAATCATAGTCAGCTCGGAGAAGATAATTGAAACACGTACTCTGCTAGTTCGAGGTGAATACCAGTCGCAGGTTCAAAGCGTACAAATGGTTAGGTTTTCGACGCACGTGATACAGAAAGGAAACGAAAACAGACAGTTGAATGAATAGTTTGTTATTCTTTTCAAAATATTTTTAAAAACATGTTTGCACAAGTTCTGAAACAGCTATCTATTGCTCTAAGAGGCTTTAAACGTCGCCACTTGATACTGCAAACTGACATATCAATCCTTAATCTCTCCTTTTTCGAATACCACTGCCATAATGTTCCTCGTCTTCTACACGCGTTGGTAAGTATGCCGGTTACCTAACTTGGTCTTGCCAGCCCAAACTGACGTACAATCAGATATTTCTTTTGCAGTAAATACCTTAGAAAGTTGTGCAGTTTCCGTAGATTATGAAATCAGTTCATTCCTCTCCTAATAGGCTCCTTTGATTTGAAATGTCCTCCGTGTTCCGAATTTTTGATTTTATCTAGTTAATGAACTGTAAACGCTTCCACACATTCTAACTAATCATGTTCAAGATAATAATGATAATAACAACGTATTTTAATGTACACAGTATCATCTAAATGTAACTTTATCCATCTCCAGTTCTAGGAACACAGTTAATCGTCGTAGTATGGTATAAATGCAGTATACATTAGAGTTTTAAAAATTGCATGACACGTGAAAATTTTATGTGGATTACCCAATTTACCCAAAACAATTTTAAAACGTCATATAAACTTTCCAAGCTTTTTACCGAATCATCGACTTTTGCAAGAAGAGGCCGAAGATCATTTATTCCAGATCAAGGCCTATCTAAATTCATATTTTATTTCATGATGATAAAAAGAACAACATTTTCCATAGGCGACTCTAAATTTCTGAATTCCATAACACTTTCCTACATGATCCCACTTGATTAAACACTTAGGCTCGCGTCCAAAGAATTCACTAAATTTACTACTTGTTTGTGTGATTTATAGATACGAAAAACAACCTGTAGCGAAACAATAGTTTTATCCCACACAAGGGCGATGTTTCTTTATGGCAAAAAAATTGCAGGTTTGCTATGAACACGAGGCAAACCATGAGCACAAACAGGCTGTTCTAAAGCTCTTACCGGTGACACTGTTGTATTGGAGACATGCAAATTGTATTTGATTGAGTCAGAGATGGTTAGCTTTGAGCTAACTGCTTCACCCATGGGCTTATAAATAGTTTGGCGTTTATTAACTTCCATGTTTGTTTGTTCTCTTCTTACATGGTTTTTTTTTATTGTTGTTGTTTTTCTTCTCCCTCGGTGATATTTAGCTCACATTTATTTTGTACATGTACACAATCTTTTCAACTAAGTGCTCTGAAAATGAATGAAATATTTTGCTTTAATTGTGTTAAAGGAAAGTATTAAGTCTTTCAGTGTAAATCTCTGTGGATATCGCCAACAAATTCTACCCTGTAGAACACGGAAAATACGTCATGTAATATTCAAAATACTGTGAAAGTAGCAAATGTAGAAGTACAAATGTTGCTGTTGCTTCAATTGATCGGTTTCGACGCGGCGAAGCGTATCTACCACGTGCGAGAAGTATGGAAAGGCGAGGAACCTGCTTTGGAGAACACGTTGTTGGCCACGTTAAGAAACAGTTATTTGTTATAAAATAAGTGACTGATTTCGACAGTGAGTCGTAACTTTTATGCTTTTAAGATCCATGCAAGTATTCTTTTTAATCAGAATAGTTTAACTCCTACATTGAGTGAGATTTCTACCTATTAGATTTCTCAGAATTCTGTTAAAATCACTGATCTACTTTTAGACCGAAAGTTATGAAATAATTCACATTAGAAATTTTTAGTACTTTTTTCTAAATATTTACTGGACGACTATGAAATCATATTTTCATCTCTGATGATTGGATCAGTTTTATGGATCACTGATACACTTGAGCAATTAATTAAAGAACGCAATAACTAATCGAAAACATGATAGCTGAGCTGCAAAAAGTGAGTGTGGTTTATTTCACGGCATTATTCTTCGTGCGCACCAGAACTTTCTTGATACATCGAAAACACGAGTTTCAGACTAAATGAGCAGAAAAATGCACCATCTCCAAGGGTGGAAATGCCGCACTTATTAACAAAGAAAACTTAAAGTTTGCAAATAAACACCCAATCCACGTGGCTTAATTAGATGTTCGACCAGTAATTATCAACTTTGAAGAAGAGCGCTCTATTGGTTGCTAGGCACGTGACAGATTTTGGCGGAAAAATGGCACGCTTGAACCTGCAAAGAACACAACAAGTCTTTTGTTTTTCTTTTGTTTTCTTTTGTTTTTTTAGGCTTTGCTGTCAAATGAGTTACTATACTGAAGGAATTTAAATCCCTTTTGGTCGAGAAACCCTTCACTTCGTTCGAGTCTTTGGAGCAGCTTGAATAAAGAATTGAAAACTTCACCAGTGACTGAAAATGGTTTACCCTGAGGTTGAATTCCACATTGGAGGGAGTTATTTTGCAAGGTTTGTTTTCGTTTCCCGGCAGTTATCATTTTCAAGTGATTAATTTGATATTAGGAAACTTCACGCCATTTAATATCGCTGTTCCTTTGCTCCTAAAGTTTTTCAAAGCTGTAGAAAAGAGAAAATATTTCTCTAACATCAGATAGGTTTCATTGATGCTACATGTGTAGGATTTGTCTAAAAAGAAAAAACTTCATCCAGCGGAACTCCTGATTCTGACTTCCTTAAAACTTCTACATGGAAGCCATTGAGTTATATCTATAAGCGCTGTCTCGCCATTGATAATGTATCAGGTGTACAACAACAGCTTACCGGAGCAACGTACGGTCCTACTTAGAACTCGTTATAAAGAAAATAATTACAATTTGAGCGCATGAGTGTCTTCTCGCAAGTTCGATATCATGGTGAACTCAGAAGAAATAGTATAAGATATAGGGGTCCTATCGTGTGGAAATCAATCCCAAAATTCACCAGATATGCTACATCCCTAGCTTTTTAGAGGAAAACTTAAACCTGCCTCAAGAGCATTGGGCCAAATACAATTGGAGAAAGAGGCCTGTTAAATTCAATCGAAAGATCCTGTCCTCTTATATTTCTAATAGTTTTAATACATCCTTGTTTTTAATCGTTTTAAGATGTAACTTTTAAATACATTCAATTTAAGCGCTTTAAAGGAAATTTATGGCAGGTCCACACCAGCCCTTGGGTTGCCACAAACAGACCTGCCACACCGAAAAGTATTTTTATTCGATGTTTGTTTGTAGATGGTTTGAATCTTATTTAAAATTTGCAATTAATTTAAGTCACGTGCTCGGCAACAGACTACTGTTTGCTTAACAACAACATGGCGGCTAAAACGTCACGAACCTCACAATAAGCACTCAGTGACAGACACACGAGAACGTTAATGTGTAAGATTTCCAAGTTACTCTGAGCACTTGTCGAGTCTTATCAAGACCATGCCGCTGTTAACGATGAAATTGTGACAATTTTAAATCAGTTATAAATCGTTTTTGATTCGTAGCCGAACAGATGAATTAATAATGGCTAGGAATGGGAAAGTTCATCCGGTGATCTCGGCAAACAACGACCAAGATTACCGTCGTGAGTGCGTGGAGTTGAAAGGGATGAATCATGTAACGAAGTCGAGGAAAAGAACTTCGACAGCTTCAAGTGAAAACTGGCAGAAAGTTTCCAAAGAGGTCATGGCATTTTCGCGGTGGAAAGGTTACACACGCTCTATGAGATCACTGGCTGGGGAGAAAAACTCTTCCGCATTGAATAATAACAATCGAGCTACGCGAGTTTACTCGAGATCAAGTTCGTACAAGGAAAGAGAAATGAACTGTGTATTGGATAGTGATGTCGAGGATTTAGGAAATGAGCGACTTTCCATGTATGATACAAATGCTTATATGAAACCAATGCCTGCTGTAAATCAAGGCGAACCCACACATCCTTCGATCGCAGCCAGCAGAGCATTGATCATCTACTTCGCCAAACTGGCCAAGCAAAGCATTGAGACGGAACAAGAGCTTGATTTTGAGTTTATAGAAGGACTGCTTGGTGAAGGAGCTGACATAAACTTTACTGATAGGCACGGACAGAGTGTTATGCATGAAGTTGCTCGAATCTGGCACGTGGATGTTGCCAGGTTTGTTTTGGAAAATGGTGGAGACGTAAACAAAACAGACGAGTTTGGACGGACGCCACTACATATTGCTGCATCAATTGATTATCCTGAGATGGTAGAGTTTCTAGTTACCAGCAAAGGTTAGTTTTATGAGCGTGATTATTACCTTACCTCATTTAAGTCAACTCTATTTAGAGTCTATGTATTTCATATCCTCTTTTTGCATTCCAGATCCCACACTGAGAGTATTACGATCCTTATGGTTAAGTGCTTTGAAATTGTCCAAAGCAAAATTGCCTACTGATTGATTCATGGAAAACTTATATTCAGAGGAGCCCATATCAAACAGATATACACCATCTGAAGAATACACAATTCGTAGAAAAAACCAATTTACTCCTTATTTTCAATGAACAAAGCCTCTGTTTACCGACACCCTTGAAGTAAACCTTAGTAAGGATTCTATAGGTTGCCACTGTGCATGGCTCAAAGTAGTGTCCATTTTATCATTATACCAATCACCCAATTATTCTCATTATCAAACTTTCAAAATGCTTTGTTTGTTACCTTGGAAATGCTATCAAAGAAATGGAGAGACACTTTTTTGACACTTAAGGTTGCTATAGCAAATCTGTAGAAAATCTGATTGTAGTTCAGAATCACCTTATATTTTTAATGCTTTAAATATTGTTTAGAATTTATTAGACATTGATTGATATCATTTTCAAGAAAACACAAAATAGTGTGGTAGTATTGATCCATTTAATGATTTTTCTTGAAGAAAAATAGCTGAACCATTTCCGCCATTGCATATTCAATTCAAGTTTTATAGCATCCCTTTTGTGCACTTTTTCCAATAGCTGATCTGCATGCCATCACATTTGGAGAGTTACAAACACCCACTCACTATGCTGCTAAAAATGATGCATCTAAAGCACTGAGAATGCTTCTTAAGCTGGGAGGCAGGATGGATGATACAGACTACAAAAGACGCACTCCTCTGCTTGTAGCAGCTGAGTTAGGTATGATTTTAACTGAATCCTATTGGTTCCTTTAATCCAGGAGTGATTGACAAGTAAATTCTCCCTATAGTATTAATACATTATTCAGTAAACAGGTGATGAGAACACTCAAACTCATCAGGTAGTGGTTGTTATCTTGATCTTACACCAAATTATTGTAACTAATTTACAAGGAAATGTGTAAAAGTTGGAAGGGAGAATTAACAATCAGATCTTGGAAGTTGAAGGGTTCTTAATGATTCAGAGTGGTAAAGTCCAGTGAAATGCATCATTCTTGTTTCCTGAAGTGTAGCTAAGCAACTATTTTGCTTGAACTCTTAGTTTTATTTTGTTTGAGGGGGTTGAATTTATTAGTAACTTAAGTAATTTAAGTAATTGTTCCTGAAAAGCCCCATTGGGGAGGTAACAATAAAGTATGTATGTTGAAAGTTGTTCCATACAAGATAGGTGTATTTTCTGAAAACACAAACTCTTGCCTCAGACAGTTGGACTAATTCTGTATAGCTGCATCTCCAAGTTAATAACTCATAAAGCTTGATCAACTATTTCCCCTTTGAAATTGTCATTGGTAAATTTCCGTGGTTTTTCTTTCTTAGGCTCAAGATTTCTTAGGTGGCAAATATTTATTTGTACCCTATATGTATTTTTCTTCGAAAATAACTTTTACTTCAAAAGACAGTGTCACTTTTTTACCGTGGTCTTCACAATTATTCAGATTTGTCTAACATGAGTGTGGCCGTGAAGGTGTATAAATTCCTTCTTTGTGTTTCAGATCGATCAGAAACAGCCAAATATTTAATAGATCAAGGCGCAGCTGCTGGTGTTCAAGACAGTGCAGGCAGCTCAGTTATGTCTTTCATGATCTCCAAAATGCCTCCTGTCGCAAAAGAAGCCTTGGATCAGTTTCACACAACAGACCGGGGTAACCGCCGGCAGTACTTCTACCTGAATCATCTGGAACCTTATCTGCCGAACGAAAACGGTGCATACGTTTCTTGCGCTAGATCACCGCTTCACTGTGTGGTATATTACAAACAAATGGAACTTATAATGCACCCAGTTTTCAAACGGCTTCTTGATGTAAAGTGGGACCAATTTGGCTGGCGTGGAACAATAAAGAACATTTTTGTGCACGCGTTTTTCGTGTTAATATGGACAGCGCTAGGTGTGACTCTTCATTTCGGAGACGATTCGATTACGAACTATTACAAACCTCCCAGAGATTATATATGGCGAATTGTTCTGGAGAGTTTAGCTTGTTGCATGACTCTGTACTTTATTTGCCTGGAGTTTCAGGAGATCAGTGCTTCGAAGAAGTCGCACCGAAACTGGAAAAGATGGAGGATTGATGAGCTCGAGAAAGACCTACAGTTTTCTCATCCGCGTTGGCCAGAAGAGAGAAAGTACCTTGAAATGGAACGCAACGACATCTTAGATTCAGGAATTTCTTACTTTAATGACGCTTGGAATTACTTTGATTGGGTGACATACGGCTGGATTCTGGGAATAATTGTGACTCGTATTTTTGCTGTTGTGTTAGCCAGCGATGTAGCTCGCTCCCTTCATCCAAAAGTGTTCGCTATTGCACTGATTTTCATCTGGCTTCGACTGATGAAAGTTTTCCGCGCTTTCATTACACTGGGACCGTTCATTGTTATGATCGGACATATCATTGATGATACTCTTAAGTTTGGCTTCCTTTATTTTATATTATATGTACCTTATGTCTGTGCGTTTTGGATGACATTCGGAGGCGCAGAGAACGCTGCAGTTATGAGAGCCAACGGGTTGGACGGTGACGGATGGGAGAACTTTAACGATCTTATGTATTCCGTGTGGCAGTTGACAGTTGTAGGGAATTACCCCTGGGATTCCCTGCTTGTGGTAGACCGGTTAATGGCGCAGATTCTCTGCGGAACTTACCTAGCAGTGTCAGCTATTGTGATGATAAATCTTTTCATTGCGCTGATGTCGGACACGTTTCAGCGTGTTTATGACAACGCCAAAGCGAACGCAGCCATGCAGCGCGCAAGCACCATACTGACTATGGAAGAGAATATGGGAGACAAGACTCGAGAAAGATACAGGAGACTGATTCATGAGAGATTCTCTCCTGAGGTGAGACATAAAGATCATCTTCTTCCAAAGTTAGTCTCATTCGCAGGCTTTGTAAGGTCCAGAGACTAGAGTAATGAAGACATTCCGTTTTATCAAGCCTTATTTTGACGCCAAAGAGAGATTTACGTATGTTAAATAATTGTGGTGTTTACAAATATGTTAAAGATTGTTTTGAAAGTATAAAATGATTTATAAGGAAGCGCAGGGAGAACTAAGAATCTTATACAAATTCGCACCGGAGGTGGCGTTTATGCATGGACGCGCACTTGTTTAGATAGCTCACATGCGCTGTATTCTCCGTTGAAGTAGGAATAATTAAGATGTGAGAATTTTGGTTCAGCTCAACTGTAACCTGAATGGGAATTTTCAGAGTTACCAAAAAACTCACTCAGGTGGTGTACGTGTAAGTCTGCATGGAAGTCCGTTAGATCAGAATAGGGCTTTCCGCGCTCCTTCGCTCTCTTTTGCTCTCTTCCGCGCTCTTCGGGCCTTCAGCCCTATTCTTTTAACTTGAATCCAATGTTGCTGCAGTTGATTATTCCCCTTCAAATGAAGCCGCTTTTTACTTTTTTTATCTAATACCTTTTGTTACTTTTAATGATTTTATAATAACACTCATTCTTATCTGTTTAAAATATATTTACTCATTAGGAAATGTATTATGATGATGACTCCACCCAGCCTGGTTCTGGTGAGTTGGAACGAATGACGCATCAAATCAAAGACGTGGTTGATGAAGTGTTCGAAATGCTACAACCGCTGAACCGCAACGGATCAGGAAAGACGGCAGATAAAAGCACCAAACGAGAGATTGAACGGTAAAGGATAACATACTTTTATTGTTTGGGAAGTCACTGACTGGCAGAAAAGTACTTTGGGGAAAAATGCATTTGAACATTACATAGGTGGCTTATACTTCTAAATTTTAAGACAGTATCAACTTTGAAACAGTCCTCGAGTAATGTTTAGCAACGAAAGTAGTGTTTTTCATCCGTTACTTACCAAAAAGAAATTCCAACTTAAATATGTTACACTTGTTTCTGTAGTGTAAAGTAGCTCACGAAGTATTCCATAGTCCATTTAGGCTGGGCGGACACATACTGTCGAAGGATATGAAGAATGTTCTAAAGATTTGTTTCGTCGAAATCCAACAGGAAGGCTTCTGCTGATGATGTTTATTAATCGGCTATATCTTGAACCCTTAAATCTCAGGAGTGGTATCGATTAACATGTAACTTCTCCCAATTGTATCCATACATTACCCCGCAAACAGATGACGAGATTACTCAAACTTATCAGGTAGACGTTGATATTTTGATTTTACGCCAAATTCTTGAAACTGTTTTACAAGGAAATGTATAGCAACTGGAGGGGATAATTAACAATCAGATCTTGGGAGTTAACTGGTTAATCATGTCTTTGTTGTATATGACTAATTCGTTTTCTTTGTTTTGTTCTTCTTGTATCAAGCTTGCGATCTGACCTCGCAGAAGTTTCCAACCGACATGAGCAGACTGTGAAAGAGATGAGAAACGAAGTGGCAGAGATGAAAGCTTTGTTGATTCGTGTTTTGGAGCGAGGTTCAGTACCATCACTACCATCTGTCCGATCTCTTCACGATCAAACTCAAATTCCTGAACGCCACTCCCCAAACGAGGCACGAAATCCTTCGAAAAGGTCAGCGAGTAATCGTTCGCACCGAAAACGGCATCGACGGCAGCATAGCTTTCCGAGTGATGACGAAGTTGATCACGGGGATTACCAAGGATTGCCACTGACCAATGACATTGGAGGCGATGCGAATGAGTTGCCTAGTGTGCGGGTGTTGACTACGCGCGCTACAGCTCGTAAACAGCAAAGAGACGAATAAGATCACAGCTGAACAAACGAAGTAAAATAAAGATAAACCGCACGTTAGCTAAAACTGGATACACAAAAACATTAATATTAAAAAATGACAGACAAATAAGGGGAAATTCTTACTTAATCCGAGTTACAGCACAAATATGGAATAGAACCAAGCGAGTGCAGTGTTTGGCCCCGCGGCATAAAAATGTCGTACCTCGACAATCCGGCCTTTTCCAGTTGAGTGTTTCTTCATAGTTTGTCGTGTAATTTCGGGATTGGTTTACTCCGTGTCAAGAGAGATCCTTTAACTAAAGCTATGTTATATGAAATATCCGCTCAACCAATCGGTTCCGTCGAAAACGCATTTCGTAACTGAGTTGTCGGTGAAAAGCGACTTGTACGAGAATGGTCAACATTTATGTTAAAACCAAAATGACATTTTTTTAACGGATGTATAGTTTTGTAAAAGCACGAGAGGCTTTTTAAACAATGGATGTATTTTTATAAAATGGAGAGAAAGTTGTCAACTTACTCTATTTTTCGGTATCATATACAATATATAGTGTGAAGAATATAAAAATAAATTGCTTAAACTTGATCAGCAGTATGCCTACGATACTACTTTGAGAGAAAAGAAGGACTCAGAGGTCTACTCTTGTAAAAAGATATCAATCTTCTCGGGTGCAAGGCCTGCGACGAAGCTTAGGTGCTTTGGTCGTTTGTGATCATACTAGGAAAACCGACAGAAAATTGTAACACCAATTTAACAGTTTTTTCTTTGGAATGAGATAACAGCGCGCCTCAAAATAACTCGCACTATCTTGTGATAGAAGAAAGGGTGTGTGATATAAAAATTATTACTCATCGTGAGGTCATAAGACGAGTACGTCACGAAACATTCTGTGTCACGTACACAATATCCTTTCCTAGAAGTGCGCTTACGTCAAACAGGAAATTTTATACTAATGAAAAAAATTAATCCTGAATTCTAGACTTAATAACGAACAGCCGCGGCTAAAAAAAGCTTATATATGCAGCTGTCAGGATAAATTATGCCGGGTCAGGAGATGAAAAAAAATCCTTAAGAAGCCCGCGTGTTTTCCATAGATATAATTTGTCACGTTGGTTCCTCGCGGTTCCACTGTCTTTCTTTTGTAGATCAGCCGTCTCTCACGTGTATTAGTTACAGAGTTTCGATTAGAATGCATGAAAAGGATGTCGTTGGTAGAGTGCTCAGGTAAGAATCAATTTTATTAAATTATTGTTTAGTTAGCAGACGGGTGATCTCTCAACAGAGTGTTACATTGTTCAGATCAGCAAAACATTCATGCCGCAGTGATGTCGTTTAGTTTCCCCCTCCTGAACTCGCGAGGTAGGTTCAGTTTGGCGCGTATTTATCCTCTTGATAGGATTTTACTTTCCACCTACAGTCCTAAGTGTTCTTTGATAAATCCTTTTTAATATTTTTGATAAGAAAGTTATAGTTTTTTTTCTTGTTTTTAAGAGCCAACACGTTATGTGTTGAAGGGGAGTGAGATTTAAAAGTCCAGTCCCGAGCTCCATCTGGAAAATCAGAAACATATAATACTATTTTATCAACTTTACCTCGCTGAAACCAGTTTTAAAAAAAGTACTTACGAAAACTGTTTCTTCAAACTAACTTAGTGTACACTGATGACAGTCCGGAGTTATACGTAGAGGATAATTTTTTCTCGCAAAGTAATACTTAAATTATTTGTCAAATGATTATTAGACTCAGTAGGCGAGAATGTCAAAAAGTCAAATAATTGCAGTATATACCTTTTGCATACTCAACGGCCATAAGAGATCTCTTTACGGCCCGTAATACTTATTTTGCTCCGTAAAAAACAAAGTCACTGTTGAAGAAAATAATTCGTCTGACAAGCAATCTTATAGGCTATCCGGTGGCGGTCAGTTTTCTGAGTGTTTTAAGGCACATGGCGATTTTAACACTGATGGTCGGCTTTGAGATTGTTATCGACGACTTCTGGGAAATGATAGCAGTCCTTTTAAGTAAGACCTTTAACTCAAGGCTGGCTTCCTTTTTTCGGTGAATAACATAATTAGAAAACTGTGTCTCATGGTTTTGTCATTATTAAGAAAAAGGAAATGTTCTACTAAAAGTAGGTGTAGGATTTATTTCTTAATTTCAACACTATGTCGAAAAGTTAGAGTCTTTTAGCAAATAGCCGATGAATAATGTTGAGGATGCCTGTGCTAGTTATTTCTCGTCAGCCTTGGATTGCACTGAGTTTTACAATTAACTGTTTTGAAGAAATTCAGACAGTCTCAGGTCGTAGTTGGGAGTGAACAGTTAGGAGAGGCTTAAGAGAGAGGCCTGGGAAGTATTAATAAACGAATACTTTCTGATTTCAGCACATGGGTGATGTGTGTAATATCATGATCGTTATTTGTAACCGTCGCGTCTTTGTTGGCCTCTTTCGCTGTGAGAGGAGCTACATCTCGGTGAATAAGACTCGATAAGGAGTACTGATGGCATTTCATTTCTGGGTTAATTTACTCTGATACCGAGCCTACGTGAGGCAATGTGGTCATCGATATCCTTGAAATGTTCGTGGGTGTTAAATATCTTTTTTCTAGATCTTTCCCTGAAGAACGTGATTTATTTTGTATAAAGAAATCTATCGGGTTTTCCAACAGTTTAATATCTTGATATAAAATATGCGCCTGATATAAACCTACCTCGGTGCAATGGAGAAACAAAGCGACATCTCACTTCACATCGCTACAGTTTTACTTTCCTTGCTAAAATATCAGCGATTGAGTTTTTACTTCTCATAACTTCGCTTTGAAAGTTCAACTCCTCTTTCTCCCCTCATTTTTTGTCCTCCTCTGCCCTGCGAACTAGTTCTAGCAATTTTGCTTTCTTGATTTGAAATTGTCATTGGATAAAACATCAAGCGTAAATTTCTCAAAACAAACAAGATTACCTAGCAGAGAATTAGTGCTAGGGATGCTAAGGTTGTGCCAGACACGGTCAATTGCGCTACAGAAAGGACTGGGCTTGAATGCGCCATATTTGGCTGAGGTGGCCACAATGGTGGACAGTCAAAATTTGATTACTTCTTCGAGTTTGTCTTGTGACCAACAGTTTGGGGCGAAAATCTCCGAAATGCGACGGATTACAACTACTTCATGATCATGGATTCTAGATATACCTCTCTTGGCGAACTTGGACAAAGCACTTCGCTTTACACAGCACACAATCGCGACACAAGTCAAGCAAATGATCCTTACAGAAAACGAACTTCAATCACACTCGATGAGAACTTGTCCAGGTTGTTCGAGTGCATGAGGCTGGAATATGGAACGTAAGTGGACTCAGATGCTTTTTAACCTTTCCAACATTTTCCGAGTTTTCTTATGGCTCTAATCGGGGGGTCGCTGTTGTTGTAAGTCCTCCATTAATTCGCATATTAATAAGGTTTTGAACGATAGTTTCCTATAACAATTGAACGAAGTTCAAAGCGTTTTAATCAGATAGCACAAATTAACGAAGAGATTAATAGAATTAAATACCGTTAAATTTTGTTTCCTTTGCGTTAAAGCAATCGATATTCTCTCTTTCACTCAATAACTGCATGCGTTCGTGACGATTGTGTTTAGATATATAACCGTGTAATACACATGTTTGGTATTTGTATTCTTTTTCACTGTAACGGTTTGAGAATGTATAACTATGAAAATCGTCTTTCGAGTTTTTGTCGATAGAACTTGATAATCTTTTTCATTCCTGAGAAGCTGTTCCATGTTTGTGTTTCATGTTTTCATTCAAGATCACAATATTGATAATTTGGACACTTCAACAATCAAACTGTTAGAAAGGAAATGCTTTGATTTGTTTTTAACAAAGTCAGTTACTCTCTAAACCTCGATCTAAAAATTTGGGTCAAGGCCTATGAAGTTCGTGGGATTTTGGAGAAAGTGGCCCTTAAGTGTATCCCACCTTGAGCTTTCAACTCAAGATTTTCTGAATTTTAACTGTTCACCAATTACCTGTTAGTGAAAAAAGAAATATATATTAAAGTTCACATGGCAATCAGGTGGACAATCAGACATGGTTTGACGCTACTCTGGTTTACAGATTTAATGAATGTAACTGAAGAAGTTAACAGTCTATGAATTGTAACTTCTTTGGTTACATTCATTAAATCTGTAAACCAGAGTAGCATCAAACCATGTCTACCTGTTAGTAGTTAGGATGAACATGTAATATCATTTTACCATGGTAGAATGAAGAGAAATGCGCAGCCTAACTCAATGCAAGGCCTAAACAGGAGAACCAACTTGCTAGCTGACATAGATGTTGAAAATCATGAGGAATCTTAGTATTTTTGTTTAGAATGTTTTTGCTTATTTATTTTCTCTGAACATTGGAACACACAACCTGGTTGTTGCTTCATAATCATTTGGCCATGCGGTTTGCCTAATCCTCAAAATTAGCAGCTTTCTAGTTGTGTAACCAAAATTAAAACACCTTGCAGCTACATGAGAATTAAACTGTCCATCTTCTACAGGCTGATGTGATTGTTTTTGGTGGTTTGTTGTAAGAGATGTCCATAGCTAATTAGATACACTAGGCTGCTACAGATGTAACGAGGATTTTTTTGTTCCATAAGTGTTACCTAAGACTGCCTCTTTCCTTCCTGTTAACCCAATATGCATGTGGTGAAGTTCAGTGTGGTGCTTAAAAGACACTTGTCTATGAACACAGGATAGCCAGGATTAGATTTAGACAACAGCTGTGACTTTCTCACTATTCTAAAGAATGCCAAGGCTTTTATCAATGTTTTAGAAAGATTCTTTTGAGAATTTATACCAACATACAACAGCATGCATAAATTAGTGTCAAATGGTATTACTTATTTAATGTAAAGTAAGGTAGTTTTTGTTTTGTAGCATGGTATTGGAATTTTTCTTTTATCTCTACACATAACTAGAGATGAAGGAAACAGAGGAAAATCAACCACAATTAATATTTGTATTTATATGAAAAAAAAGTTGGTCTCTAGTTTTCAAAGCTACTTTCAGTCTAAATCCTGTAAAAACTAGTGTTTCTGCCTTTAGAAAATATATGTGAAAAACCTTAATTTTGTGTATTCAACCAAGTTTCCTGAGCTTGCAGATATACATATTAAATGTATATTATGAGAGGCTTTTCTCAATGGATATCTCAGGGGTGTCAGTGAGTTTTGAAGTAGACAGAAAAACTACAAAGTAGGGGGCTAATGAAAGTTCAATCTTCACTTTAATATTGATAATTTCAAAGAAAATATGCAGCCATTTTGCTTGACATAGATGGCAAATTTTGCCCAGTTTCTGGCTCTAATTGAAATCCCTGCTATCTTAAGATTTTCTCATTCTTCCATCCTCCCCTCCCCCTTCCCAGTACCCCACATTTTCAGGGGCACTGTAAAAAATCGAAAGTGATATTGTCTTGTAATTGGAGCTACATCTGATAGAGTCACATTGTTATTTCTGTCCAGGGGAGGCTTTCTAATCTCACCAAAATGGAAGAACTTCAGAAGCCAGAAGTTACAGTTTGCTGAAAAGACACGATTGAACAATGCAATTTGGAGATGTTGGCATATCCAATGTGAGTATAAAAAGTATGTTTTTCAAAAGATAAATAGAATTGAATGTCTCACAATGTGGTCACTTTGGATGTGGATCAGAATGCTAGTCTTCTTCAGGCGAAGAGGTTGATTGAGTTCACATCACCCTTTTACTGTTGTGCTCAGCTGTGATTGGATGCATCTGTCGACATCCAGGCTTCTGGGATTTCAACTTCACTGTCCCTGTTGATGTTGTTAGGGTAAAGCCTTAGGTGAATTGCCTCTTTCACCCTTGTACTTCGTTCCAGAGCAGGCAGTGTTCAGTGTTGTGGGTGTGCTCTGAAATGGTGGAGGTCTGTGTCAAAGCAAGTCACATACCCTTGCTGTGTTCCTTGATTCTCTCCTGCAGAGGTTTCAGCCATTCTGTTTAGGCCATCCTGGTTAACCAGGTCAACAGCATCCTTTGGGTTCACTAGTTGTGATCATAGGGTAGTCTCTGACTTGAAAACAGTGCATTCACCTTGTTGTTGTAGACAGCAGCAAAGTTGTTTGGAGAGGCCTGTGACATAGCGCAGGACTGCAGTGGATCTGAACTCCGTAGGGGGATCAGTGCTGGCTGTCTTGGTTTTTGTTACCCTTTGTTCAAAAGAGGAGGGATAACCATTAGCAACAAGAATGGATGACAGATGTTTCTTCCATCGGAAATAATGGAGGACTTTGTTATGAGACATTTTGCATGTCTCTAAAGGCACTTTACAATTTACTCTACTGATAGAGATGGTGTTTTTAGTCTTGAAGGCTGTCTAAGATAAAGCCAGCAACTGATGATATGTGTTTTCTGTCTTCAGATTCCAAGGGGAGGCGACCATTGTTTTGTCAATTTGTCAATCCACTTTCTGAGGAAAAGGAGCCCTTTAAGAAGAAACCTTTTGTGAGTTTTTTTTTAAACACATTGCTTGATTGTGACAAAAACAGCATTATCTGGGATTGAATTGTAGCTCTAAAAACCATAATGGATGTGGGTTTTTTTCTCTTCAGTGAAGCTGAATGTTTTTTAACTTTCAAAACTAGCGTATCAAAATTTAAAAAAAATGTAATTCTGATCAAATGTTCTTTGTATGGTAGCATTAACTGGATGTACTTTGTTTCACCCTAAAGGCTGTTATACTTGAGGGTCGTTATTGGAGGAGAAAGTTGGAGGCTGTAGCTAGGGAGTACAAAAAACTAAGAATATATTACAAAAAGGTTTGTGAATTGTGTTTATTAGCCCTTGATTAACATGTAACTTTTCCCCATGATATCCATGCTTTTCCCAGAAAACAGGAAATGAGGACACTCCAACTTATCAGATGGAAGTTGTTATCTTGACTCATTTCTAGCAAGTAATTTACCAGGAAATGTTCAGCATCTTCATGGGGAAATTAATTAAACACACATTTTATGTCTCCTCAAATATTCATATTATTATTATCTCTAATGCATAGTCTTCTTTTCCACTTTTCTTTTCAGTGGTCAAATTCTCCTGTAAATACCAGTCCACTTTCTCATTTGAGCCTACGGGTATGTTGAAGAATTTTGCCACTTTTTAGTCATAAGATCTATTGTTGACAGAACCATCAGGAATGTACATTTTGAATGCACAGGACTAATGTGAAACCTTTAAACCAATGTAACTTTCTTACTTCTATATTTAAAACCTTAGTTGATTTTAAGATTTCTTTTGTGGCTTAATTTTAGGCACAGCAGATTGATCAAGAGATTGCTCAGAAGCTAGAGGAAAAAGAGAGAAAAAGAAAGAGGTTTGTACAGAGGACATTTCTGCAGTGTTACCTGATATTGGATTTCTAATGCAAGATCACTCTATATTGTGTGACTAAAACACTTAAATTTTTCAAATTTTTAAAAATACAAAGTTTTATGCACTCAGTTAAAAACCAGCTTTTTTGCTTGCTTAAGTATTATATGAAAAGCTTTATGTATCTCCAAGTAGCTCATATAGTTAAAGTGTATTAACACTGGAATAAAGTTCATCATAATTATCTTATCTGGTGGTATGCATGGGTGAGAAATGTTCCAAAAAGAAGCATTTTTTATTATGGAGGTTGAAGATTCAGTCACAAAGTGGAGATCATCATCAGGTTAATGTATTTCTTCACTTCTCATCAGCTGTTTGCCTGATGATGTATTTGGTATTATCAACTGAGTTGATAACGTAAATTGGTCACCGTAATGAGTTTCAAAGCTGACATTTTGAGCATTAGCTCCCCTTTTCACTCTGAGAAAGGGCCAATGCTTGAAACATCAGCTTTTGAACTCTTAATACAGAGGCCAATTTACATTATCAACTCATTTGATAATACTAAATTCCCCTATTTTACTCTCCCTCCAACACAGCATCACAATTTCTTTAAAAACTTATCCCCGTAATGGAGGTGTTGATATAGTTTGCAGAAATATCTTGTTGGTCTTTGTGAGTCCCTTATTTGATCTTTTCCAGGACAATAAGCTCAGACAGTGGAGATGAGAACCTCTTCACTATTCCAGCTGCCCCAGGCAGCAATGCTCAAGTAGATCACATGCTAAATATTATGGACACAGCTTTTAATGATGGTAATACTATTCTGCTGCCTTTTTTAACTGTTCATTTTGATTTTTCTCAAAATATGTATTTATCTTGTGTTATTTATACACTTGTAATATGTAATTAAAAGAATGAAATTTAGCTGATCCCTGAGAGGGTGGCAAGGGGAATGTACATGACACCTGATCAAGGTCAATTGATATGTGAAATGTGAATTTTACAGAAAGGCATGTGTGATTCATGAATTGCTATCTGGGTTATGTGTGACCTGTGATTTTTTTCTTTCATTTGGTGAAAACTTCAAGATTTCCCTGAAACCTTACTCCCAATAAGAGAAATTTTTATGCACATAGTGCATGAATTTTTCTGAAATTTTTGCATGAAACATGATCAGGACCTTCCTTCCCCCCTCACCCCACCTCCTTTGCTACCCTTCTCTGATACTCATCTCTTTAATAATTTGTAAACCATCTAATTATCCCAAGGAGTTGAATAATTAAGGTTTGTTTTTTTTATTTTTTCATAGACTTAGCTTTGTCTGCTCTGCCCGACACACTTTTCACTTCTCGTCAAACCAACTTTGGAGGAGCTGTAATTCCACAAGAAGCCCTTCAACAACAGCCACTGTCTCACAGAGCAAGAGGTTAAAAACAATCTTTATTCTATATAGCTCAACAATACACAAAACTCGATGCTTTCCAAAGTAAAAGCTAACAGGACATCTCCAATTAGACATGGAATTTTGTAATTTTACCACAAACAGAATATTACAAACATGAAGATGAAATTTTAGCAGTTTATGAATATGTGTGGTATTTGCAATCGGTGAACACTTTTATTCCCAAGATCTCATAAGTAATTCTCCTTACTGTGTGCCATACAGTTCTTGTAATGTTAGTTTGAAGAATTTGGTATTGGACCAACATAATCCTTTTATTGATATTTTTCTTTATTCTCATCACTTGTCTGCTTGATAATGTAAGGAGAAACTCTGTCTTGGTCGCTCATGGGAGTTTTAGGGTTAAATTTAGTTTTATTACTTTCTCTTTAGAAGCATCAGATGTTTTTCAAGTTCCAACTCTAGATAGCTTGCAGCCAAATTTAGACGAATTTATGGAGCATTTTGAAACTCTTACTGGTAAGATCCTTAGCCAAGTTAGGACTACAAATAGTATCCACTTCTTTCTAACTACATGCGCGGCATTTAGAAATGTCAATAACCCGGCATAGAGTGCAATTTTCAGTTTAGGAATTGCAGTGATATTGCTTGCTTTGCCCTCTGATTGGTCTGGAAAAATTAAAAGATTAAAAGTAATACAACATATTCACTTGCGTTTTCCCTAGCTTCATGCTATTCGTTTTTATTTTGAATCCTCATTGGCTCCTTGGGATTTTTCCTTTGTTCTAATTGGCTGATGTGATGTCTTTGATTTTGGTATTGAGACACCCAGTCTAAAATCACTTTAAGTATGATTCAGTGCTAATTTCAGGATGCTTTCATTTTTGTAGGAATGCTTGTGAAACAAGCTGAACATGCAGGAAATCAACCAAGTTACGTACAGCAGGGTGACTACCATCAGCGCCAGGCCGTTGCTCCTGCCCCACCAAACGCCACAGTGTATGTGAACCAAGGTGACCCATATGAGTCAACTGCATCAGGACAAGAGGAGGTTATGGATCATTCAGGGGCTTATGAATCTGTCACACAAGAAATGTTCCCAACCCAAACAGTGGACAATTCTCAGTTGCGTCAACAGGTCATGCAACCAGATGGACAAGTACTCATGGACATTTCAAGTGCCAATCCGACAGTGGAATTCACTTATGACTACGGGAATGTGCTGCAAGGAGGAAGCTTCACTTCACAACTTGACCCAAGCATACATGTGCAGAACAAGCAGCAGGTTGTTACATCACCCAGACTAGCTTCCCCTGTTGAACAGCCTCAGCTGCCACCCTACCCAACATCGCCACCGCAGCATCATCAGACTCCGCTGGAGGAAATTCAGATTCAAGCTCAACAGCTTCAGTCTCGTGGTAATAATGTTCTCTCCCCTACCAACCAGTTTGTTGGTAATGTGGATCCCTTTAACACGGCCAGGCAAATGGATGCCTCGAGCCAACAGAGGAAGGGGCGGTTGCCTAGGAATGTGTCTGATACACAGTTATATACAATGGACTTGTCTCAACTGGGGACATCTCTCCACACAAATTTGTTTCCCTCCATGGAAAGTAATTTACCACCACAGCTGGAAGCCCCCAATTTAGCGGCACATTTGCAGTCCATACAGCCCCGCACAAGGATCCCTTCCTTACCAACAGCCTCTAATGCCAAACGGGTCCGTCTACCGAGAAACATGTCTGACTCTAAACTGAGCAGTTTAGCGAGCATGTCTAGAAGTCCGACATCACCTCCATCGCTACCCACAGTGCATTCGTCGGAGATAGCAAACCAACCGTCACATCCAGCCCCAAATCCAACACATCACTCGGGAAGGAAAAAGAGAGGAGGATTTCCTCGTATCATGTCAGATTCATCTTTGTTGAGTTTAGGTCAACAGCCGCACCAACGCTTACCTCCAGCTCCAGCAGCAGCGCCAAGTACATCGCAGCGCAGACGAAAGATGTCTACTCCAGAGCATCTTGGAAACACTGTGGCAGCACTGTCATCTCAGTCACCAACATTCGCTAGCACTGCAGATACACCGCAGTTAACGGGGAGCCTTACTACAAATGCAAATCTTTTGGAACAGTTGTTATTAGCACCTGTGGCTAATCCAACCCCAGCTGCTTCTGAATCCTACCAAACAAACAGCTCCGTTTTAGGTCAGCTCCTCACTCAGCCATCCCCTTCTAATACTGCAGTGCCCATGCAAACAAGAGATACTGGTAATATGAGTGGTACACAAGACCCTTCTCTGCTGAATCAGCTTTACCAGTTGAAACAAGTGTTACAGAAACAAAGCGTCCCAACAGAGCTTGTTAATGCATTGAGTACCTTAAGTAACGTAGGAACGACGCAAGCGACTCAGCACAAACAAGAACAGCCGCAGGCTGTTCAACATAAAACTGCTCCTATGCAGCCATCACTTCAGATGAAACCCCAAAATCAAAATGCCATCACCCAAGCGTTGCAGTCCTTATTGCGAGCACCGCCCAATGTAGCTATTCAACCCACGACGTCCAGCAAACCAACAACACCAGTTAGTAACTTTACTTCACAATCGCCATTGCAAGCCGCGTTGATCACATCAAACAGCGTACCGGTTCCAACTGTCACCATCAAGCACACGCCCTCAAATAAAGTTCCTGTGCCAGCTGTGAATCAAAATGTGTTGCCGCAGGCGGCAGTTATTATCTCCCCTCAAGGTAATCTGCAAACTGTCCAAGATACAACTACTGGACAAATGGGAGGAGTACCCGAGGTATCAACCTCATCCATGCCGCAGGTAGTGAATGTTGGACATCCTACAGCTCAGGGGCAGAGGATTCTTTTACCAGCGAGTGTTAACCTGAGCACATTGTCTTTAGCACAGCTAGGTCTTTCACCCGCAACGCTTCAGTCGGTGAGTAGCAAATTCTTTATTGATGGGATATTATAAAGTAGAAATCGTTGTGGAAGACGAGTGATTAGAAGAAAGACTAGCGTGAACGTCTTGGCAAAGTGTGCCAATTGAATGCAATTAATTGACGCTCGTCTTTGTGGAAGCTACGAAACGGATTGTCAATATTATGTCCCCATTTTTCAACACTTCATTCGCCTTTTAACAGCGCAAGCGGATTTCTTAAAGTATTTATCATGTATTTTGATCTTAGACCTCAGCGGAATTTGAACTTGTGCCGTTGCTGTATAAGCTTATATTTCACGTTGTCCTTTTCAGTCTAAATATTCCAATGGAAAACTCGCTGAGTGGGCAGAGTTCTAATTTTTTACGCTGTTATGTGCCACTTAGGTTACTGTTCCTGTACCATCAAGCGCTGTCAATAGTTCCTCTCCTCTACAAACAGTTGCGACTATGAGCGCTGGAGCCAAGAATTCAATGGGTGAGTTACATACTTTTTTTTACGATCAATTTTTTCTTTATCATGATTTGAGTGTGTACCTCTTACAAAACGGTAACACTATCAGGAATTGTTGTTAAATTCAGGGGATAAAATTTGAGCTTTCTTTCCCTCAGCTGTTGCAGTGTCAACTACTGGTCTTGTGACTGAATCTCAGGACACAGGAGGAATGAGGCCAACAAAAACGCCTGTAAGTGGAACGAATAATCAATTCAACATACGGCTGGGAACACGCCTCAGAGTAGCTTGTTCCAGGTGTTTACTTAGTAAATTGGGTGACAAGGCGAAAAGGGAAAGAGGTTTGGGACAGGTCTCACGAGCCGCCCCAAGCCCACGCGACCCTGTCCAAGCCTCTCTCCTATTTTCGGTCTGCGCTACTACCGCGCTTCAATTACCATCTGGACGCCTTAAACAGACCAGCCACAAGTAATTAAATCACTAGGACAAAATTAAGCTGAATACTTTTGACAAAACAAAACCTGTCCTGTTTTTCTTAGCACATTAGTCAAGTTGCTGGTCCATTTACTTAGGATTCTTTTTGCCAAAGAGAGGTACAGTGAGTCGGGTGAAAAGTTTTCCTCAAGAAGACAACACAGAAGCACCAGGTTTCCACCCAAAAAATCATAAATTCGTAAACGAAGGGATAAATTAATGTCTAAAGGTTAAGCAGACAGACAGATACCTTTTGAGTGTAGAAAAATTATCGACATTGTATGTCATTTTTGAAACCAAGTTTCTTTTATTTTAGCCGCCTGCCAAACAGACAAGACCTGTAACTGCAGAACAGCGGGAGCAGTACAAGGTAAGTTAAACTGTTAGAACGTCATGTGAGATTTGTTGTGAGACTTTATACTGTATACTGCACAAGTATTTCTTCTCAATTAGTCATGCATATGTAAAGTCTCGATAAGTGAGCCTACCAACTCCACAGTCATCTGTCGGATTACATTTGCTATTTCACTGATGCTTTGCCATCGTCTCGCAAAAGTGAGCAAATAAGTGAATTCCTTATCTTGACTTTCCCTCCGTGCAAAGTGTGAAGATAAAGGAATTTAGTCCTATCATGAAATTGTATCGGTCTCAGCAATTTATTTAACACTGTGATTTGTTTGATATAAATTGATGTGTAAGGCTTTTTTCTGCTCTGTCAGGAACACAGACGAATTTCGCACATAACAGCGGAACAGAAGAGACGTGGTAATATTAAAGTAAGTGTGAAATGAAAAAGGGTTGGTCGGTTTGTTAGCTGCTGCCTTTCTCGCTCAGTCACTCAACCAGGCAATCGTCAGGCACTGAGCTCATTTAGTCTGTCAGCCAGTCAGTCATCCTCCAGTTCTTGGTTTATTCCGTATATTTTGTAGGTGATTGTACTAAAGTCTATAAAATCTTACAGTGATAATAACGCATAGTTATCGGTTTGCTTCTGTCCAGATGGGCTTCGATCAGTTGATGTCACTTGTTCCGTCACTTGCCAGTCAAAGGAATTCCAAAGTTAGCAAAGCCACAGTTCTGCAGAAAAGTAAGTCTCGTTTACACTTACTTTAGAGCGCCGTTCGATTGGCTCTAATATACCAAAACCAAAGTAATCGCAACAGCCAATCAGAACGAAGGAAAATACCTTAAAGAGCCAATGAGAACTCAAAGTAAAAACAAGCAAGCTACCTAAGCGCGGGAAAACGCGGGCGATCAAGTCGTGACTAGTTTTACTTTTGCATCTGATTGGTTGAGAGAGCGGCGCAAGTTTTCTGGACCAATCACAAACCGAAATAAAGCAAAATCAAATTAATCCCAGACATTACCTTGCATATATTACTTCTCAGTTTCTCACAAGATTTGTTGTGGAACTTAATAAATTCTCTCTAAGAAATCGTCACTAACTCAGTTTTACAAGTCATAACATCAGGCATGTTGTTGTATGGTCGGCATTGTCTTGTGGTATCGAGGTTGTTTTATGTTTCTCGTTTGCCTGTCTGTTTTGTTTTGTTTTTGTTTTTGTTTTCATTTCGTTTTGGTTTTTGTTTCAGCTGTTGAATATACCACCAAGCTGCAGCGGGAGAGACAAACCATGCAGGAGGAAGCTGACCTGCTCAGAAAACAGATCCAGGAGCTAAATGCATCAATAAGGTGAGTGTTTATATCTTTGTGATTAAGTATTAAGCCGGTTTTTTGCAAGCGAAGCAAGCACAAAGGCAAGCTTAACATTTACAATTTTATCGTGAAAACGGCCCCGACGCAAGCACAAGACAAAAGAAAAGTTCTGATCCTTTTACTTCCGTCGAGGCCGTTTTCACGGTGAAAGAAGAGCTGTTGTCTTTGCATTTGTGCTTGCGCTTGCGCCCATGCTTGCGTTGCTAATGAAAACCAAGATTTCTGTATAATCACCTCATGCACGGTAAGGTAACACTGTTAGAATGATAAAATTAAAATATCAATGGAAAGCCAACTCAGTTCTGCGTTTAGCTCTAGTTCCCAGGCGATTTAATTTTTTAGAACCTCAGTTTACAAGGGGGAGTTTATTTTTTTGGCATTGAGAATGAGTTTTGGTGTATTTCCTTCGCAGTATGTGTCAACAACAGCTTCCGGCCACAGGAGTACCAGTTGCAAGACAGGTAAATGCCTATGATACATTTAATGAGTCGTCGAGCTCGTTTGATGTATCAAGTTAATGTTTACTTGTTTCAAGCTCCTAGTTAGTCTGCGGCAGTATCGTGCCTCTTTTTTTTTTTTTTGTATCGTTGTCCTTGAAATAAACTTATTGTCGTTTAATTTAGCCCTAGTTGTATCACTTAATGAGTTTAAATCGTAGCAGATGTCACTACTACTCAACTCTCAAGGCGCGTTCTTCTCTAATCTGTATCTACACAATCAGAACAATAGGAACAAGGTAGTTCCTGGAGGAAATTAATTTTAAAAGTATATGGGAAAGATATTCAAACTGCCTCATCCCTACCCCTTTTTTGATAATTAGAATTGAGGTTACTTTTTGGACGATCAAAAATACCTCATAATGATCAATTTCGGATGGAATTTTCTCATTGTCTCTTAAAGTGAGAGTTACTTAGCTCGAGTATGTTGAACGTACTGATTCCATTACTCATACCTCATTACTGAGATGCTAACGTTAAATTATTACGTTTTTCTTTGACAGCGTGTTGATCAAATGTGGTCCATGTTTAATCAGTACGTAAAGACACGAACGCAGGACAACTTCAAGTTCTGGATAGTATCCTTTTAAGACGATTTTCCTTCTCTCTTTATTCTTTTCTTTCCCTATTTTTTCGGTAATGTGCACAGAGTACAGGAGCTCAATGATGCAGTGGAGCAGATTAAGTTTCTAGTCACATCTATGAGTAGTGCATGGTAAATCCTGTGGACTCTTCGCATGCCTGAATGTTTAAATATAACTCAGTTACCTCCTTCTTCACACGCGATGCTTGCCTCTATTCTAAAGTTTCAAAAAATTAAACTGAAGTTTTCTCTGCCAGAGTTTTAAGACTCTTTCTCGTCTGTGCGGCTTTGCGCGCCTGACCTTTCATTTTAATTTGATGCGGTTCAGACGTTGAATTTTGTGTTCTGATTGGCTTTTATTTCAACTACGCGATGCTCTTGCAATACCGTGGGTTGACAAAGAGTCTTGAAAGTTTGTTTCAGAATAAAATATTTTAAATCGCCCGCGGAAAGCTCGAGTTATGTGTATTTACTTGTTTTCGCTAATTTTATAACAAAATATTCACATCTTTAACTCATCGTTCAGTTCAGCGTACTGATGCGTCATCTGTTTGAAGAGTATAATAACACGGTGTCTACAGCCAGTGTGGAAGACTTCTGTAGAACAGTTATTGGGTGGCTTGAACAGCACTGTTCTTTACCCGCACTGAGACCTGGTAAGTATTGTATCGTAACTGTTTCCCTATCTACTACCTCTGAAGCCTACGAGCAGGCCCTCATTATTAGCGGTTCAACAGGTGCGTTCTTCGCCCGCGGTAAAATCATGAGGCCTTAAGCTATGCAAGACGGCGAGAGGTCTGCAGTGGGGTCTGGCACTGACAAAGTGCCAGACTCCTGGCAAACCTCTTCCCCACTCGTCTCAAGGCCTCCGCAGGCGAAGAAACGTGCGTCGTGTGACGCAAATAACGAGGGCCTGCCCGCGAAGAAAAGTACTGTGTGACTACTATCGTGTATGATGTGAGAAGTCACACAAAGAAGCCTAAGACGAGTTCATGTGGCAGTTCTTTGGTGTGCCACATGGTAAATCGTCCGGTAGCTTGGCTTGGTCAATCAATATGGCTGATATTGACCTCGGTTCCAAAACAGAACCTAGCAAATGACCAACCTTATTGACCTCAAGCTGGGTCAATAACGCACGTATATTTATCCGTTCTCAGCGGCATTGTCCTCGTTACGCGACCTCAGTAAAGCTACGTCGATCTTGTCAGACCCGTCGAAAGTTCCTGAGCAGGCGCTGAGAGCTACAGCCAACAGGGATCCTACAGACCTGTCCGCCATGATGGCTCCTCCAGGTGCCAATGGTGGGGTTCGAAATGGTGGGGCAGCAGCCGGCTACAGTTGAGAAGGACCTAGACACATTGTCCCTAGTAAATAATGTTCCTTTAGTCTCTGCAAGTGGCATCTCAACATTGTTTGTAAAATTATCGGCGAGGCTTTCCATTGACGCTTCTACGATTCAGAAGGAAACTTCCTTGGTTTAGACACTCACTTCTAACCAGCAGCCACTCAGTTTATTGCACAACATCTTTTTAAAAAGTTTGATGCACTGTGTGGAGAAACTTTTTACGCCATTCTGTACATAGTATTCCCTCTAGGAGACGACCTGCCAAACACGTGACCTGTTATTGGTCACACTTTGCATCGGTCTACATGACCCTGGAAGCCAGGACTCAACTCGATCCTTTCGAGTAAGGAACAAAAAAAGATTACAAAAATATGCCAGGAAACATTTTGAAGTGAAACGGACATGGTACAGAAAGAGCACAGGAAAATTTGCGTGTTTGCGAATACGTTTATAGATGCGCTTTTTTGGCATATGAATGATGCTGTATATTTAGTGTGAGAAGTAATGCAGGGGTATAATATTGGTGAGAAATCGGCCAATATGAAAGAGGTTCTTTTTCCAAGCTTGACGTAATTTTGTTGCTAATTGAAATATGAGTGATCAAGAGATAAATGTGATGATTCCTGTAAGTGAAGTCGTAGTTTGTCTTCAAAGATAAAAAAAAATACATAACCTATAAATAAACGAAATGTTGTGTTCAAAACCTGTTAAAGGTCATTATTTTCAGATCTAACTGTTCCTAATTCCAACACTAGCTAATAATATCCATATCTGTACTAGAGAAAAAAGTATAACTTGTACTATAAGCTGTTGTCGTCAAATGACTTTTCCTATAATAAGCGAATACATTCGACTGCATCTCTTTGATAAGCTGATACTTCCTAATTCTCTTATCCAAACTGTCGCTTTTGTATGCCATTCTCAACTCTCAGTCCCAGGAGTCTTTCAGTGTTAAGTTTAGGAGGAGGTCTGGAGTCTAGTTTGGCTTGGTTCCTATTCAAGCCTTACTGCTTCTATATTGATCCATAAGTTATCCTGCCATCTCTATGGTATGTACGTTATGTGTTTAGTTTAATGTGTAACGACTGGATTTGCCTTGTACATTGTATTTTGCCCCTGTGTTAGTGGTGGGCAGTTGCCCAGGTACTGATATTGACGTTAGGCGAACAGTTAGATCGCTTGACTAAGGCCGATTAATCCTTAGAGAATTTATAATGTAGGTAAATACTAATAGAATTTTAATAGTTCTCTATCTAGCACTGTAAATGTAAGTTTTTGAGTGATAATTCTTTGTACATAGGGTAACTTGTTTCAATCACGTCGACGTTTGCCGATCATCTGAGCAAAAGGAAGGACTCCATAAATTAACTCATTAAACTTTCGTGAAAGGCTGTATTCAACATGTAAACTGCAGTTCACAATCTCAAATCTGTATTTGTTTTATAGTCTATTACGAGAATACCTCTGTTTGTTCAATTATCCAGGTGTAACTATATTGTCCAATGTTTGGCCTCTGTTTAGCTTTGTCACTAAATTAGCAGTTTTATACTGAGGATATGGTGCAAATTCAATTTGCAGTGAGTTGTAAGGTGGAAAAAGGATTTTTTGCAAAAATAAACTGCTTTTTTACAACAACCTCTTAAGAATATTTCGTTGTCGCTTTTTTATTTTTAAGTGAAATTTGGCAAACCGGTAATGGCTCTTGGTTTCATCAGACTTACTGAGTCTGATTTATGAAAGCGTCACACATAATTTTCTTTGAGAGCGCTTTTTGATTGAGGTTCGTAACATTTAAGTAAGCACAATGGCCGTAGAAAAAATAAAATGCTTTGAGAGCCAGTGAGAACGCTAAGTACAATCAACTAAACACCCTAAGGCGCAGAAAAACGCGGGTGGCCTTGTCGTGATTGATAGTAGTTTTATATGTGATTGGTTAAGAAAGTGGCGCAAGTTTTCTGAACCAATCACAGAGCGAAGTAAAGCACTTGGAAAACAACGCAATCTCGGATTTGATAACTTTGACATTCAATTGAAAATTGCTGTATTAATCCTTCCTATCAAAACAACTTGCCATCTAGGCGCTATTTGCTGCCCTTTCTTTGACAAGAAGACTCTGGCAATACCATAAAGATTTAGCTTAGGGCCATCAAGGGAAAATAGAGATAGAAACGAGTTTCTAACTCTTGCCTTGTAAAAGGCTTCTGCCTTTCGCCTGCTATAAAGCTTCGCGCTATCAATGAATTTAAATAAACACTTATTTTTGGTTAGCTAATTGAAAATCGTTTATGTTACCTTGGAGCTGTGGCTTCATCTGGGTCATATCTCGGTAACCCTTTGTTCGTAGGCGGTTCGTAATCAAACCATTGATTACACAGGGCGCGACAGTCTGAAAAATCAATCAACTGGCTTAATTGTACTCCGGCACTGTTGAGAGAAAAGGTTAAATTAAAAAGCTACGCTTATCTAAACTATACCATGCGATCATATTGTAAATTAGTTGTATTTCAAATGTAAATTACTACTTGATTTTCTTTTTTCTTCCCTAAGTGCTAAGTTTTGGCACGAGTATGAAGAGACAGATTTATTTGACGGCTCCTTCTCCATGTTTATCTAAAATCAATGTTGATGTATTTGCCAATTTCTTTCTCACAATTAACACCTCAACCTAGTCTACCACATCAGGTCATTAAGATGCCAAGTTTCCCATAATAGATCAATTAAGAGTAAGCCTCGAAATGTTTTGGTTGTGCCGCATCTAAAACTGTCTGAGTTTAGATCATCAAACAATTGGCTCAATCATTATTTTTTAATCCATCTTCCATCCCGATAGGTGACCAGGTTCGCGGGCAAAATTGCTTACTCGACAGATTTCACAGATATTACATCTGCTTCCTTAGATTAGAAATCTTAACTCCTTAACCCTTAAAAGTGACCAGCTTCTAATTTCTCCTTACAAATGTCGCCCTTAAATCACTCATTAAGGTCATGCGAATAATGAAAATGATCACCAACTTAAGAACTTCTCGATTGTTTAACAAATTCTCCTTGTCAGCACCTTAGGAAATGTATAGAGAACAGTATGGAGAATATGCATACTGATGTTGGGGTGTGGAGGGTTAGGTTAAAAAGACGAAGCTAGTTGTAAAAAAAATTGCAAAATCATCGATGTTGTCAGACTTCATTCAAGAAACCGTCATGAAGTGTTTAGGCTTATTTTCTGCCGGTTAGATCTCATCGGCCAGTTTGATTTTCAATTTGGGGAAAAAAGTTTTGGACGGTTCATTTGCGATGTTTTAAATACAAGTGGGGGTTGTGTTTATGTTCTCTTTTGTGAAGTGTTGGATCTTTTTCAGTTCGACTGTGTTTTAGCTTCCATTGTGCACTTCATATTCGTTGCAAAAATGTCAAAATCCTGTGTGAATTACCAAAGTGTTCAAACAAAATGCTGTCATTTTTTTTTTCCTTTAGAGGACCGCTATTGAACTACAGCAGTTTCCTTCGAAATTAACTTGGGTAATAAATGATGCTTTTATTAAAAAAAATTCTAAAAATGTAACGCCTCCATTTTAAAGAAAGAAGATGCTTGAAAGGGGCTTGAAAAGCGGTATATTTTATGGCTTTAATTAACGACTGGATTACGACTTTCGGCGGAATCTTAAATCGTACATAAGATATTTAACTTATTTTTGCCAAATACTTATTACAGAGCGTCAATTTTGAAGTGTAATGTAAAAAGAGTCTTAGGACATTTTCTACTTAAAGTGCATTGATATCATAATTCCACAACTCGCAAAAAACCCGATTCTGTGAAACAAGAAATCGACTCTACTTTTAATTGTGCGAGAAACATTTGTTAGAAGCGATTTAAACCCTGAAAGAAAAGAATGACTCTATCATTTTAAAATTTAATACGGTTTGTCGGTTTTTCTGACAGTGTAATGACAAGTAGAAAGTCAACAAAAATTGCAGCTTTAAATTCAACTTCTGTGGCGAGGCCGTCGGCAGCTGCCAAAAAATAAGTGTAAACTTGCGTCAGATCAGCTCACGCCGTACGTTTTGAATTACCATTGGATTTATTCTCTGTACACAGAATCGTTAAAACCCAAGGGTCGTTGAGAGAGGTGAAACTTTGACGGCTTTGTTGCTAGTGATTTATAGATATAAAAGAAAACTCGAAGGTTCTTTGTTTTGAATATCAACAACACAGCGACATTGTTTCTCCGCTGTGATCATCACCTGCCGTGATGTGCATAAGGAGAGTAGTCTAATTGTTGTTTGAAAGATTACCTCTATTCATTTACTGATGGAGCAATTTCCGCCTCGTCCAGGTTGGAGAAAACAGAAAAGGCGAAGAAATTAACTCATATCAGGTGACGTTTATTCAAAAGATTCATTCTTGGTGCCAAATTGACGACGTGGTTCGCAAAGAGTATTTATTTTCCGGCTTCTTTTCAATCACTGCAAACAAATCAACAAAAGAACTGTGTTCCGTGCGAAAGAAACGAGAGGGCATCAATATCAAGATGGCTGGACAGGTCATTCATCTCGCCAGTGCTGTTTGTCTATCCATCTTATCTGTTACCACAGTTTCAAGCAACGTACTTCTTCTTATTGCTGTTTGGAAAGATCCGCTTAAATGTTTTAGCTCTCCAACGACGAGTTTCATTGTAGGTATAAGTTTAGCGGACCTTGTCACAGCTCTTACTACGGAACCGTTCTTCGCGGCGTATTACTATGTGGTGTACACTGAGGGAAGGGACGCAGTCAATGGTGTCTTACAAACGCTCTTTACGGCAGGAAGTAACATATCCACTGTGGCTATTTGTTATTCTTTTTTGATCGTGTTGGCTTTGTCCTGGGCTCAGTACATAGCCATAAAATGCCCGCACAGTTTTAAAAAAGTCGTCACTAGGAGAAACGCCATTATATTCAATATGCTCAGTTTGTTTTACTTGTTGTCTTTCATGAGTCTTCAATTTGTGGGAATCATGGATCAATTCACTTTTTTAAAACTCAGTCTAGCCCTAAACACGTCTTTCCTATCTATTAACTTGATGGTGATTCTGTTTTTATTAAACGCAGCTTTCCGACGCCATTTGAAGAGAAAACGCGCTTTTGAACAGCACGAGGAAAGCTCTTCGCCGCGAAGCAGTCGAAAAACCCGCCGCGAAAATCTACAGCAGCAATTTACAGCAGTGGCGATGTATTTAGCTGCTATTTTGCTCTTATCCGCGCTGCCACATGTCATTACAGCTCAAATATTCCTTTATCTATCAGACGAGCTTTCTCCTCAGGCCAATGAAAACATTCAGATTGCTCTCGAAATCTCCGATCTGTTGTTGTTTGTAAAAGTGTGCCTGGACGCGTTTGTCTACGCATGGCGCCTACCAACATATCGCCGAACGATGAGTATGCTTTTTTTTCGGCGGGCAAAGGAAAGGAACGGGTACATCAACGGGAGACATACCAACCGTTTTACAGAAGTTTCGCTTTCGCCGCAGTAAAGGTGTCCGCAGTTAATGGGGAACCTTGACTAATGTTATTTTGCGAAATGACTCAAACCTTTAATACAGTTACTTAGAGTTGAGCTTTTTCAAAAGATTATTGATTGGAAACTGATCTCATCAATGGTTCGAGAGGATTCAGGAACATTTCTACTGTTGAAAAGCAGGCTGTAGTTCTGTTTTTTTGGGGGACCGCAAGTTAATGTTTTCAGTTGATAATTGTTTTAAAAAATGTATTGAATTTCTGAAGAAGTCATTAGTTGTAACAAGTATTTGTCCGCTTTGTTGTTTAGACAGTTTGACACCTTTACTTCAAATACAATTTATTGCCACTTTTTTACCAAAGTCTGTACATGTGGAATAAAAGCCAGTGGTCAGTGATTAATTAGTGACAGATCTGTTGTACCTAAGAAAGTTTACATTTTACTACAGAAGAGAATGTTTATTATTTAGGTCACGCCCGTAGCTTTCCACATCTTTGTAGTGATTAAAAAAAGATTAAAAAAAAAAAGACAAACATCGAATCAGCAGAACCTTGATAACCTACAAAAACGCTTTGTGGTTGAGATCGCAAACGACATTAACGAGAAACATATCCTATTCTGCTGCTCCTCCTTTTACGGAAATTCCAGTCTTTATTTACGATTTGTTCTGTGGAATCATCGAAGGCCTCATCAAAATTATCCGTCAGTGTGAAAATATGACATGGTAATTTAAATATTTAATCGCTCTTAATTGCTTCATCGTCGCATATGAGTTTGGTCAAACAGGTTATTTGCAGAGTGCAAGAGAAAACCTTGGCTCTTTCTTTGTGATTTGTTATCCAATGTACTTTAAAAAAACGGCATCAAAAATATTCACTGAGCTTGAGGGAAGTAAATTGTTTTGGATAATTCTAAAGTAAACGTCAAATGAGCTTAATTTTCTAATATTCTATTTGCTTTTTTCTCAGAAATTTCGAGAGATCGGAAAGCGTCTATTTTGAAAAATATTTGCCTCAATATTTTAATCGTCTCGTGCTGGGTGATAAACATTAGCTTGAAATTATATAAACAATAACCTCCATTTGGCGCAAAAATAGGCTCGGATGTTTGTCCGAAAAGCGAACACTTTTCCCCAGAGCAAAGCTCACGAAAACCGTGGGCTACGAGGAGCTGATAATGTTTAAGGACAAATATACGAGCATAATTTAGCCCCAAATGGAGGCTACTGTGTTTAGTATCCATCAAATATTTTTGCGAAGCACAGGAAATATGTTTACCGACAGCTTATCGTTTGCTGCGTGAGACGTATACTTTTCAGTGTGCACTGGTAACGACTTTATGAACAAACAAACATGTCCCGTCCTCTGTAACAACAGCTAACTGCTTTCTCATCTTGAACTCAATCTTAGACGAACACTTTGAATTTGCAAACGAAGGTTTACAAATTTTGAATATCACTTTGGATGTAGTGCTGGATTGTCGTCGGTGTTAGCTGAGGCATATTCGGTTATCGTTGCAATCTTTCGTTGATATTTCAGAGCCATTTCAGGAAAAAAGTCTCTCTCTCCAGTAGAAGCGGCAGAATGCTCTCTAGACCGCTTTACCTTTAAATAAATGCATAGGACTCAAAGTTTTAAAATTGAGGAATATCATGGAACATTCCCTAGGGGCAAATTTGGTCTTGTAACTCGTCCAAAGTGATCGTGCGCGAGCGAAAATATTTGTCGAATTGTAAAGCAAGATGACCCTATAGCCTCGACAAATCACATATCGAGTGTGAATGGATTAATCTGGCTTTTGTACTTCTACTCAAGGGCGGGAAGTCCCTTGAATACGGCCATGAAACTCCTTCCAAAGGCGAGTTCGAGTTTTGAGTAAAAGTTCTTGAAAGACAGCTACATCTCTCAACTTCTTTATTACAAAGAGTCATTTAACTACTCGCTAACAAAACAGGCTGAATAAATTCAGCGTTCTAGGAGAAAATAGCAAAAAAATTAATTGATTATAATTACCATGAGCAATGTTCCATCAAATAAGCAATGAAAACCGAAGATTTCACAATTCTTCACCTACAAAGCTATTACCCAATCTTCCTAATATTATCATTATCCTAAAAACATTTAGCTACAACAGATAGTATTGTCATTGTCTAATTATCCCTACTTATTGCTTTACTTTCCAAACAATTAATTAATCAAATATGCCTTATAGAAAAACAAAACTGAGATTGGCACAACTCCAATGGATAATATCTTATGAGCTTCACTGGCTGAACGGTAGGCAGAGATAGTTACACTCTTTAATTTTATTGAAAGAGCTGACATTGTCTCTAATTCTCTAGGCACTTTTGATTGTTTGGCTTCACTTAGTTGGTTTAAGAGATATTTGTAAATTTACAAGAAAACCGTTACATTCTTCACGAATCAGTTTGGGTGATATACGTGCCATATGAAAAGATGTTTTAAGCCATTGACTGAGTCTCAAGTGACTTCGAAGACCCGTGATTATGTTAATGAGAAGAAAAAGCTAGAATCTGTCTCCCAGAAATAATCAAGATAACTTTACATCTCGTATATGAATTAATACATTTGTATACAGTGTCTCCTTGTGCAGAAAGTTACTTGCCAGGTTTTTTGATACGACGAAAAGATTTTCGAGTTGCAGTTGACTTCAAAATATTCTAGTTAAGATTGCTACTAAACAAACTAGAAAGGAAATTTTATTCCTGATTTCTATCTGATCTTGAAGAAGAGAGTGCCGGATTTCAGCTAGGTTTTGGCCTCCATCTCAACCGTGACTCACAATTTAGCTTAGTGCCATGAACAACATATCAAATTAACCAAAACACTGGATTAATACAAACTTAATCAAGATCAAAATCGTCAAATGATTGTTGGGCAGCGTCCTCAAGGACAGCTAATGCTACTGCTTCAATTCTATCCAAAGCTATACGAAGTATGGCAAATGTGCCAGCGAAGGACAAAGTGCCAGCTATTGCTGGCCCTATGAACGGAATAAAACGCACAACTTCTTCCGCAGCTGCTTCCGCGCTAGCCCCCGATGCAAAAAACGAGGCAATTCCGGCGATACTGGCGAAATTGAGATAAAGAGAGACGACCTGTCGTTTAGTGGTATCACATAGAATCTCAAATATTTCCGACCCTTCTTTAGGAATTCCAAGCTGGGCTAAGTACTGCGTAATTTCGTTGAATATCAGCACGGCATCAACACTAAAAGATAGCCCAGCAAGAGGGACACATGCGACTGCAGCAGATGCTCCTGCAACGAGCCACATGCGCCCTTTCAAAACATCAACTTTTCTCTTAAGGATTTCTCTTGATAAGCAGGTCAGGGTATTGAGAGACAAGGTGAGGCACTCTCGCTGATATCTTGGCAATGCATCAAGAATCGCTTGCGTAAGTCGATCGAAATCCCACTTCTTTTGATGATGGTTGCTTATCAGGAAGACGTTGTCTTCACCGCTGATGGGGTTGTAACCTTCCTCAGCCAGGTTCTTCAAGCAGTCCATGCGGATTTTGCGCAGCATGTCAGCCTCATTGAAAGATTTCTTTCGCCTCTCATTCAGATAATCCATATCAATTTTGGTGCGAATGAAAAAAAAAGACTTCCCCTGTTTCCTGATCTCTTGGGCCAACATGACGTCG